TGTAACCAGCCTGGAAAAAATCACTGGCCCCGCCAGCAAGGGTGGCCACAAAAGACGTCAAGCAAACCAAACCCTAAGTAATTACAGAGCCTAAAACTCGCGACTGCAAAACACCCGACCGACTGAGCATTGTGGCCAGCATCTGCCTCGAAAAAACCATTGGCCCCTCCAGGAAGGGTGGCCACAAAAGACATGAAGCAAAACAGAACCTACGTAATTGCAGAACCTAAAACTTGCTACTGCAAAACACGCGACTGACAGAACCTTCTGGCCGGAAAATGCCTCGGAAAAGTAAATGACCTCTCCTTTATTCAATTCTTTATCGCCACATGACCCATCTTGCCTACGGGCAAATAACTGACATCAGTGTTGTAAACAAACATTTCGTGTGCATCGACTTTCATACGGCACTTGGATTCACTACCAGCTAGTTCAATAATAATATTTGTGTTTCTTTATTTATCTCGTTGCATTGCTGTTATCACAATGAAATTGCAACTGTTAGTATTTTTAGTTACTTGAGGGCAGGGGTATGTTTACAAACCTTTATTTGATTCTTCTGTTGCTACTTGCCGGCTCGCTTGTTCCGAAATTTCACTTTCAATTATCGGAAAAAAGCTACAAGGAAGTCCCGGAAAAGGTCGAACATAGTACAGTTTGGCAGATGGCGTGATAGCTTTAGCTCAGCTCTATGCTCTATACTCTCATAGAGCGCGCCCTTTCAACCGATGACACCGCGTTATATCCGAACTTTTGGCGCTTCGGCCACGCAATACTTTCGTCCACTCTACTAAATTTCTCCACCATCGTTGCCTTCACAGTTTTCTACGTCACAGCTATGTAGCATGATTGTTTTGGCCGCGCGCTTAATGGGAACACTTTTCGGCCGCCAAATCGTACTTTCAATTCTTTAAAAAATTGTCAAGAAGAACTCGCTAGGCGCTAAGTTCGATTATTTCTAATTCTAAATACAGCTATCAACAAGAAAATGCATCTGAGATTCATAACTCAAGAACAATGTAAACAACACTTCACTGCAAGAAAATTGCACCGGCTTTTGATCCCTTTGATTTATATCAATTTTAGAATCAGGCATGGGCAAGCATATAGGGAATCAGTTTTTAAATAAACAGTGGTGCTGTGTCAGTAGGAGAGTATATCAGGGTAATTTAGTATTATCAACTGAGTTGATAACGTAAAATGGCTACGGCAAAGAGTTTCAAACCTGACGTTTCTAGCATTTTCCCTTCGTCAAAGCGTTAGTCCATCGTCATTCGCTCTGACGAAGCGCTAACGTTCGAAACGTCAGCTTTGAAACTCTTTACAGTGGCCACTTTACGTTATCAACTCAGTTGATAATACTAAATTACCCTGTTATCCACAAGCATAGTTACTAAAAACATTTGGAGCCCCGAAAGGCATATTTCGATCGGGAAAGTACATAAAACCATCTTAAAAGTTTTGAAAGTTAGATATTATTCAGTAAGATTATACATGATCAATATCTCCTTGACTTTTGGACATTAACTAACCACTGAAAGAAAGCAAAGGTTTCTCCTACTGGTTTGGAGTTAAAGGGAATCCAAGTTATCTTCCTTCCTTCTGCCTCGGTTTATCCCGTAATTTTCAAATTTCAGCGAGAGCAGTTCGACGCGTCTCTTAGTTGAACTTACATCCACAAAGTTAGGAGAAAACGGTCTACATTACAAGTTCCAACTCGTTAATTTTCTTTGTTATTTTCTACTCTTTGTTCCCGCTCGTCCATTGGTTGAGAGCCACCCTGAAAAAGATTACGTCATATTACGCCACACGAGTAACAAGGCTATAATGATGTCATATCACGCTACATGCTGAAAGTGTTTCCTTTGGAACCCTCAATGATCCATGAAACTTATGCAGTGACTCAGTGTTTTACAGAGCATTTGCAGCCCACGTGTAGCGGTACCCTCCCCCCCCATGGTGAAACGGAAGCGAAAACCTGACACAAATCGTGGTCTGTAACGTCACTTTAACCTATGCAAAATTATGTAACTTAATAATATGTTTTTACAAAGTGGCACGTCGTAGCCTGAAATGTTATCGAGATAAACAACAAGAATTAAGTGAATTCATTTTCCAAATTTTTGGGTTAATTTGCAATTCAGCGTCCGAGTTCAAATATATACTTTGCTTTAAGGATATAGGAAAAGATTATGAGTGATTTTTAGCATAAAAGTAAGAAGAGGACAATGTTCGACCAGCATTGCGCTTACGTCACTGGATTTCAACGTCCACGCGCTTTGTGCTTGCATTTGTAAACAGTGCCACGGTCGTCGGAATAAGGTTGGATCATTTGCCGCCGAATCTCAAGGATTTCACAGAGTTCTTTAAGAGATAGTTACTTTGCAAGCGTGAAGAAAGAGCGACTCTTTTCCCAGTCGAAAGAACCGCTGCAAGAAACAAACTAGTGTGGAACGCAGACTGCAGCCCGGGAGTAAAGTGCAGACTGAGGGTAAAATGCAGACTGAAGACTGCATACCAGGGGTAAAATGCAGACTCGATTCTTAAACAACCTACTTCCCTGGAAAACTTCAAGAGTGAGCTGGGATCGATTGAATTTGCGAACTTCACTTCTTCAGATGGTTTTGACGTTCACATATTGTTTTAAGAAACGTAAGTGTTGAATATGCAGTTCACAGGCAGCTAAATAAATTCCCCTTACTAAGGAATAAACAGTTCTGCTGAGCAACATTAGGTAGCTTTGACATACATGTAGCTCAGGCAAACTTTGTTTGGCCTTGATAGGTAGTAGCGATAGACTTTCATCACACATCGGCAATTTCGATCACTTGGACAATATCTGTTTCTCGCTCCTACGAAGTCAGGCGTGCATATTCTTAAATTTAATGCAAATTTGTGGATACGAGAAGGGTCTAATTAACAACCTCCAAACAATATCGGGCCGGAGATAGAGCGTTAACAACGGTGAATTTAAATTTGTTGTTGTTGATAATGTTTTTTTTCTTTTTGTGTGAAAATTTTCACTTGTAAACTGCCTTTCGATGCGTGAAAAAAACGCAACCAAAGCCGCTGCGTGCACAGGCGGCTCAAGCTTCAGCTGTGAGATGATCATCTTACGAAATAAAAGTCATGGCGAAATTATAAGAGTTTGTATGGGAATATTTACGATCGCTCTAAGGAATAAAAAAAAAAAGGGTAAAATTTCCGCACAGCCCCATACTATTGTAAAACAAATCTGTTTTCCCAATGGCAATGTACTGTTTTTGTCACTGTTTCCTCTATTCAAGAACTGAATGTATAATATAGTATGGGGCTGTGCGGAAATTTTACCATACTAGGTCAAATTCTCACAAAAAATACCTCACCTTACTTCCACAGTGCATTTCTTGTAATCTGAGTGCTTACTACGTTGAAGGGAACCCATTTCAGCTAGTCATCTATTTCGAGGTTTTCTACATACATAAGAAAAGTCCAAGGCTGCACACTCCCAAGCTTGAAATGACCGGGCAGTCACAAATCCAACTCAGAATCCGAGCACAATTCATTACAATCGCAATCTTCCCCGTGAAGCCGACGCTAAGCCGCGGTTTGCTTCAAAGATTTCCAGTTTAGACGTTCCTGACGGCCCGCGTACACATTAGGAACTTTAAGATTGCGAACGACGGTTGGCTACGACGGTCGGATGTGTCTTTGGTAGACTGGGTCGACTACCGTTAAAGGGCGCGAAAGTTTAACGCTTGTTGTCCTTTAAGATTTCGCGGACAGACTGAAGACTGTGGTTAACTTGTCCTTCGAGGATGTCGGAAACGTGCTGGTAGTGGTTTATGCCGATGATTCCCTAGATGATGAAGAGTTTTTGAGTCTTTACAATTTTTACGAGTCCGTTAATCCATTATATCCATACTGGAATTTTGATCCACTTTGTTTGGATTCATTCGAGTGTCTTTTAGTGAGTGTCGAAAAGCTTGCGATTTTACGGTATGCACAAGCTTAGAAAATTCCTCCACTTAAAACTCAAATTAAGTTTTAAAATCGCGTGACATTTAAAATTAAACATCTAACATCTACTCTTAAGATATTTGAAAGAATATTTCGGGAGTGTTTCTGTAGGAATTTCTGACTGCCGGACACAGAGTACCTTCAAAAACGTGTTCGGCTGCCGGACATGTAGACTCAAAAACGTCTGCAAATGAACATTTCTACCGTAGTAAATTCTCCGTGAACTTTTAATATTACGCTTTTAAAACAACAGTCAGGAAAAATTACTTACTTCTCAACAGAGGTTTCTTTCGCTGCCATGATCAACAAGCTAAATGAAATGATAAGAAAAGCTTTTCGCCAACATTACTGAAACTTTCCAACCTTGTGTTGTTCCACAAAAAAGCAATTTTCCAGGTGGCATTACTTTCAACGTCATGAAAAACCCATGTTCAAGAATGTACAAAAATAATTCTTGACAACATAGGGAATAATGAGGACACCTCCGCGACGTTGAAAGAAATGACAAGGACGCATCCAAACCATTCACTAGACATTTTAATCTCCCTAATCATTCTAAAATGTATACGGCAGTTTGCGGCCTTTCCCTCCATCTAGTCAGTTCGGAAAGCCGCAAAACTCTAGAACAAAAATTTATCTTCCATATCGGCACTCTTAATCCCCACGGTATCAACGAGCGCTTCTCATTCAACTAATTTATTCTTAATGATTGTAGATATATGAAAATATATGCACCACGGTGAAGAAACGAATATAAGAGATCCTCGCAGCCATGAACACTACTGAACTAGTAGTTGAAATAAGACCGGGAAAAAATTCAGGCCCGTACGGGATTTGAACTCAGACCTCTGCGATACCGGTGCAGTGCTCTACCAACTGAGCTAATAATCCAACAGGGAGCTGGTCATTATGTTCTTGAGGTTAGGTAAAGCTGGATGATTTTGCGTTACAAATGGTAATATTTTCTTCGATCTGTGTGCTCTTTTCTATGTTTTTTAGTGACCCTTCTTTACCGAAGGAGGTAACTCTAAACACATATTTCTCCTGATCTTCGTCGGGTATCCTCTATTCCCCTCTAGCGTATTTCTGAGCCCCGTATGTGGCTTCTCGTTTCCCAAATCTTGCGTTCTTATCTGAATTTCGAAGAGACAATCAACAAATAAAGAAACCAACAAAAAATCCGTAGCTCCTAAAGGTTCGTTCGAAAACCAGAAAAAGTTTTCAGAGAGGTCATTTTGTCGCTCCGGTTTTTGCCAGTATTTTTGCCCTCTGTTGCAGTGTAAAACCGAAGCTTATTTTGTACGATCTGGCGCACTAATACAATGATAAAATGGCGTAATAGTGGAATAATAAGAATCTACACTGGTCTACTTTGAAATAGCTGAATTGTCAACATGTCTTCCCTAAAACAAAAGTACTCCCCATTTAACATTATCAGTGATAAACGAGTGAAAAATCTAAATTCCGTTCGATATGGAGCTGAAAACCAAAGTATGGAACCCCTGAATTCAGGACAAAAATCTTAAGAGAGCAATAAATGACAGTGAGGACCCGTAGGATCAAAGTTGTTGATGATGTTGTTTTTGTTAATGTTGGACCCTGGGCATCCATTTATGACAGCTTTTGTCGAAGGGTTTACCTCGGTAAAATGTGTTATAATTGTTATGAATGGGTTTACTTAAAGAAAGACTTAGCTCTTTTGTTAAAGGCGCCGGACAACGAAAATGAATTTAAGTGAATTTATGCCAAGATGAATTGCGCCCTAGACCATAAAAATTTCGAGTTTGATAGTCAGTGACTGAGATTAGGAGAATTGATTCGATGAGTTTGGCAAACCACTAGATTCATGCGCTACAAAAGCCCCGCTCACTGCAAGGATGAGACGTAACGTCGAAAGCGCCCTGTGTGACACCTGACCAAAACCGGCATATGGTAAATTTTGGGCTTGCTTGCGATTCATCAGTAATTTCCAAGGGAACGTAATTTATATTCCCTTTAAATTTCGTGGTTATCGAATTAAAGAAATTAATAAAGAGGAGCTTTTTATTGGTTGGTACTAAATATCTCGCTGGACTAAATTTGACCCTCGTATTGTTTAGTTTATTTGCAATCTGCCGTTTTATTTCTTGTTATTTGCCTCAAATGCTGCTTTTCCGGCAATCTTCAGTTCTCAAGATTTTAATTGATGTAGTAATGCCCGACTTGAGGATGAAATCGAACTATTTCAAAGAAATTTATATTCTATTGAGAATGATCATGGTGATCAGGCGCTCACTGATTGGTTGATTTCCACGGTACACCTGTTTACCTGAGTAAATCAAATTCGAAACAGTTTTTCTTAAGCCACCAATTTACATATTTACCACTTGTGATGATTCATCTTATTAAAAATTGCACGAATGTACTCAGATAATTTTATTCGCAACGATTTTAAGCTTTTATTTTGAAGAACACACCATGTTTCCTCCAAAATCAACCATATCGTGGGGTGGAAGATCTAAATTTTGTTGGTTCATTATTGCTGTCATGGCTGCGAATTGTGAAGGTGCAAAAGACAAGAAAAGGGCGCAAGAGGTTTTAGAAATTCAAGCCCACGATTCACAGTAAGTAATATTCTATTGTTAAATATTTTTGTAAGGGAATAAAGTGTTGTTATCAAGTTTCTCAATTTTTTACCAAGGGGGAAGTGCGCCTTTCAATTCCAAGTTTCAATATCTTGGTTTTGTTTTCAATGTCACCAGTCAATTTAGCGGGTTGATCCTGCTGGTGAAGTAGTTGAACTCGAAGGAAAATTAGCACTTATCTATGTAGTCTTAATACCCTGAGAAGTAAATACAAATGAAAACAGAACTTATTTGTGGCTTTCGACGCACGATCTCCTTCTGTATCTAACTAAACACCAGAGAAGAAAGGAAAACTGAACGAATTTATCCGTAAACGTGTCAATTTGGTCTTATGAGGATTTAATTTCTATCTGAGCGGATGTCACGACCGAGAGTCAAATCCGCAAAGGTTCGGATAAAGTTCGGAGACGATGAACTGATCGGAAATAGATTGATATAGCGACGCCGATACCGTTTCCACTTTATGCGACCAGTTTCTATTCTTTTCATTTTCCGCCAGGTTCGATGTAGCTGATAGCGCAGTTTTTAAGCTAGGATTTTTCGAAGAGGGTTGTCGACGGCACAGCCATACGACTCGTGAATATAACAGACGATCCGTACGGATCTTACGGATCGAAAGCTCGGTTTTACGAGTCGTTACGAGCCGTCGTATTGGAAATGAATAAATCGTAGCGCCTCTCTCAGTTTACTAGTATCCCCTTAACTCCCAAGAGTGACCAAAACAGAATTTCTCCCCATAATATCGCTACAATTTCAAGAAGACAGGTGATGAGAATAAAGAAAAATGTAAATCAAAGGATTATTAGTTGATCCAATACCAAATTCTCCAAACTCACAGCATAAGAATTGTACGGCAGACAGTAAGGAGAACTACCATGAGATCTTGGAAGTGAGAGGATGAAGCGTTCGTGTGGGCTATTTACAACCTGTTTCTTCGGAAAGTTTTCTCAGGCAATACCTTTCTCAGTTTTGCAAAACGTAGCTGAAAAACGCCAGTTTAACATTTAAACCTAAACACGGAAAGAATTCAATTAGAAATGTCGCCATCATGTACTTTACAGCCATCTAAAGGAACATCTGATGGAACAAATGGGAATGGATGAAGAAGCAGCAATCAAATACCTGAATGTAAGTACGATGTTTATTTTTGTGAAATGCGTCACACAGAAATATGAGATGTCGCTGTTTATCTTTAAAGAGAATAATCGCCCGCAGAATCACTCTACAAACTACCAAGCCCCATGGTTCACGCCACGCCCGATGACTTTGAAAACCGTTTTTCTTTCGACGGTTTGGCATATTGTTTACACTTATCCAGATAAATTGTTCTTCGGTTAAGGACCTTTTCGAAAGCGCTCTTCGAATTGCATAAGTTTGAAGAAGATTCGCATATCATAGCAATTATCAACAGATTCTATTGGTAAACCACCATAAGACACACGTCCTCCTATGTAGAACACTTTTGCTGTACCTTAGCCTTAATTTTCGCAGTAAACCTTTTGCCTCTACCGGTCTTATAGGAAACCAAGGGAGAGGTTCAGTTCTTCTTGATGCATGACTATGATAATAACAGCAAGTTGGATGGTCTTGAGTTGTTTCAAGGTCTCTCGCATCATGACCATTCCCAGGACGAGAAAGGTACGCGCATGTGAATAAGTTAATCTGCAATCTAGGCAGGCTCTCGCTTTCCGAAAGGCTCTTTGGTAAATATCTGTTTCACGCAGATATGATTATAACTTGAAGTTTAATTCACGCCTGCATTCTTTGAATTTAGTGCATACAGACCAGACAGCCTTCCTGAAAGAAGTACAGGCCGAGGTTGTGTGTTACAGTTACTCTGCGCATGACTTTATCGTTCGCACCTTCACTTTAAATTAATTTTCTCGCGCTGTCCATGCTCTCCTCTGAGATGCAGGAAATGGCATCAGTCGTGATAAGGACTTCTGCACCGATCAATTCGAAGCATCAACATCTCTCCCCGGGCAACTCACAGGCACTTGACCGTCGTCTGTGCCCATAATTATCTTGAATAAATGGGATGGGGTGGGGAATTTAAAGCGGGAATGTCAAGTCTTTCCAGGGGAATACAGGTGTTATATCTTTAAATATAGATGTGTTTAAAGGTAAATAGTTAACTTTCACGAGCAAAGAAAGCAAGGAAACATAAACTGTGTATATTCCCTTAGTAGAAATTCTCGGTCGCTGATTTGCCTTGCACAAAAAAATTGGCTGGGGTATTTGAACACAATTTTATTCCCGGAGTGCGTAATTTGAATGCAATCTTCAAAAGCTCAAATTGCCGGGGGTTGCCCGAGGGGGGATGTTGAAGCTTCGATTGAATGGACGCATTAGTTATTAATTTTTTTTTCTTGCTTTATTTTAGATGATCACGAGTCAAGCAAAATTGCGGAGGACGAAATGGCAACTTTCGTCGACACAATCTTAGAAGACCAGGACCACAATGACGATGGGTATATAGACTACCCCGAGTTTGTGCACTCTTTCCGTCCAACTTCAGGGCACAGTGGAGGTTCATAACACGATGATGAAAATCAGAGATGGAAACGCGGAGGACTTAAAAATACGCCTTTTTTTTTTAGGTTTTTTTGCCAGCCAGTGTCAAAATGTAAGGTTAAGTTACTTAAGATTGCGCGCTTTTAGATTAAGTTTCGCGAAACCAAAGCTAATCAGAGCAAAGGTGAGTTTAACGAGGAATCAATCAGAACATACGAGAATACTTGTAAATATCTTCAAGCGCGGGAAAATTCAAGTGACAGAGTTCTGATTGGTCGAGACGGTGACGCGAGTGTTTACAAAGCAAGACCAATGCGATTATAGATTTCGGACACTCAACTGAAAACTGCATTATCTGAAACTCAGGCAGAAAACGAGAATTCGACTCGCACGTAGCCTTAAACTGGAATCGGGTGATACACAGTGGGTCTAAATAATATGTACTACTTATTGACTGTGTTGGTCGGGCCGGACGGAGAAGTTTTTGGCTCGTGGTCATGATGCACTCGGTCCGCGCGTCTTGAACGAGACCCAAATATTTTCCATGTCGGCCCGTCCAAGCTTAGTCAAAAAGCATTTTATCATATGACCACTCTGTTAAAAATTTCGAAGTTTTCATCTAAACCGAAATAGGACGCAATAGATGGGCTCACCTATTCTGTAGCTAACAGGACTTAGGAGAGCATTTTAACCGACACTTCTGCACATGACTAAAGGAAAAATTTCCGAAGGAAAACTTTCACGTAAGGATTCTTTTCTGGTGACGATACTTGTCTCAGAAACAACGTCATTCACAGGAATCATTTCTAGTCTGTGGATGGAAGCAACTAAGAGACCCACGAAAGAGCTCCAGCTCGGGAAAAAAAGAGACACAAGGAATGATCTCCAAAAACAGCAACAACAACGACAAAATCATTTTAGACAAAAAGGATATTAAAAGTTTTGAAAAGGAAGTTAACATCTTTCTCACTCTGTCCTCACGCAATTGCCCATTTGTTTAAGGGTCGAATAATGCTATCCAACGGATAAATCGCTATCCAGTGGATGTGTTCTTAAAACGTAATCACCCGGATGGAGATTTATCCAGAGACAGCTTCAAACAATCGGGATAAAAAGTTAAGAACAGTTATGATAGGAAGTAGCGTGGTGAACTGAAGATAGAGTCAGACGGAGGCCATTAATCCTAAGTTCTCGGGTTCAACAAGTCTCATTACTCTCTCTAACCCGACAGCAGCCCTGACACTGTTCCTACTTTGTAATCAATCTGAGACACAAGCCATTTCTCCTCATTTCAATTCCATCCGGGTAGGCTTGGGAACCAACGAGACACACGACCGCGTAGGGCTTGGCACTTAAGGTTAATTTAGGCGAGGAAATACTGCCTTAGTTACGTCAGGTACGGATCTCGAATCCGTCGGAATACAGCCACTAATTTGATTCCTCTGTTTCTAGTAACTTTTTGTCCCTCCTCTGTGCTTTGGTACAGTTTTTCTACGACGGGATCCTGCGCCTGTGCAGAAAATTGAAACAAACTTTATATATTGCATACTGCGCAGTCCTCGGCCGGGACTTTAATGCATGTACAAAGATCTAAAACTGACTTCTGTCAAAATTCACTCAACGGAAACTCTCGTTCAATCACGGTTGCACCTAAGGTCACATTACCTAAAATTTTTAGCGAAATCATATCATAGATCATATCCACATGTATTTTGCACTATATAAGTAATAAATTATTAAAAATTATTATTAAAATTTTTTTCACTCGCTTCTCTGTTTTTAAGCTCTATTGACGGACGATCTCGCTCATTAAAACCCCAGAGCCCCGAGTTTCCCCATTAGAGACACTTTTCTACTTGACTAGTGTTCATTTTTACCAGCTCATCGTCACTGACTGCCCCAAATAACGGGTGTTCCATGAAATGCTTCTTTATCCAGTCACACAGGTCAGGAACATCAGTTATTGTGTAAACAAGACCCTTATAAAAACACAAATAAAGATGGCTTGAACGAAAGTTTACATCTAATTAGAAACAACCTGAACAACTTAGAGTACATGTCTATTTAGAAAATTTACTGTGTTAAGAAAACATACCTCATTTAATAGTTACTGCTCACAGTTAATTAAGTAACCTAATATTACATTGGCTTTTCCCAATAACACGATAACATCCTGAAAAAATGTTTTCAAAGGTGACTTACCCCTTCCGCTAAAACATATGCATACTCAGCTAGTAATGTAGGGCTGAAAGAAAAATAGGTAATTAATCCAGTGAAACTAACGGCGTTTGAGAGAGAAAAATCCTAGTTTGAACTGCACCTAAAATAACCACGGAAGACAAAGTCCTTCAATTGCGGAAGAGAAATTCAAAATTTATCGGATGCAGTCCTCCAAAGCTTGATTTCAAGTACAATTCGGAAGTGTTCCATTTAGATTCTACTTCTTCTATTGGATGTTCTTGATTTAAACGTGGCTGCAATGCCACGTTACTATGGGAGGGGGACATTGGGTTTTGCGGTATTGGGGTAAAATTAATTTTTGGTTTTGCAGTATCCTCTGAACCAGCGCGATGCAGTTTTTCAGCATTGTGGACGATATCAAAGATCATCCTCCAAATCCTCCACCATTTCTGAGCACTTTCTAATTTCCATTTGTTTCAGAAACAGACTGGAAGTGAAGAGCACTCGACTTGACGTTCATGAACAAATTCTTAATAGTTATTTCCATGCTCTTTGCTCTAAATGTAACATACAGAGTAGTGGTGTCGACTTGACATCAAGTTTCAACTAGATATTGAAGTATTATGGCATCTGGCGAATTTCGTTGCAACATTGCGGTGTGTGTCATTTTTTTTCTTTTTTTTTGCAGTATTGTGGCGTTTAGACCCCCCTCCTCCGATGTCCCCCTCCTATGGCAGCCATGCAGCCATCTTTTTCCGTTCTCCTGACCTTATTATTCTCCACTTATGTTTCTTTTGCTTGAAATGAGGATCAGGAAACAGGAAAAACATCTTTTTGAGCTGCAAAGTTGACGTAAACAAATAAATAGTTTGCTAAGTATTGGTTAACCCTTTGCCCCCCCCCCCCTAAGAGTGACCAGCATCTAATTTCTCCTTACAACATCACCACTGAATCACACATTTGGGTCATGAGAATAAAAGAAATGATCATCAACTAAAGAAGCTCTTGATTATTAAACAAATTCTCCTTGCCAGCACCTCAGGAAATATATGGAGAGCAGTTGGGAGAATATGCATCCTGATTTTAGAGTGGAAAGGGGTAAATGTTCTATTTAGCTGACTGCAAAAGATGCAAACAAAACAGCAACAAATTTCAATTGGTCACTTGTTTCAAAGAAAAACAGCTATTACTTTGGTCAATGATTTAAAATATATCAATTCAAAAGCAGACACAGAGATTTCAATGATTTTCATCAAATTTGGACTTGACTAAATTGAAAGTACTGTCAACATGTCTGATTTTGCATATCAATTCTTAGTTAACCCAAAAAAAATTCTGAACAAGTGTGTACAAAAGGAAAACCTAAGTTATGATACCATAATTTCACACTGTGATTTGTTTAACCCTTTAACTCCCATGAGTGACCAAGACAGAACTTCTCCTAACAATATCAATACAATATCAAGCAGAAAAGTGACGAGAATAAAGAAAAGTATCAATTAGGGGATCACTAATACCTAATTCTCCCAACTAACATCATACAAATTGTACGGCAGACAGTAAGGAAAATAACTAATGGCATTTGGGAATGAAAGGGTTCACATCACATCCTCTTTATTGCTGTAATGTGATGATTCAGACACAAACTTACCTGACCCTTGTGAAAATAGTTGGGCAAGTACTTCATGGCATTAGTCCTTATCACATGAATGTTCTGGTACTGTCCTGGGTTAGCTTTTCTTAAAGCCATCACTCTATCACTAACATAGTCACTGACCTAAATAAAAGCATTTTGTGGCAGTATTATCCATAGCCCAAGTGTTATGTGGAAATTAGAATCCTAACACAAGGTGAGCTGTGGTTACTCAGCTGCTGGGAAATGTACTTTTTCTTCAATATTATTAATTCTGCCACTTACAATACTAGACTTATGCTACTTAATACTTACAATACAGTGCTCACATTACTTACGACAAAATACAAAATACACAACTAACAATACTAATGCTACACTATATAAATTACAATACAATGACTTATAAACGGTTGTGAATACGTGGGTCATATATTTGAACTGTGGTTAGTTGTTAGTATTGTATGCAACATAAGTCACTGTGAATATGAAAGCGATCTTCGCAGTAATGAACACTACTTAAGTAGTAGTGAAAAGAAGGCCTGCTTGGTATCACAGAGGTCATGGGTTCAAATCCCGTACAGGCCTGAATTTTTTTTCAGGCCTTCTTTTAACTACTACTTAAATAAGTAGTGTTCATTACAGCAAAGATCACTGTCATATTCACAGTGACTTATGTTGCATACAATACTAACAACTAAACTACTTATTATATGGCAAATATGGTTATAAATGCTACTAGCAACATAATTCAATTACTAATGCTACTTGCACCTTTTTACACCTTTGACATTACATATATTTGCAATATTGCATTTACTAAAATCCTTGCTATATCCAGGGGAAAAATTGCAAAATCAAGTCAGTGAACAATGTTTACAATTGTCAGAATAGGTTAACAATTTTTCATTGCATTTGGAGTTTGGTTTGAAGTTCAGGAATATCCGTGGTTCTTGAAGAAAACTGTACATTGTTCGGGTTATCATAAGAGTCACATCTAACAATCAATTAATATAGTATTTATAACCACTCTCTTGATTCATCAAACAATGTTTTTAATATAGAATGAAAAACCATCTTTCTCCCACCAAACTTATTTCATAGTAGCAATTCCGTAAGGAGGTCAGTTTTATCAATCAAGCACTTTTGATTGGCAAGTTCACACAACATAAATGCCCCCAAGAACATTTGTGGACAAGCACAGAATTAATAAAATTGCACACAAAATCCTCTGATTCTCACCTTCAGTCTTATTTCCATGCCAACCATAAGTGTATCTGGAAACATGGGAGATAAATCCACTGCAAAACATAAAAGTATTTTGAAAATATAAATGGGGCTTGATAAATTCTCTTAACCCTTTAACCCTTAAGAGTGACTAGCATCTAATTTCTCCCTACAATATCACTCCTGAATCATGCAGTAAAGTTATGGGAATAAAGAAAATTATCAGCAGCAAAAGAAGCTGTTGATTGTTACACAAATTCTCCTTGTCAGCACCAAAGGGAATGTATGAAGAACAGTAAGGAGAATACCTTTACTAATGTTAGGGTGTAAAGGGTTAAGACAGCTCTGACATATGACTGTATGTCTAAGGTTGTTGTTATAGTAGCTCTATAAAGTTACTGTGGTCTAATATCAGTTATATTGGTTGGATTATACACATATTTTGACTGATTTTGTAGAAAAGATTGTGGTTATTCATCGTGGTGAATAACAATAAAAGCTAAGTTTTTTGTTTGCCTCACGATGTAGTCACGATTGATGTAGATCGTGATGTTTTGACTGCATACTGCTAGTCTTCTTCTGGCAATGAGGTCGACTGGTCATGTGTGATCTTATAAGCATGATGCTCTACTGTGATTAGTTGTTTTTCAACAGCTCTGATTGGTGCAGGTCTGATTGGTGATTGAACCTCAATAGGTCTGATTGGTGATTGAACCTTTGATTGGTTCTTACTCATGATGTATTGGGGGACTGATGAATAGATGACATCATCATTTACAGCGTTTTGTTTGTTTGTTTATCTTATAGAACAAATAGATCCCATGTTGTTGTGGGTCTGTACAGTTACTGTAATAGATTACAGAAGATGTCAAAATGCAGTTGGAACATCAGTGACACACTCAGCTGCACCTTGTGTGTTAATTGTTTTGTTCTTACCACATTTTGGCATTACCTATGATCTCTTACTAAACAGATGCACAACACGTGGAGTCTGTTTGTTAAAGTCAGGACATATGTACCTAAAAGGCCGCCATATCCACACCCTATGTCTGCAAATTCAACTCTTGAGGTTTTGCAAACTGTGTGTTCTCCATTGTCATCTTTTTCAGGAAAGAAAGCAGGAAACAGAGTTCTCCAATCCATTGCATCTGGAGATACAGGACTGTAAGAAGAGCATGAATCATCAGTTTTTTAATAATCAGGAAATGAAGCATACAGTTCCTTGGCCAAAATCAAGTAATTTGCAAAATTAATCCAAAATCTGTAATTTACAAATAAAAATCTGTAGTTTGCAAAATGGGAATCTGTTTCATTTTGTTTCACAAATTACAGTAAGCCCTGTGAGACCTCTAATATCATTTCCATAATGAAATATTACTATTTAAGGTGCTTCAAAATTAATTGACTTTTTATATCTCTGTCTATATATTTGGTTATCTCTTAACTCTTAAGATACATGTAAAAAATGTATTGCAGTGCTCCCTAGTAAGGAAGGGGAGAGGGCAAACAAGTCCCTATTTTGTTCCCTGAATTTTGCAGCTGATGGATTTTATTGTTTGATAAACAATTACTACAAAAGTGCATGTTGGAAATGAGATGACAGATAGCTAAGGAGGCCTGTAGGGACCAGGTTGGCTCTGATCACCTCATATCCAACCAGTGTAGGAGGAAAAATTGTTTTATTAGAAAGGCCTCAAAATATAAGTTAATCTTCCCAAGTTTATTTTTTAAGAACAAACAGAATATTATAAACACTTGGAAACTCTTGAAAACTCATGAAATATGCTATCCAATGATTCAGTTTTTAAAAATAGTCCTTAATCACTACTTTTCTTGTGCCTTGAAATACGTCCCTGTGACTTTCATACCATCTTCTCACAATTAAATGAACTTATCCTGGTTTCAATATTATCCTCAATAAATCCACTCACTAAAACATGCAAGTACATTAAAAGATGAGCAGTTTGTCTTCCACTGAAATATTCCCCCTCCAGCAACCCCCACCTCCTAATAGCCCCCCCCTGGCACCCCCCCCCCCTTCACCCAATAATGGGGAACTTAAGTATGCTGCCGGAGACATTAGACTAGATGAGAGGAGAGAACATGCATGCACACCTAATTATCTTTTCAACCAACATATTATACTCCCCCTCCCCTCCAACACTACAGAATGACCTAAAACTTATCTGCATCGCATAGATAAAATAATTACTACTTTTATTCTTGTTTATTATACATTCAACTCATTATGTCTTTTTTTGATTGGCTGAAGGTGTACATTGAATTTTTTAAATCAGTGCCTGGGACGTCATCTGGCCGCAAATAATACAATAATCGTGTCAAGGTCACTCAAGGTCACCGTTAATCATTTCATGTTTGCGCGCTTTGTGTTGCTTGCTGATTTTTATATTTTTGCACGTTTAGAAAAAAATTACTAGTTTCACTTACTCTCGTGACCATCTTTTTCGTTCAATTTATTGTAAAATAATCATTTAGATTCGGTTTTTGTGATATCCTGATGAATCAAAGTCTCGGTAAGAACCGGATATCACTAAAACAAGTCTCGGTAAGAGGAACGGATAACGAACGTCAAAACAATTGGATTTAGGAATTCCCCCGTGTACCGGTACACCAGGACAGCCCCACAATTGTTTAATACCGCACTCCACGCACCCCAAACGTGAATTAGTGATTGTACGCCTATTCTGACCTTACCATAACTCAAAACTTCACTACCGTAATTTTCTAAATATTTTACTCACTATTCAAGAGTGTGATCGGCCATAGGATTTGCATGAGCTCTTTGCCGGTAATATTTCTTCTGCGGAAGTGCCGCCATCTTGGATCATAAACAGGCAGTCTCCCACAATCCATTGCCCTGAAAAAACCGACAAACAAAATCACCCACAATCCTCTGTAGCTTTTACGTGTTTCTAAATCCAATATGGCGACGCTAGGCGACGAAGATAAAAGTAGCTCTGCTTCAAGCGAAGAGAGCCGTTCATCGAGTTGGTATCTCGTACAGGTGAGTTAATATTATATATAGGTAAAAATGAACTATTTTATTTTTTCCGAAATAATTTTTCATTAAATAGTGCCCACTGTTATGAAAATTATCTACCAAAAACAAAAACGATGAAGACTAACTCGATTGTTGCAACGATAGCATATCGATCACGTAAGCAAGGATTGAAATCGTTGGTACATGGGTAGTTTTTGACGAAAGAATGCTCGATTTGTATATGACTGGGGATGCCTTAAGTTGAATTGTGGATTTATTCGTAAATCCATCCTGATTTAAAATCTTTATAATTATCTAATATCATTATCTGTTCATCCCCCACCCAAGTTCAGTTGTAAAGCTCCCCCCTCCGTTCATTTAAACCCCTACCTCCTGTGATTGGTGCAAATATATATTTTTTTACACCCATCTTTTTTGACACTTCTGTAAGATCTGAAAATACTCTTGCTGTAAATCAATTCTTAAGGGGGGGGGGGATAATTTTGCAGTGGATGTAAGGGAAGAAATTGGGGAATATTACTTGGAGAATACCACCAGATATTCAGAAGTTTAGGCTGGGGTATATTTGACCATGTGGTGTATTTGACTAATCTCATGCAAGCAAACAAATTTGATAGATAAATTACTTGAATTTTGTAATTACAGGATAATTCCTCTGCAGTAATTGATATTGCAAATACAGATGACCTACAATCAGAACCAGGAAATGGGGAAAGGTTTGTTTTTTTGTTTGTTTGTTTGTTTGTTCATGTAATTTTATGCCACTATTAAGAGTTTTTTTTATTAGTACTTTTTATGGCATTGTCAAGAGAAATTGTGAATTATGTATCCGTTATGTTTTCATTACCTGGATATGAATAGCTGTTGGTAGTAATTTTCAGAGTGGAGAATATTGGGGTTACTTGGGCCTGCTAAGTTGATTGTATTGTAACAGATTTTAACTCTTTATGGCTAACCTTTACATCTTAGCATTTCCATTTATTTGTCTACTTAGTCATGAAGGAAGTCCAAGTCGGCAAGCAATATCAGAGACGGAGTTTATGGAAAGGATCCGAGAAAGAATGGCACAGGAAGTTGGAGGATATGTAAGGAAATATGTGTAAAGAAATAATTGTAGAGCATTTTGTAAGTGAATGTTGTAAACCAAAACAAATATATTTATGGCAAGTACTTGCGATGAGATTTCTGGTGATTGAACAACCCAAAGAGAGAGTTAGAACTCAAGTATAAAAATATGTATAGTACTTGTACAAATGACCTGAAGCCTTTAGAGATGCAAGTGAGCACTTATTGGTTCGAGAGTTAGTGTTGAGTCTAATGAAGGAAAATCAAAACAACTAGATTGAACAGTTTTCTCTGTGTATGTCTTCCACTTAAGTATGGTGAAGCAGTTTGCTGATTAACCAATGAAAATGGAAAATTCACATTGATATGGTTAGATGAAATTTGATAAATCTTAAAGAAATAAAAGTTCATTCTAATAAAGTTTATTCCATGCATTTCAGCAATTTACATGTTTTAACAATAAAAATGTTATTGAATCAGTTGTTATGCTGTTATTCAATCAGTTGTTGTTATACATGCAGTGTCTATCAAAATGTATGGACAATTGATCAAATTGTCATTTTAGTGGCAAATAAATTATAATTTTTATTGTTTGTTTGTATTATTATAGGTCTGGCAGGCTGGAAAACAATCAGCCAAAAGAGCTTTTGATCTGTATGCAAACATTGATATACTTAGGCCATACTTTGATGTTGAACCCATTGAAGTTCGTAATCGGTATGTTATCAAATAAGATTTATAATGGTAATAGGAATGACTGGAATCCATCTTGGTCTGTAATGGTACAAGGGATAAACAAAATTGTCGTGAGTCTGATTTGTTAATTACAAGTATGATTACAGAGAGAATTGGAGAACATGAAGTCCTGTTACCAATTAATCAAAACTATGACAAAATTTGAGATAGAAACTAGTCATTGGTTATTCTTTTTCCTAAAAAAAAAAAAAACCAGTTAACATGGCAAAATGCAAGACAACTGTCTAATTACAAGCATGACGTGTACACTGTCCCATTAGTGCTCAAGTAGGGCTGGTGATAGCCAATCATGTTGGAGAATTTTGTTATAGTTTTGGTTAGCATGTATTTAGTGTGCGATTTTATGAAACATGACTGGTATGCTCTAAGTAATATGAAATGAGTTAGTCATAGGTACTTCTTTATACCACCTCCTGTCAATGCTCCTGCCTCATTTATTTTGATCAACAGATTGTTAGGACTCCCCAGAAATGATATGATAATATGAGCTAGAATTTATTATTATAATGGCCTTGTTTCATCAAATCTTTTGGCCTAGAAGAATCATGTCAAGCATATTTGAATGATTGTGTACGGTATGTTTTCTTTTCTAGTTTGCTCCATTCACTGATACCAAAGTTGCCCTCCACAGCATCCCCCCAGGTATATGCTTAAGGAAAGTAGTAGATGGATAATTCACCCTTTCACTCAAACAAACTCATTACTAATTCTTGTTACTGTGTAATATATTATTCTTTTGGAGATAGTGGTATTGGATCCATTGTAATCCCCCAGTTGAATTTTTCTTTATTAGGATCACTTGTCTGCATACTGTTTTCCTCCATCTTATCAATGTCAGGGTGGTTTTTGTTTTTCTATGTACAAACATTTTTTATTTCAAGTGGTACAGTTACTGTCTATGCTGGAAAAGTTGTCAGACTGGAAAAATTTTTGCAGGAAACTTATTAGGAAATTTAGTAGAATTTTTGTGATGGGTTATTTGCTTTTTCAAAAAGAAGAATGCAGCGTATGATTGATGTAATATCTAATTATTGTCAAATTCACAAAAATGAAAGGAATTCAATGCAGTTCCAGTTTATGTTGCAGTACATGGGAAAGAGCCTGTGGTGTGATGACAGGTAAAACAGTTGCAAAGAAGACTTCAGGTAGTAGGAAACACCAATGCATGCTGATTTGTTTCCCTAGACAGTTGTTGGAGAGTTGTACGGACCACTGATGTTGGTTTTCACCCTGATTGCTATTCTTCTCTTCAGTATGAAAACATCAGGACACACAGTGGTAAGATTAATGTTTTTCTTGTTGTTCTCAGCATTTTGAATTACTGATTGATTATGTTTGTAGCCTCAATCATGCTTAGCTCTGTTGAGTCTCTTCATCTCAAACTTGTGGGACGGACCTTGAAAAGAAAAAATTGTGTTGCTAGACTTACTCTCAGCAGAATTGCACAGAATCTCTTCTAGGCTCAACCATCTAAGATGTAATATGCACTGGCATTATTTTCAAACTGTGCTTTTTGGTTGTGTATTTTACTGTGGCTTAAATTTGTAATGTGACACAAGTGGTCCCCATACTTTTTGGGCTGAAACAGCTCTTTTTGCTTTTGATTATTCCATAATTTCATTTTTCTTATAATGGTTTTTTGTTATGCCTTCTGAGCAGTGAATCAGGGCATCTTCAGGGTGATATCTGTGACATACTTGTTTTTCAGTTTTATGAATAGTGAGTATTAAAATTGACTCTAAATCATCTTCAAGTCAGCCAAAAGGTCTAAGTTATTGTTTATTAAAACAGTGTCAAGATTGCTGGTAGCCAACATCAGGAAAACAGATATAATTGTATCAGTGACAAATGATCCACTTGAAAAGAAAAAATCCTGAGGCCCATTTTGTTTAAAACCACAGTCTCAGTTAGACTTGTTTTTAATAATTTGTCTTTAAGTCTCGAGGAATTTTCTTTTAAAGGGTTTTAAATTAATTCTTGATGTTTTCAACTGATTATTGTTTTTAGCAAGAGGGAACACTCATGGGTACAGCTTTTGGTGTTTGTTTTGGATACTGGCTGGGTGGTGCTGGAATGTTCTATGCTGTGGCATTTATGAGTAGCACCCATCTTACCTTTCTCCAGATTCTTTCCTTATCTGTGAGTATTCATGCTGTGACCTAAACCCTATAAACCCCTGAGAGTGACCAGCATCTATGTAATTTATCCTCACAGTAATTACTGCTGATTTATTTCTTAAGGTAACAAGAATTATTATGAGGAAATGGTTGCTAACCTACAGTGTAAGAAGGTGTGATTGTTTAACAAATTCTTTGAGTCAGTACCTGTACCAAATGAATTGTACAGACTGAGATAACTTTGGAGGGCATTGGTGCTGATGTTAGGGTGTTAAGGGTAAAACCTTCTCTGAACAAATGTTTATGTAAAGTTTCATTCTGTTTTTCACACATGCTTTTTGTGTCTGAAAAACACTGCTCCTGAAGTCCTGGAATTGATTATTAGACAAATGTGAAGCAGCTAGATGAGAGAAACTCTTTTTAGAACTTGAGAGTTAGGCAGTTCATGAGAGTATTCATTTGAAATTGCTCAAAGATACTTTACCTTGCTCTGAAAAGGAAAAGAGAAATCAGTCCCCTGGTACTCTGTTTTTTATCTTTTATTTTAGGGATATGCATTGTTTGGAAATGTGGTGTGTCTATTTCTAACGACTGTTGGCTATCATCATTCCCACTCATTTTTTTATGCTCTGTGGTTAGTGTTTGGAGGTTTATCGGCAGCTAAATTGGTGAGTGATGTTACCCTAAGAGTTAACAGTACAATGAAATATACTTAGTCTGTAGTGGGTAACTCAGTGAGGGTGTTTGTGAACCTAGATAATTTGGTTTTATCAACTGAGTTGATAATGTAAATTGGTCACTGTGAAGAGTTTTTGAAGCTGACATTTTGAGTGTTAGCCCTTGATCTTTTCCTCTTACAAAGGGTTTATGTTAAAAACATCAGCTGTAGAAGCTCTGTACAGGAGCCAATTTACAAGTTATGATCTCAAGTTGACAAAACCAAATTATTTTTGATACCCTCAACCAAACACTGCGCATCAGTTTGTTTCGAAATTTACCTCAATTATTCATAGTTCCTTTAGAAACTTGCCTCCTGTATTCATTTGTTTGAGAACCCAGATTGCTAAAACCCACAATTAACTATCCTAGCATGGATGGCAGCACTCCTACCAGTATATGCTAAAGGGTTCATTGTAACAGCTTTTGTGTCACTGTACTTCTAATTGTGCCTTTGTTGCAGTAGTTATTGTTTGCTTAGGGAGTCAATTAGCTCTCTCTATTTCCCCTATTCCTAACACCATTATCAACCCTTGGGTGGAACATTTGAGGGGGTTGTACACCAATTGGAAATAGCTAACAATTTCACTTGTCAAGTAGTTTGTGCAACCAACCACTAGGTGTAAACATCTTGTTTCTTACATTTGGTTGTTACAAATGGGTTAACTTGATAATTTTGACAGTGTATCTGATTTACTCTTTGTGTACAGTTACATACCTTGAGTATTTACTCATTTCCACTGAAAGTTTTCCTTTTCTTTCTACAGGTGACTGTTTTCATGAGTCGTACATTCAATCGACGTCAGGGCCTGATTGCTGGTTGTGTGGTGGCTGGTGTTCATTTACTGTTTTTACTCTATCTCCACTTTGCATATCACAGTGTTTATGAAGGTCAGTGTCAACTCATAACCAAAATACTCATAACAACAAGTCAATGGACAACACAAACAGCATACTGTTAGCCAGCTGCTGATTAACTATCAGTCCATAGTCCCTCAAAATGGCATTCATGCAATACCAGTGAAAGTCCAAACTTTCACACTTTTTTTACATTATCTGACAACTGAACATGGTTCTTTTTTACTTAATGCTACACAAACTTCAGTTGAGTTCCAGGTTAGATGTGTTTATTCTGTGTGAAATTGACTTCCAGAATCAGCTGAAATGGTCTTGTCTCGTCACTCAAGAGAGGTGGTAACCACACCCCTGAGAGATATGGTACCATCTGTGGCTCAGTTCACTAAGAGCATTGGAAGTGATCAAGTGCTAGATGCCATGACCAGAGTCAAAAGAAGCATAAATGAGAGTAAGTTTAAATTTATTAACAGTGAAATAAATTTCATTGAGATCAAATAATTGTAGGTTAAAAAAATGATCAGATATCTCTGTACATACTGGACTGTCTTTATTACTATTTGGTCATTTTCTGTGCAAAATATGCCACAAATCATTTTTGGTCATCAAGAACTCTTTAATTGTTTTGTTTGTTGTTTTCTTCTTTTACTTACACCTGATGCAATCTGTATGATGCTCAGATACGACCTTAAAAAGTTTCAAACACTAAAAGCCAAAGATTAGAAAATTTAACAATAGGGGAGTCATTTATAGTAAATCCCTTTTTCGATGGTATAACATATAATATTAGCTGGCATTTTGCTCATATTTCCCTTGCACGCATATTTTATGTTAATCCATTGAAGAAAGTGTATTTATTTAGCTACTTGTTGAGGTCATTTTTAATTATTTATAGGGTGGGTGTAAATTGTTTGTAAATCCTTTATGTAATCCTTTGTTGTAGTAGTGTTCCAAAATAATGTAATTTTTCCTTAAAATTGTAACTGTTTCAGCTACAGGCTTGTTTGAAGCAACATCCATGACCATGTGAAAGGAAGCTGACATTGCAAGAAGTTAAAGAAGATTTTACTACAAACACCATTATTGTGAGGCAGGCAGTGGTGGATGGGTGCAGCACTTTATTTGACTAAATTTTTCTGCCATTTATGTTGTCTTTTTCAAAATCCAAAGGAGCAAGCTAAGTCTTGTAGGGTACACTTGTTTAATAGGTGGGTAGACCAGACTATGTGTTTGTTCATTCTGAGTGCCATCATATAGTTCCAAAAAAATGCTAATGAAAAGTTAACTTCTTGCAATGTAAAATCAAAGTATAGGACATACTGTAAAGGTTATCAATTATTGTCAACAACCTGTTGTTGTCTCTAGCCTCAAATTCCCCACAAATGAAAACCTTGAAGGACAAACAAAAGTAGTATTTTGAAAGAGATCACTGAAATAAATTTCTACTGCCTTAACCCTTTCACTCCAAAATCTCTTGAGTAATTCTCCCTACTGTCTTCCATGCAGTTCTTGTGAAGTTGATTTAGAGAATTTGGTTTTGTATCAACTAAGAATCCCCATGATATTTTCCTTTATTCCCATCACTTGCCTGCTTAATATTGTATTGATATTGTAAGGGGAAATTCTACCTTGGTCACTGATGGGAGTTTAAGGGTTAAGCTTATGATTTGAACAAAGTGCTGCCCAACAGCACTGAATGGTACACTGTAGATTGAAATATGGCCAATTTAATGTAAGGAAAATATTGTAGCTCAGGCAGATGCTTCAAACAATCACTGTATAGTGACATTTACAAAATGCTGGTACGAGGGAGTTGGGAAAAAATTCATACTACTTACTCTCCATTGTTTAGTTTACATTTCTTATTCACCATTTATTGCAATTTTTTTGGTAAAGTACACTTTCTAGATGCTTTTTAGGGATGTTGGAAAGGGAAAGTGTAAATTAATAATGGAAATGTAGAAATATGCAATCTGTTGACAGCAGAATTCAGGGACTTTCTAGTGTAAATTAAGAATAGATAATAATAATAATGATGATGATTATAATAATATCAATAGTTAACAGTTATTCACTGGAGAAGTGGTGATAAAACATGGTGGATATTTATAGAGCCACAAAGCTGTAGGGTTAATTTCCAGCACTTTCACCAATGGTGGTGAATAATTGTTATAGTATATTAATACTACACAAAAACCAAAAAAAAATCAGTTTATTTCTGTCAATTTACCAAAAAAGGGTTTAAAATTAAATTGTTCACACCCAATTTTGTCTCTGTGGCTGCTTGTAGGTTAACCCTTTAACTCCCACATCAAATTTGTAATTCTCCTCACTGCCAACCGCACAATTCTTATAATGTTAGTTCAGAGAATTTAGAATTGGGTCAAATAATTATTCCCAAATTTATATTTTTCCTTATTCTCATCACTTAGCTTGTTGATATTGCATTGATATTGTAAGGAGAAATTCTGTCTTGGTCACTCATGGGAGTTAAAGGATTAATAGTACTTGCTTATCATTTCTGAACCAGCCAATCAGCTTCGGCAAAAAGCTCTCTTCACCTGTGTGGTATACACTTATAACTATTGTTATCATTATTATTTACCAAATGGTGTGCATGATAATTGTCCCCAGGTATTTTCATGTTATGTCTTAAAATACAATTAAAACTTAGCAAATAGTTTACCCTGTTACTAAATTTTCAGTCAATGAAGGTGTACAGTGTAGATTACCAAATGGATATTTATTAAAATGTAAAGAAATATTCCAAGTTTTGGTTACTTAACTTAAGTTAATGCTCTAACTCCCAAGATGTGATTGTTGATCCTTCCTTCTCACTGCTACACATCTCCTTGTAAGTTATCAGGAAAATTAAGTGTTAAATCAAGATAACAACACAACCTGATAGGTTTAAGAATTCTCATTACCTGTTTGCTGAATGATGTATGGATATTATTGGGAGAAATTATATGTTAATCAGTTCTGGGAGTTTGACTGTTAAATAGTGTGCTTTGAGCATTCAACTGATATAGTTAAGTTTTAAATTTTTGTTTCTGGGCCTCAAAGAACACATTTTCCTGTGTTTGTTTGTTTTTTTTTCTATGACACCATAGAAATTAACAAATGAACTAACTTTACTAACAGTAAACTACCAGCAATACAAATTACTTCATCACTCCATCCCCACAGTTGAATGAACTTCAAAACCTGAAGATGTTTAGTGGCAGAAAATTATACATCATTCCATAGTATTTCACTGTGCATCATTTCTACAAATGTTACACGTAACTCACTAACTACCTAACACTTGCACATGAAAAAATGGGGGCTTTCTCTCTACGGTTGTGGCTCACCACAGAGGTAAATCAACATTTCTTGCAAACGAGCAGGGTGACCTAACAAATTTTGTCTTTTGGAATTCAGCAGTGACTTCTTTCTGTAAAATAAATATCAACCAATAGGCCAGTTCCAAATTACCTTTAGCATCTTTTTCAAAATGACATTTGGTGCTCTACCATTTGTATGAAAGTTACTTTAATTGATTTGCATGTGAATGAAAACTTATAACCATATGAAAAGATGAGCACCAGGACTCTCTTTGGAAATGAGGCCATGGTCAATTTGGAAATAGCCTATCCTCAGAATAGGAAAAAAGGAAAATTTTCAGAAAAGCAAATTTTGTAAATACTAAAAAATAAAGTTTTCATGATATTAGTATTGGTGATAACATGATTTAGAGAGCAGTTTAGTGTTGATAAGCACAAGTAAACATTTCAAAACATCAAAATTGCACTTGCCTTAAGGACTTGTGCAAGTTGTTGTCTTCGAAAAATTTGTAAGTGCTTATTTAAACCACATTGCCCTTGAAATCATGTTGTCACTTGTTAATAATTTACATGTAAAACATCATAGAAAGTCTATAGGGATGAAATTTTGCCAAAGCACTTTTTGCAATTTGCAATTGTGTTTCAATTTTGCACTCATGTAACAAGAAAAATGCACTTGTTTTCAGCCAATCAGATGTGTAATTTTTTTTATGTATATAATTATAGGTATTATATGGGTATAACTTTACAAAAATCTCAGCACAGGTTCTATTTCAGGGGAATGACCTTAATCACATTGACAAATTTCCCTGATGATTCTTTGAGATAGAGGAAGGTCATTGAAATTCTGTGGCAAAACAAGCTTCTTTACTAATTCTCTACAGTTTTCCTGAAGAGTATATGGTACTGCAACAAAATTAAAAAATATACATTCAGACTGGAATTAATTCTTTCCATTTAACCCATTTCTGTCAACTTTTTCTATGGGCAAGAAGATAGATTTTGACCATGTCAACCATTTGACTGTCAGTTTTAGATGTCATTTAATCTAGCAGGATGCGACATGGGGAATATATATAACGGCGTAATATGCGACTAACACAGTCTATATACTGCAAGATTTTACGCCACTAACCCAGTCGGTGATTAAATTATAATAAATTAAAATATAATTAAATTATATTACTGGCGTAAAATGTTACATATATATATATCACCGACTGGAAGAAATTACGCCGTTAGTTACTGGCGTAAAATCTTCCATATAAGACTACTGACTGGAAGAAATTACGCCGTTAATTACTGCCGTAAATTCTTCCATTTAAGACTACCGACTGGTAGTTTCATTCGACAAACAGGGTTATAGAGAAGGCAAAGGCACGAGTTGATGTAAGTCTTTCCCATAGATTTCCTCCTTCAAAAACATGTATTTACGCCTGATCGGTAAGATCGGTATAACACTAAAATGACGCAGTTTTAAGCGTGACTACCAGAAACTGATGTGTCTTCTTCGTGATTAAGTTTTGGTTTCCCACTTCCGGAAGTCACTGGAAAGAGGAAGTTGAGAGACTACCCCGGACAGATTCATGTTGCACTCTCTTAGAGGGAGGGAGATGAGAAAGTCTCGTGGTTTCACAGTACACAGCTCAGAAGGTAGTAGGAAGTATGGCTAATCTTTGGAGATTATGGAGCTTTCTCTATGGAGTTATCCTTTGGTCGTGTATTTTACGTGCCGTTTTTGTGAGTGGTCGACTAATAAGAAAAGGCGAAGCCAGAACAAACTCGACCTTGCAAGAATTCGAGCGAGGAATGGACATGTTGGAACAATGCAAAACCTTAAAGTGCTCGTTCGCCATCGATGGAGGCGAATGCGAAGAATTCAAGGAATCGGTATACACAGGAAAAGCAATAGCTATTTTCATTAACGTAAACATCGGAAATTCGACGAATAACGAAGAAACCGCAGGAAAGGTCTTGGGGGAGAGTGGAGACACTGGAATGGTTCAGGTGAAGCGAAAGTGGGCATGGCTGCGAGACGCGCGTGGAAAGTTTCTTGCCACACTACCTTACGACTTCGATATTCTTTCCCTCTCCACTTTGAAAAAGGATGTGTATAGTATAACTTTGGAATTTACTACGACGCCTCAGTACTGCTTTGCAAACATGTCTCAAACTTGTCTACGCAGTTTTACTGCGACAGCCATCTTTGATTGTCTTGGAGACACTTATGGCAGCCTCTGTGTGAGATCAAAAGAATATCACTGTTGTAAAAAAAAAGAAAACGGTTATGTTTGTGATAAACTCCTTAAAGACAATCAGTGGATTAAAATTGCTATAAGGTTTCTCTGGGCTTGCTCAATTGGATTTGGCCTGTTTGCACCTCTTTTGTTAAAGTATTTTCCAAAAGAGTTTAAAAAGAGACCTAGAATAAGGTCAGCGAGGTCATTGTTCACTAGAAGTGAATCAGTGTTTACAGATAATGAACCCCTATCAGTGGACACAATGACATTGGGTGAGCGTCCACTGATGTTTGCTCTTGACGATGGAATGTTAGATTTACTACGCACTAAAACGGAGTCATTGGTTTTCTCAAGATTGAGTCGTTGTCTTTTTGTCATCTTGCTGAGTTCTCTGCCTTTGCTACAAGGTTTTATATACATGTACTTAAAGAAGGACGATGTGGGAGCTACCACTGGAAAATTTCTTGGTGTTGGAGATGCATTTATCACTTTGATGGAATCAGATGAACGAATTAAACTGAGTGCTGCATATGGTTTTTGCATCATGTTAACATGCATTACAGTTGCAATCCCTAGAACCTTGTCTGATTGTGCAAGGCGGCTCTCTGGGAGGAGAGATGAGCGCACATTCCTTGGATTCAAGAAACCCGATGAGATCATTAGTATCTCAGACAAGAGAGGGTTCCAGCTGATGTACGAGAACATGGTCTTTCATCTATACTGTCTACTTAAATTAAAATTTTGGAAGTTTGTGCTCCTGGTGATGATCTATCCCTTACTAAAACTCTGCAACATTGATGTCTTTGATGAAGAACTTGCAGAGTCAGATGAAAATGTTGAACAATCAGATGAGGAAGAAAACTGTCAACTGTGCTCCAAAATTTGTAAGGTAGTGCTAACACTGCTCTTGTTTCCATTTTGGGCAGTCACTATCGCCACAGCTTTCTTCCTGTATATTTTTCCAGTTACTTATGTTGGTTTTCGCATCTGGAAAATGCTATTCCAAATTGAAATAGAGTCGCCATGCTGCCAGTACATCCCTGCATGTGTGAGAATAACAACTTTTCCAGTTTTGTACATCCTGTTTATAGTGTTTTGCATGTGTGTGGAAGCATCTTATTACATGTTAGCAGTCGTCCTGACATTCAACATCATGGTTCTGGGAAGCATTATTGGATTTACAATAATTGGATTTCTCTTTAACATTGAATTTTATTTCCCTTACATTATTCTCAGCTTGTGGGTTATTGTATACATTCTCAGAGGAACGCACAAATATTATGCTCAATTTACCAACCTTAAGACTATTGTTTTTGAAGAGTGTGAAAAATTTGACGAAGAGACTAGGAAGGAAGCCAGCATCCGTGAAACTTTTAGTGGTGCACCTCCCGAGAGAAGATCCCCGTCACTTTCTTCCCCTCCAAGGAACAAGTCAACTTCAGCAAACTTCCTTATCACAGTTGATGGTTATGGTGTTCCCAGCATCCCACTGAATATTTTCCTTGAATCCTCTCGTAAACTAATGCCTTTCAAGCGTATTATACTGGCCAAAATTTTTAAGGTGATCGCACTGGGAAGTTACCTTGTAGTGATATTCTTGTTTGTGATGTCACTGATGGAATTTAAAGCTGTGAATCCCATAGTTCAAGGACTGGCACTGTTATTTCTTGGTGGACTGCCCCTGTTGACTCAGCAAAGCCCACATCACAAAATAGAGGCTGAAGAAATCAGAGAAAGGTTTTATGTCAGGGATTTCATGAAACAGTACACAAAGAGGGATTTGTAAGTTTTCCTTACGTAATTTGCAGTAGAGCAACTTTTGATTACTTTAATGAACACCAAGATTTAAATATCAATTTTCTGTTCTGTTTCCAAACTTTTTTTAAATTTCCTGTTAATTTTGAGAATTGGCTGGAAAATTAAATACTAAAAATTCTCACCTAGTTGATATTTCTCTTTCTTCTCATTACCATTCCACTTGAAAATGGCCTCCTAGTATTATTAGGAGAAATTCCATTTTTTGTCACCCCAGGAGGGTGACAGGGTGAAATAATTAGCAAGTAATGTGATACTTCATTGCATTTCTCTGTGATTTTTTTAGTAGTGCATGTTTCTCATTAGAGAGGGTGGCTATAGGTTTTGCTGTTGTCCAAAGCCTCTATTTTTGACATGTAATGGTTGAAATCATTGATATTTTCCCTGGTTATGAAAATAAAGTTTTTTTTTCTTTAAGCTTTGATTAAGTCAATCTCAAAATTTAAACTAGAATCAATTTGCTTAAGCTAGCTTTAATCTGTTTTTTTTAGTTACTTGATAGTTTCTCAGTGGAACTCAGAAACTTATTTGGCCTATGTTATGTAAAGGTTATTTAGTATTCATAGGTTATGAATATTGATTCTTTCATTTTAACTCTGTTAATTCAAATATGAAAAAGCCTAGGTAAGAAAAAAAAAATAAACAGGGGGTGGACAGGGGTGGATCTAGGGGAGGTGCAAGGAATGGGTGCCACCCTCTTTCCTGAAATGACCTCCAGCTTCCTGTTATAACTTCGCAGTCAGCAACAGTATACAAAATGTGATGTATTGTTTGCTATGTAACCTCAGCAGTTCACATTATTCCCAAGTCTTCATTCTTAAAATCTGTTTACATCACCTGTCAGTTATGTCACTCCTTAAAGGTTCACCCCCTCCTAAAAAAAACTACTGGATCCACCTCTGATAAAAGTCGACACTAACAGGGTACATACCATAGAAATTATTTCTTGCAATTAAGATACAAAATGTGTGTAACACAGGTTAAAATTCCTGTAATTCGTATAGGTAATAAGTAATTTTCACATTATTTGAATTAATGGTGATATAAAGTGTGGCTGTGTATTTTCACTAAGAGAATAATGTTGTTTGCATTGACTAGTAAAACTATTCAAAGTTACTGTTAGTGTAATGTTCCACAATCAGAGGGATTGTAGTTTGTAGGTAGTTTTGATTAAAAATATAAGACTTTGCAATAGTAATTCTGTGTAATTTCTAATTGCAATAAATGAAAGAATGAAATATGTACCATGGTTCTCAAATAGCCAAGCTGCTATGCATAAATAGCTACAGCATTGCTATGCTGGCCAGGTTTATGGTGATCGCAATTTTGAAAAAGAATCCAGAATTCTGGTTTGTAGGTCTGGTGCGGATTTATTTTCAACCCGCACTTCTTGAACCAAAAGCAAATCCTGTGTTTTATCTCTCTGGATTCGCCTAAAGGCTTCATTTTTTGGCAACTTTTGTTACTAAGGTTAATAGTGAACGAGAAGGAATTGGAACAAATAAAAGGTCGAGCTTTCCTAAATCGAGGAAGCATGGGTTCTAAGTGATGATCGGAAAAATGGCGGGAGATTAAACTTAAATACAGTATTTGTACCCGTCCATGGCTTAGGACCTGGAGAAATATTCTTAGATGGGTGTCAATAATCTCTGGTTTATTTTAGAACCAGCCAAGAGAACAGAAAACCTCTCTGCCCTCCGCAATAAGACGCTCTGTGTGGACTTAAGTGGGTGGATTTGCGAGGCTCAATGTGCAAAAGGTTTGAAAAACAACGTAAATAAACCGCACTTGCGAAATCTTTACTTCCGATTGCTTCACTTGACTCGACTTGGAGTCAAGTTGGTGTTTGTTGTTGATGGAAAACCACCTGAACTGAAATGGTCGCCAAGCGAGTTGAAGCGAGAGATGGCGGGCAGTTCTGCAAGGTCAAGAAACCTGCTAAAGCTAGCGCTGGCTCGGGGGCTCGTGTCGGTCGATCGCAGTTTGCGATTTGGGTCAGAGAGGTAAGATCATCTTTCTTTTACGTTTTCATTTTTTTACCAGATCTCTTTCTGTATTATGGCTGAATGTTTCTTATGCTAGAACGCAGAACTGGCGTGATTTTTTCTGCGTTTTCAGGCGAACGGAGGTAAGCGCAAGTGCACAACGGGAACAGCGCGAAAAAAAGAAATAACTCGAACTTCGCGCTTGCCTCCGTTTGCCTGAAAATCACGCCGGTTCTGTAGGCTATGCCTGATGCGAATTGCAGATCCACTTTGCAGAGATTCCAACCCTCCCGATTTGATCGGGAGTCTCCCGATTTGATGTCTTGCCTCCCGCTCTCCCGATTTTTACCAATTTCTCCCGTATGTTATAACTCAGGCCGGAATGATGTCAAAATTCAGGAAATGGCACTTGAGAGAACCTAAATTTGCAAAATTTCCCGGGGGCATGCCCCCTGACTCCCCCTAGAAGCTCGCGCCTTTGGCACTAATAATTACTCCCTATTTTCCATCACATGGGGTTGGAATCTCTGACTTTGATGCGATCACGCCGTTCCGCGCAAGAATAACTGAGGAGCTAAATTGACGCAGTGGTTGGAGAGTAGGGGGTCTTTTGTTATAATGTATGTGGGTGGAACAATGCTGTAAGGGGGGCTGTCCTGGTGTACCGGTACACGGGGGAATTCCTATTGTTTTCACATTCATACATGGAGTTGTGACGCAGTTCGTTAATGTTTCGTTCCTTTGTGTACCGGTACACGAGGACACAACCCTGTAAGGTGCAACTTTGTCAGCTTTCGAGAGTAAAAGCACCAAAACACCCATTCCCCCTCCCCCCCCCCACAGTTTATACTACATGGGATCAGGCCTGGCTAACGGTTTTTGGGTATCGAGGGTCAATTTTTTAAGGTGTGTAGTTTGTCTAAGGGTTATTTAGGTGTGTTTCTCAGAACACTGACCAACAATAATTTCTAAAAGTCTATGTTGCTAAAGAGAGGAATTACTCACACACTTTTTCTTTTAAGTGTAAAAACTGGTTTAAAGAGGGGGATAAAGGGGAAGTCTTGCTAATGTTTCACAGACATGAAGTAGATATAGTGCATTGTGAAAAATCAGATATTTGCATCTAAGTTCACGCATTGCAAATAGCAAAAATTTTGTAGTTCATTGGGACTTTTAATTTGGTATCTTCACTGGTCATGAAATTTGAAAACACTTTATCCTCTATTCCAATAACCCCTTCCCCCCCCTTTTTTTATGAAGAAGTGTGCCTATTGATTTTCCAAATGCACAAGTCAGGTGTTAGAAATAACTTAGGATTCATGAGATAACTCTGAAGACATTTATGAGGTTTTTGTAAATTTAATACTTGAGAGCTGGCAGGTTGCAAATGTCAATGTACTGGCAATAAACCTTGTTTTTTTTTGTAATACATTCTGTCCAATTAACCCTTCAACTCCCAGATCAAATTTGTAATTCTCCTTACTGTCAGCCATACAATTCATATGATGTTAGTTCTGAGAATTTAGTATTGGATCAACTCGTTATCCCCAAATTGATCTTTTTTTATCTGGTTGATATTGTATAAACATTGTAAGGAAAAATTCTGTCTTGGTCACTCATGGGAGTTAAAGGGTTAACTCTCTTCCTTGCTGCTTGGCATTTGTTAGTAAATTAGAAAAATCCTTTTCCTTTCATGTACGGTATCACAGATCGTCACTGGCTCAGAAGACAGGTTGTCACCTGACTTTGAAGACAAATTTTGCCCCAGGAACTGGAACAGTGCGAAAATGAAAATAAACCTCTCTTTATACATGACAGAACACTATCACTTTTCGGAAAAACAGAATGAATTAATCATTTTTTGAGCCAAAAATAAGTTTCATTCGACAAACAGTGTTATAGAGAAGGCAAAGGTACGAGTTTATGTAAGTCTTTCTCATAGATTTCCTCCTTCAGAAACATGTATTTACACCTGATCGGTAAGATCGGTATAAAACTAAAATGGTGCAGTTTTAAGCGTGACTACCAGAAACTGATGTGTCTTCTTCGTGATTAAGTTTTGGTTTCCCACTTCCGGAAGTCACTGGAAAGAGGAAGTTGAGAGACTACCCCGGACAGATTCATGTTGCCCACTCCCTAAGGAGGGAGGGAGTTGAGAAAGTCTCGTGGTTTCACAGTACACAGCTCAGAAGGTAGTAGGAAGTATGGCTAATCTTTGGAGATTATGGAGCTTTCTCTATGGAATTATCCTTTGGTCGTGTATGTTACGCGCCTTTTTTGTGAGTGGTCGACTAATAAGAAAAGGCGAAGCCAGAACAAACTCGACCTTGCAAGAATTCGAGCGAGGAATGGACATGTTGGAACAATGCAAAACCTTGAATTGCTCGTTCGCCATCGATGGAGACGAATGCGAAAAATTCAAGGAATCGGTATACACAGAAAAAGCACTGGCTATTTTCATTACCGTAAACGTCACAAATTCGACGAATAACGAAGAAACCGCAGGAAAGGTCTTGGGGGAGAGTGGAGGCAATGGAATGGAGAACGATCAGGTGAAGCAAAAGTGGGTATGGCTGCGAGACGCGCGTGGAAAGTTTCTTGTCACTCTACCTTACGACTTCGATATTCTTTCCCTCTCCACTTTGAAAAAGGATGTGCCAAGTATAACTATGAAATTTAATACGACGCCTCAATACTGCTTTGCAAACATGTCTAAAACTTGTCGACGCAGTTTTATTGCGTCAGCCATCTTTAATTGTCTTGGAGACACTTATGGTAACCTCTGTGTGAGACCACAAGAACATGAAGAATATAAAGAATATCGCTGTTGTAATAAAAAAGACAATGATTATGTTTGTGATGAACCCATAAAAGAGAATCAGTGGATTGAAATTGCTATCAGGTTTCTATGGGCTTGCTCAATTGGGTTTGGCCTGTTTGCACCCCTTTTGTTAAAGTATTTTCCAAAAGAGTTTAAAAAGAGACCTAAAATAAGGCCAGCGAGGTCATTGTTAAGTAGAAGTGAATCAGTGTATACAGATAATGAAACCCTATCAGTGGACACAACAACATTGGGTGAGCGTCCACTGATGTTCGCTCTTGATGATGGAATGTTAGATTTACTACGCACTAAAACGGAGTCAGTGGTTTTCTCAAGATTGAGTCGTTGTCTTTTTGTCATCTTGCTGAGTTCTCTGCCTTTGCTACAAGGTTTTATATACACGCACTTAAAGAAGGAGGATGGGGGAGCTACCACTGGAAAATTTCTTGGTGTTGGAGATGCATTTATCACTTTGATGGAACCAGATGGACTAATTGCACTGAGTGCTGCATATGGTTTTTGCATCATGGTAACATGCATTGCAGTTGCAATCCCTAGAACCTTGTCTGATTGTGCAAGGCGGCTCTCTGGGAGGAGAGATGAGCGCACATTCCTTGGATTCAAGAAACCTGATGAGATCATTGGTATCTCAGACAAGAGAGGGTTCCAGCTGATGTATGAGAACATGGTCTTTCATCTATACTGTCTACTTAAATTAAAATTTTGGAAGTTTGTGCTCCTGGTGATGATCTATCCCTTACTAAAACTCTGCAACATTGATGTCTTTGATGAAGACCTTGCAGAGTCAGATGAAAATGTTGAACAATCAGATGAGGAAGAAAACTGTCAACTGTGCTCCAAAATTTGTAAGGTAGTGCTAACACTGCTCTTGTTTCCATTTTGGGCAGTCCTTATCACCACAGCTTTCTTCCTGTACATTTTTCCAGTTACTTATGTTGGTTTTCGCATCTGGATAATGCTGTTCCGAATTGAAATAGAATCGCCATGCTGCCAGTACATCCCTGCATGTGTGAGAATAACAACTTTTCCAGTTTTGTACATCCTGTTTATAGTGTTTTGCATGTGTGTGGAAGCATCTTATTACATGTTAGCAGTCGTCCTGACATTCAACATCATGGTTCTGGGAAGCGTTATTGGATTTACAATAATTGGATTTCTCTTTAACATTGAATTTTATTTTCCTTACATTATTCTTAGCTTGTGGGTTATAGTATACATTCTCAGAGGAACACATAAATATTACACTCAATTTACCAACCTTAAGACTATTGTTTTTGAAGAGTGTGAAAAATTTGACGAAGAGACTAGGAAGGAAGCCAGCATCCGTGAAACTTTTAGTGGTGCACCTCCCGAGAGAAGGTCTCCGTCACTTTCTTCCCTTCCAAGGAGCAAGTCAACTTCAGCAAACTTCCTTATCACAGTTGATGGTTATGGTGTTCCCAGCATCCCACTGGATATTTTCCTCGCATCCTCTCGTAAACTAATGCCTTTCAAGCGTATTATACTGGCCAAAATTTTTAAGGTGATCGCACTGGGAAGTTACCTTGTAGTGATATTCTTGTTTGTGATGTCACTGATGGAATTTAAAGCTGTGAATCCCATAGTTCAAGGACTGGCACTGTTATTTCTTGGTGGACTGCCCCTGTTGACTCAGCAAAGCCCACATCATAAAATAGAGGCTGAAGAAATCAGAGCAAGGTTTTATGTCAGGGATTTCATGAAACAGTACACAAAGAGGGATTTGTAAGTTTTCCTTACGTAATTTGCAGTAGAGCAACTTTTGATTACTTTAATGAACACCAAGATTTAAATATCAATTTTCTGTTCTGTTTCTGAACTTTTTTTTAATTACCTGTCAATTCTGAGAATTGGCTGGAAAATTAAATACTAAAAATTCTCACCTGGTTGATATTTTTCTTTCTACTCATTACCTTTCCACTTGAAAATGGCTTCTTAGTATTATTAGGAGAAATTCCATTTTTTGTCACCCCAGGAGGGTGACAGGGTGAAATAAGTAGCAAGTAATGTGATACTTCATTGCATTTCTCTGTGATTTTTTTCCAGGAAACTTTGAGATTAACAGAGATTAAACAACTGTGACTTGCATTTTTGCTCCCATTTTTCTGGTTTTCATAGAGTTTCCTGTGTTGACACTGAGTTTTCATTGGCTCCCTGTGATATTCTTGTTTTAACCTTTTCACTCCTAATATCTAAGTAGTAATTCTCTTGCTGTCTTTCATAATATTCTTGTGATATTTGTGTGGAGAATTTAGTATTGGATCAACCAATAATCTCCTCATTGATATTTTTCTCTATTCTCTACTGAGCTCAAAATTGACCATCTTTCTCATTCTATTTGCAATAATAAACAGTTCTTACTTTGATTAAAAGATGATTTCCTGTTCATGACTTGCAAAATCTTATCCACACCCTTCCAAAACTATAAACTAGAATCAATTTGCTTAAGCTAGCTTTGTTATAATACTGTTTTAACACTAACCCACTACATGAGAAAATGCTGGACAAACAATTACCTTTGAAATCACACCCACAGTGTTGTAGTGAAGAGCACTGTGTCAGTGAAATGTCCTCTAATTATTGTTAGAAACTTATTTGTTTCTCCTTTCCCAACCTTATCGATGAAAGAATGGAAAGAGAGATCTAAAAAGAATTGTGGTTGAAAATTAAGTAGTCTTCAGCCAAGTTTGGGCACAAACGTAGTGCATGTTTCTCATTAGAGAGGGTGGCTATAGGTTTTGCTGTTGTCCAAAGCCTCTATTTTTGACATGTAATGGTTGAAATGCGAAGCCCTGGTTATGAAAATAAAGTTTTATTTTAAGCTAAGTCAATCTCATTTTCACTAATCTTTTTAGTTACTTGATAGTTTCTCAGTGGAACTCAGAGGTGGCCTATGTTATGTAAAGGTTATTTAGTATTCATAGGTTATGAATATTGATTCTTTCATTTTAACTCTGTTAATTCAAATAAAAAGCCTAGGTAAGAAAAAATAAACAGGGGTGGATCTAGGGGAGGTGCAAGGAATGGGTGCCACCCTCTTTCCTGAAATGACCTCCAGCTTCCTGTTATAACTTCGCAGTCAGCAACAGTATACAAAATGTGATGTATTGTTTGCTATGTAACCTCAGCAGTTCACATTATTCCCAAGTCTTCACTCTTAAAATCTGTTTGCATCACCTGTCAGTTATGTCACTCCTTAAAGGTTCACCCCCTCCTAAAAAAAACTACTGGATCCACCTCTGATAAAAGTCGACACTAACAGGGTACATACCATAGAAATTATTTCTTGCAATTAAGATACAAAATGTGTGTAACACAGGTTAAAATTTCTGTAATTCATGTAGGTAATAAGTAATTTTCACATTATTTGAATTATTGGTGATATTAAGTGTGGCTGTGTATTTTCACCAAGAGAATAATGTTGTTTGCATTGACTAGTAAAACTATTCAGTCAAAGTTACTGTTAGTGTAATGTTCCACAATCAGAGGGATTGTAGTTTGTAGGTAGTTTTGATTAAAAATATAAGACTTTGCAATAGTAATTCTGTGTAATTTCTAATTGCAATAAATGAAAGAATGGAATATGTACCATGGTTCTCAAATAGCCAAGCTGCTATGTGTAAATAGCTACAGCATTGCTATGCTGGCCAGGTATATGGTGATTGCAAAATTGAAAAGGAATCCAGAATTCTGGTTCGTAGGTCTGGTGCGGATTTATTTTCAACCCGCACTACTTGGACCAAAAGCAAATCCTGCGTTTTATCTCTCTGGATTCGCCTAAAGGCTTCATTTTTTCGCAAATTTTGTTACTTAGGCTGAGGTTCTAATGGTGAACGAGAAGGAATTGGAACGAACAAAAGGAGCTTTCCTAAATCGAGGAAGCATGGGTTCTAAGTGACGATCGAAAAAATGGCGGGAGATTAAACTTAAATACAGTATCCGTACCCGTTCATGGCTTAGGACCCGGTGAAATATTCTTAGATGGGTGTCAATAATCTCTGGTTTATTTTAGAACCAGCCAAGAGAACGGAAAACCTCTCTGCCCTCCGCAACAAGACGCTCTGTGTGGACTTAAGTGGGTGGATTTGCGAGGCTCAATGTGCAAAAGGTTTGAAAAACAACGTAAATAAACCGCACTTGCGAAATCTTTTCTTCCGATTGCTTCACTTGACTCGACTTGGAGTCAAGTTGGTGTTTGTTGTTGATGGAAAACCACCTGAACTGAAATGGGATGCAATCGCCAAGCGAGTTCAAGCGAGAGATGGCGGGCAGTTCTGCAAGGTCAAGAAACCTGCTAAAGCTAGCGCTGGCTCGGGGGCTCGTGTCGGTCGATCGCAGTTTGCGATTTGGGTCAGAGAGGTAAGATCATCTTTCTTTTACGTTTTCATTTTTTTACCAGATCTCTTTCTGTATTATGCCTGAATGTTTCTTATGCTAGAACGCAGAACTGGCGTGATTTTTTCTGCGTTTTCAGGCGAACGGAGGTAAGCGCGAAGTGCACAAGGGTAACAGCGCGAAAAAAAGAAATAACTCGAACTTCGCGCTTGCCTCCGTTCGCCTGAAAATCACGCCGGTTCTGTAGGCTATGCCTGAGGCGAATTGCGGATCCACTTTGATGCGATCACGCCGTTCCGCGTAAGAATAACTGAGGAGCTAAATTAAAGTAGTGGTTGGAGAGTAGGGGGTCTTTTGTTATAATGTGTGTGGGTGGAACAATGCTGTAAGGTGCAACTTTTCTCAGCTTTCTAGAGTAAAAGTACCAAAACACCCATCCCCCCAGTTTATACTACATGGGATCAGGCCTGGCTAACGGTTTTTGGGTATTGAGGGTCAATTTTTAAAGGTGTGTAGTTTGTCTAAGGGTTATTTAGGTGTGTTTCTCAGAACACTGACCAACAATTTCTAAAAGTCTATGTTGCTAAAGAGAGGAATTACTTATACACTTTTTCTTTTAAGTGTAAAAACTGGTTTGAAGAGGGGGGTAAAGGGGAAGTCTTGCTAATGTTTCACAGACATGAAGTAGATATAGTGCATTGTGAAAAATCAGATATTTGCATCTAAGTTCACACATTGCAAGTAGCAAAAATTTTGTAGTTCATTGGGACCTTTAATTTGGTATCTTCACTGGTCACGAAATTTGAAAACACTTTATCTTCTATTCCAATAACCCCTTCTCCCCCCTTTTTTATGAAGAAGTGTGCCTATTGATTTTCCAAATGCACAAGTCAGGTGTTAGAAATAACTTAGGATTCATGAGATAATTCTGAAGACATTTATGAGGTTTTTGTAAATTTAATATTTGAGAGCTGGCAGGTCGCAAATGTCAATGTACTGGCAATAAACCTTGTTTTCTTTTTTTGTAATACATTCAGTCCAATTGACCCTTCAACTCCCAGATCAAATTTGTAATTCTCCTTACTGTCAGCCTTACATTTCATATGATGTTAGTTCTGAGAATTTAGTATTGGATCAACTCGCTATCCCCAAATTGATCTTTTTTTATCTGGTTGATATTGTATAAACATTGTAAGGAAAAATTCTGTCTTGGTCACTCATGGGAGTTAAAGGGTTAACTCTCTTCCTTGCTGCTTGGCATTTGTTAGTAAATTAGAAAAATCTTTTTTTAACACAGTGCCGGAAGTTGTTGAACCTACTAGGGGTGCCATGTCTTGAGAGCGAGGGTGAAGCTGAAGCACTTTGTGCATGGCTTGATCTCCATCAGGTAGGTTTAGAGATATTTTACTTCTTGTTTTGAAAGGTGTGTTTGTTCATCATGGTTATAATGATAAGTGATATTTCACCCTTTATACCCTAACTTCAGTATGCATATTCTCAATACTGTCCTCTTTTCATTTTCTGTGGTACTTACAAGGAGCATTTGTTAGAATGAATGGTGAAAGGCTTATGCCTGAATCATCAACTTTGAAACTCTTTATGGTGGCTTAAATATTGCCTGTTTGTGATCTTATATTGCCTGGGTATAATTAATTTTTGATAAATTTGATATTGAGAGTCTGATTTTTAATAACTTTTGGTATAGCAAATAAAAGTTATACTTAACAGTAAATAAATCAATTACCTACAGATTGTGGATGGGTGTATAACCAATGATGGAGATGCATTTTTGTATGGAGCTAGAACAGTGTACAGAGATCTTTGTATCAGTGGAAAGGTGAGGCATCTTCAGATTGTGGTTCATGTAGTTCAATCATCTTACTGTGTAACTAAGTAAACTGTGAGCAAAAGAATCATGGAATGTTATTGTATTCCAGGGAAAAAGCTATACATGCCTAACAAAACCAAGAGAAATGGATGTGTTCTGCTGTAAGAAAACAATTTGAAAATTTGGGGTGAACTGGTAAAAGTAGGAGCAAACTGGCTTCGCTTCAGGAGGTGAACTTGCATAAGTGGAAGGGAATGAACTTGCAATATAATGGGGCAAAACCTTCATAAACATTAAAAAAAGATCTAGATTTAAGGTGTTTAAGCTTCTTTTTTGTTTAAATTTTCAGGGTGGGTCAGTAGAATGTTACAAAATGGAAGAGATTGAAGCCAAGCTTGGTATGTCACACCATGACTGCCCTCATCATGTTTTCCAAAGAAGTCCACCATTGTTCTTTCTTCATTTTTCTCTTGTGGGAGCTCTTGCTGAGTGAAAATTCTTGCACTCCTCACTAGCTCTGTTCACTGGAGAAATCAATTATCCTAGAACTCAATATTTTTGTCTTAGATTCTTCTCCATAATCTTATTTTGAATACTAATGTATGCTTGATAAATCACCAGGGCTTGCCTACAGGTGTAACAATAATGAAAATTATAGGAATTTAGCAATGAACATACCATGAGGTGGCTCTGCTTGTCAACTGTTTCCAGATTAAATTGGAATTTCAAATGTTAGTTTCAGTGTAGGGAGGAAACTGGCGGATTTGGAGAAAATCCCTCAGAGCAAGAAATAGAACCATCAACAAACTCAACCTAAAATTTTACCCTGGCCACAGGGAGGCCAGCACTTTCACCTCTGTGCCATCCCACTACAATCTTCAACAGATGGTTAAATTAAAACTGTTATATGTAGCTTTTTCATGCTTTATTTTAGATCTCAACAGACAGAAGCTGGTTGCACTTGGCATACTTCTAGGATGTGATTACCTTCCACAAGGCGTATCAGGAGTAGGAAAGGAAATTGCCATGAAGCTAATTAAGAGTGTCAATCACAAAAACCTACTTGACAGGTTGAAATAATACTTAAAATTCAATGTTATCTACTTTTAATTAATTGCAATCAATGCCAATTACAGTATGCTTCATTTATTGACCTCTCTTGATTGTGTAGCTGATAAGAGCATGACTTGCCTTTAAAGGCACACAGGTTTAATTGATATTTGGCTCAAAATTCTATGGAAAACCATAACAAGTCCTAAAAAAAAAAATTGTGAACATTTCATCATTTCATCATTCATCATGATTTCGCACCTTTGATATTAATAGCAATTTGTGCTCTTACAAGGTGACACTGATACAGTCATGACATTCTTAACAATAGTTTACAGATGATACAGCTGTTAGGCTGTTTTCATTTGTTTTGTACTTGCATTAATTCTGGATTGATTTCTTTAAGGTTCTATGAATGGACAAAGGTTTCAGACCATGATGAAATTCTTTCAAGTGTGGAGAAGCTTGTGAAATGGTAAATCTTTTGATAAAGTGACAAAATTCTTAAAACAGTTGCCAAACCCTGTAACTAACCAATCTCGAGTGGAGTGCCATGTTATTATAGTCTTCAATGGATACTGTAGGTGGACTAGATGACCAGTGTAGAGTTTTTTATTTGAATTCAGCAAACATTTTTTCACTGAACAAATTTTGCTTGACAAAATATATTTTGTTTAAATAAAACCCTAGATACAAGCATGAAACTGTGACAACGGCCTAAAAGTGATATTATTTTTATTGAATAAATGCCTTAGAGCTTTTTTTCCCAACAGCCATTTTTTAACCACCAGTAATTTAACTTGTTTATAGCAAAGCTCTAAAAGACAAGAACTTCCCACATCCAGAGGTAAGTGAACATAAATTAGTAAGAGACATGTTCTGTACAATATTTAAAACGTTTATTTAGTGACCCAACCAAGAAGTAGTGGAAGTAATTAATCCTTGGATCCCTGAGAGTGACTTTCATTTAATTTCTTCTTCACAACATCACCTTTGAATCACAAATTAAGGTCATGAGAATAAAGGAAATGATCACCAACTGTTGATTGTTGCACAAATTCTCCTTGTCATTACCCTTGGAAAAGTATATTGGACAGTATGGAGAATATGCATACTGATGTTAGGGTGTAAAGGGTCATATAGAAGCTTAGTAATTGTTTCATTGATTGCAAAGATTCAGAGCAAAATGTCAAGTAATGTATTCTCTTGCAAAGGATCATAAAATGGTAGGTCTCTTGTTGAATGTCTCTGTTTCAGACTGTTTTTGGTTTCTCATCATCAGGTTATTCAGGAATTTCTGTCACCAAAAGTTGTCCCTCAGCAAGTTTCCTTAAAGATCTTCAATCCAGATCTAAGAGGCTTGCAGGTGACTGTAACCTGTAGTGAACTTAGTCATACATGTATAGTGTAGCTTAACAGTATACTATGATTGTATGAATCATATTTTGAGGAAAACCTCAAGGAGATAAAGTTTAGTATTCATTTAACTAATACTCCTTTATGCCATGCTAATGCCTCATTTTTTTATTCACTGTGTTCAGTACTTCAAATTTTAAATTCATTAAACTTTGTTTGCATTATTTGTTGTGCCTTTCTTTATTGTAAAAAGGCAAATTCCCTCCCAGGTTATCTTGATTTCCTTTTCTTAACCTGTTCATGAAATATATTTTTTTCTATTTCACATAATTTGTGCATATGGGCAAATATTGTTCCAGTTTGTGAGCACTAAAAGTTAGGAATTGTTCACTCTTCTAGGAATTCTGCCTCAAGCACTTGGAGTGGCCTGAGGAATATATCACAGAAAAGGTTATATTGAATTTTATATCATAGAATACTTCTTCATGCTTATTTCATACTGAGGATGATAAAGAAAGTTACTGTATGCATGAAGAATGCTTGTCAATGAAAGCTTAGTTCAAAGAGATTTCTTAAATTCTAGGTTCTTCTATTGATCACCTATTGGCAAATGATATCATCGCTAGAGAATCACACAATGATACTCGTTCAACCAGAAAGGTAAAACTAACTTTGGAGTAGCTGGAATATTAAACTTTATTCTATATTGATCTGCATAGAATATACCATTCCTATTGAGTAATTCTCAGTTATTTTGATCAATACAAGCTTATCATTAAATTAAGATCAGTGTACCAATATGGTGTTTTATCTTGTATTTAGGATTGTAAAATCTCGTGTCCAACAGAGGATTGAATGTTATGAAGTTGAATGGAAAAACCTTAAACTTGGAGAAACATGTCCAGTTTCTTTTGTGACCATTGAGAGCAGAGAGGTATTACCAGGATTTGAAACAAATTGTTTGGAAAAAAATTGCTCTACCAAATGTAATTTAGTAGAGATTGATGAATGAAAGTGATGAAAAACAAGAAGAGGAAAATCATTTAGTTATGAATTTAATTTAAACACATTATCAAGGCTTAAGATTATTATATAAGGAAAATAATGAAAGGATTTCATAGGCTCCTACATTCATCTCCTCATTTCTTGCACCAATCTTTTCCTACATCAAACTCTTGGCAGCACTTCACTTTCTTGCAATAATTTCTTTGAACCTGTTATGTAACTATAGATGATGAGTAGGTGCATGATTAAATCAAATGACCTGTAGGAATTTAAGAAAACCTCTATTCTAGGTTGTATGATGTTCACTGTACATGGCATTTCATTGTGACTATAAGAGACTCACCAGAATCTTTTCAGAATTTTTTGTGCCATTGGGTTAAGCTGCTTGCAGTCTAGCCTTTTATTGTAGGGGGATTCCAAATTGCATGGTCATGAGTTTTGAATCTGATGAGTCTCTTCAGTGGGACGAAATGCAGTCATGAACTATTTTTTCATTAGTAATTGAGTATTTTCTTGCGGCAATTATTGGTACTATTGTATAGTATAATCAATATGAGGCTTTTGATTTGAGATACCAAATATTCTTAACCTTGACTTTTTTCAGCTTTTTACTCAAGCATATCCTGAGGTTGTTGAAGAATTCCACAAGAATGAAGCAACGAAACTGTCCAAAAAAACAAGTAAGCTGATAGGATATTCCTCCTTGCAGATCCTGACCTGTCTTTCAATCTTCCGAGGGAAACGGTGATCATAATGAGTGACATAATGAGTTTTTACTTAGGTTGTTGAATTAACTAAGCTTCTACCTTTCAATGTATTTAATGTATGTGCTGGTATTTATTTGTTATTTCAGAAAAGAAGAAAGCCACTACATCTGTGTCCTCTTCAGAATATCTTGAAAATGAAGTGGAGTTTCTATCAAGGCAGCTCGAAGATATAAGTGTGGGTCATTCTCAACAATTGCAAAGTTCTGAGCCAAAAAATGAAAGTTGTTCTAGCAGTTTATTTGGCAATGTCTCAACTAACAATTCCCTGCAAGATGTTATTGACTCTGTACTTCCAACATTCAATGGTTACTCACTACATCCACCAAGGATGAAACTCTCACTTGTCAATAGTGGTCATCCTGATAGTGATGATGATGGATATCATGATGACAGTGATAACAATGATGATGATGATGAGGATGATGACATAAAAGAGTGCAATGTGAATATACCTGGGGATCCCAATTCATTACAAAGGGAATTAGCTCCAGATAATCTTGATTCTGAATATGGGTGTGGAGTTGATGGCAGTTATGGTGGGATATCAAAATCTTTGATGTTAAGAGATGTTCAAGCAACCCAGTGTCATCTTCAAGTAGATGTTTCCATTGAGAATCATGACATGACAGATAAGAAAATTTCCAATGTTAAAACAAATGAATATCCAAGGAAAAGACATGAAGCAAGGACAGTGGAGGAGGTTAAATCCATTTCAGAAAGTACAACTCAAAATGACTTTAAGTCCAGAAATATAAATGAACATGGAAAGAAATTTAAGTTAGTAAATAATATAAAAAAATCAAAGCAAATGACAGTCTTAAGCGAGGCTGATGTTATTGAAATTTTTGGGTCCAGTGATGAGGATGATGATAGCAAATCATTTTTGTCAAGGCAGGTCTCTTCAAAATTCACGGAAAAGACATTGAAAGGAAGTGTAAGTAAGATCAAGTCAAGAAATGAAATTCCTGGTTTTGTCACCGAGTCCTCAGAGATGAAAAGCTTACTGGGACCAGTCCATTATGCAAATTCAGACTTTTTAGGCCAAACTCGTCCGCACAATTTCCCTGAGGAATATAGTTTTAGGACAAATGAGTGTGTGCCAGGTAGTTTGCAAGAGTTTTTGAGGGATCATTCAAGGGCTTTCTTAGGTAAAGATGACGTGAAGTATGTAAATGACACAAAGAAAAGCAAGAAGGAACTACTAGAATCCAAAGGGCAAGTTCTTAAGCCACAAAATAATGGCCTAATCAGTGCACCTCAGAGTTTAAATTGTAAATCCAAAACAGCTGTGAAATCTGATGGTTTCTCTGATGTTTACTCAGCTGGTAGATATGAAGAAGTTCAAGGAGATAAGTGTGGGAAAGAAAATGTTGATTCACCATTTGATGATTTTATGCCTGCTCCTCTGTCAAAACGACTGGAAAAGCAGCTGAGAGGCAAACAAAGACTTGCTAGCCTTCATTCCATTTCATCTGTTACAGATAATAAATGAACTGAAAAAAGGAGTCTTAAACACAGAAATACTAATAATGGTTCCAAAAAATATCAAGTTTACTTTATACTATTGATAACTTTAAAATATACTATTTTCAGTAATGTTATAATAAGTCAAGTTCAAATGGAAAGTCCGAAGTTGAAAGTTCACTGTTTGTTAAACACTGATATTCCAATCTGTACTTCATGTAGACGAGATTTGATCTGTGCCACCAGTAAAAAGCTACAACAATAAATAGGTGCCACCATTGATGGCTTGATCCAACATAGTTTAGTTTACCTGCAAAAGGAGAAGAAAAAAGTTATGGGTTACCATAAGTACTACATACCTTAGGCCTCTCCCATAGAATGTTCTGTTTCCCATTGCCCAACCCAACCTTTGTTTTGGAGTTTCAGATGATTAAGACTTTGCCTCAAAGTTATTGTTAATTAATTACCCTAATTAACTTTAGCTTTTATATTGTATCAGGAACATTCTGCTCAGGAAAACTGGTAGAAAAGGACACATGAATTCAAGCTTTTCTTGAACTTGGGCTCTCATTCAATTTTTTTTTCAAGTTTTTCCCCAACCGACAGAGCCACTTTCACTGCAGGAAAGGCGATGGGAAATGAAATGAGCACTGTATGGTAAGAAAACTTAATAAACCCTTTGACCCCTAAGAGTGATTAGCATCTTATTTCTCCCAACAATGTAACCCCTAAATCACATATTAAGATTATGAGAATAAAGGAAATGATCAGCGACTAAAGAAAAGCTTGTATGAGTCGTGATTGTTAAACAAATTCTCCTTGTCAACACCTTAGTAAATTTAATAGAGAACAGTATGGAGAATACCCATATTGATGTTGGGGTGGAAAGAGTGAAAACAGTATTTTTTGGGGTGCACTAAGGACTAAATGAGCTTGTGCAGTCGACACCAACCACAATTATTCACCTCAGCTAAAGAAAGTGGTGGATATCAGTCACAATTTAGTGAAAAATAGCAATTCTAGCTAACAATTTTAATGTAATTATCATTTTGAACGCAAGTTTCATGTATTTAATTTTAAATTAAAGCACAATCACGTTGTTTACTTTACCTGGGAAATATCGTTCTGGTATTTTAAGTGCATAAAATCCTAAAGCAAGAATTCCCAGCAAATACATGACAACCACTTTTGGAATGAAGAGCTAAAAGAACAATTAAAATGTGTTAGATTTCAGGTAATAAAAGTAAATTTATAATACTTTTAATTTAATAATACTTTTAGAATACTGTCGAGAAGAATGATTTAGAGACTTTCATTTTGAAAATAAATCACCTTTACCCTGCATTTCAATTTGCTGATTCTTAAAGTGAATTTCCAAAGGTGAGCTTCAAAGCATGAGAATTTGCAAACAAATTGCACCTAAAAAATCAAAGTATCTTGTACACTGTTTTGGTTATCATCAATGATAATCTTCTCCAAGGTAAAACATCTGGGTAGCAAGACCTATCCCCCTTAAACTAACTTTTGTGTACCTACCCTCACAGAGAAGTCATTCCATCCTCCAAGCAGCAGTACCCAGTGGATTGCTGGGACCACACCATATGCCACCAGGCTACAGAACAGTAAAAGACGTCTACTTGCCCAATGTGATGTCAAGAAAGAATGATGAAATTGAAATGCCAATGAAACAAAAGTCAGAAGAATCACACCACCCAGGTAAATGCTTTGCCAAGTCTAGAAGATCAATTCAAAGTAAAAAGTATTATTTTAGATTTCTAGACTTAACTGTTACTAAAAAAAAAAAAATAGTTTTTCGAAATTCAATTACCTTGCTATAACAAAGTGTGAAGAAATTTCCCTCACACTTTGTTATAGCAAGGTATTTGAACCACCAGTGATTATATACTGATGTGATAATAGATCATCCTCATGGCCTAAAAATTATATAAGGTAAATTTTACCGTTGATTATGTACTCTGATCATGCTGGTGAGGGCTGTCCCAATAGGGACTGTTGTCAGTTACAATGACCGAAGTTCCAACAACCTGAGTGGAAGTCATGATCAGAGTCTTTATATCTCACATATGCTATGCATGTCACATGCCTACCAATTAAAGCTGTCAATCACTTGTGAATACTGGAGAATCTCACACCTATGACTCACAATTCTAGAGTGCTACCCTTTATCAACTACCAAGCAATAGAAATCTAGTGTTCACAACCTAAATATTTACCCTTTCACTCTCAAAGTCTTATTAGTAATTCTCCTTGCTGTCTCTCTGATGTAATGTGAGTTTGGAGAAATTGGTATTGGATCAACTAATAATCCATTATTTTGATTTTCTTTTTTCTCATTACTTGTCTGCTCCATGTTGTATCAGAAGTATAAGGAGAAACTCTGTCTTGGTCACTTGTGGAAGTTAAAGGATTAAAAATAAATTGAATATAGATTCCCACTAACATTTATCTGAATAAATATATATTCCAAGATACACTGTATATCCCTTACCACATGACAATAAAATGCGTAGTAAACTGCAGGCACATAGCAAGCACACACACCAAGTGAGACACCAGCCAGGTCAAGTGACAACCAAAGGTGAAAAACTCTTTCAGAGTGACAGCAAAATAAATGATAGAAGGCAGAAAAGAACATGCAAATCTGGAAAAGAGGAAACATACCACTGTTCAGGAGTAAGGATGAGCACTTGGTGAGCACAAGTTGGAAGCCTGCGCTGTTCTGTAATAGGCCATTTTACAGTTGTGCACTTAGTTGCCAAGCCTTTGATTTGGAGTGAGGCTGAAGGTGACCTTGTTGTGATAGAGACCAGTGTCTAGTTAACATGATGACAAAGTAATTTATATTTGAAAAGCAGCAAGGTTTGTATCATCACAAGGTCACCCTTAGCCTTACTCCTATTCAAAGGCTTGGCAACCAAGCACACAATAATTGGTTATTTTAAACAGCCTTCAAGATTCCATGGGCAAAGTGAGTTTGGGGATAAGTTTATATTAACAGTAATAACATGGTGCTTGTCAAAAGTTAAATTCGATAGTACTGTCTTGAAACAAAACAAACCATTACTGTTTGCTTTATCTAGTAGGATGAAGGATTCTGGAACAATGCAAAATTATTTGAATTTTTTTATTTCATCCACTTTCAAGGTGTCTTTCTTACCATATAGCCAATAAGTAAACATGTGAGCACCACATGATCAGAAAATGTTCCATTGTGTTCTGGAATCTTGGCTAAGTTATCAACAAGGAGAAGGTAAAAGAAGTACAAGAATCCAAGTAAGTGAGACCAGATGTTGATGGACTCATTGGACAGTACAAAGAGACTGCAAAGTGAAGAGAAATTTCAAAGGTCAGAGTAATTTTACAAATAAAGAATTTTTACTCTTTTCACCCGAACATCAGTATGCAAGTTCTTTATGCTGTTCTATATCATTTCCTATAGTTCTTACAAAGAGAATTTGTCTAACAATCAAGAGCTTCTTGAGTTTGTGGTCATTTCCTCTGTTCTCAAAACCTTTATGTTTGATTAAGGGTGAAGCTGTTGGGAGAAATTAGATGCTTATCACTTTTAGGGGTTAAACTAAGAAGAGGTGTTGGACCTAATCCCACCTTGATATGTATGAAATTACGAGGAGTATAATTTTTGAAACTGCTTCTCCAGGCTACTCATTTGCAGAAAGTGAGTTAATCAGCTATGTAGTTCATCCCCTAATTTTATCAGCTGAAGTTTCCAAGAAAGTTTGGCGGTGCTCATTTATACTCCGCCTGGATTAAGAAACCATTAACGCAACACAATGACGCTAAACAGGGCAGTTCCCTTGACCTTAAAATGCAACATTAAGCATACTTACCATAAAGCCACTCAAAAAGGGCTAACCACGAGCCCACAAAAAAAGGTAAAAATATTGCTTCAATGTAATCAATTCTAATGACACCACCTTTTTCTGTTGAGGGTTAATAATTAATAGAAGAAGTAGAAACTTTCTGGAGTTCTAAGGCTATGATAACTGGGGTTAAGAGAAGTAATCAACATATTATTTATTTGTAACCTTTCTTTCTGAATATTCTGCTTACCTCCCATGAAAGACTTGTCCCTGTATGTATGCTGTCAAAAGTAACCCCAATGCAACCCGTAACAAAAGCAAAGCCACACCCAAGGGAGAAAGACTACTGCCCCTTCTACAAACCTTTTGATGCACATTTTGAAAGACAACAAAGCCCGGTAACCAGACGTTACGTACGGATTTCCTCTTAGGAAGTACGGGACATCGTGGTAGTCATACAATTTCACAACCTTCGAATCCAGAAGAAAAGTACTTTTCAAATCTTTCTCGAACCCTCTCTCGTTTAAGTCCATTTGAATGCTCGGGAGATCAGCCATCTTTAATGTTCTCGATGTCCGATCTTCATTAGTAGTGTGTTACTACAGCGGACAACCAAAATCAAGGCGAATGGCAGAGTGCTTGGTTACTAGCAGGTTTCGATTCTGGAGAGTATTCTCTCTGCTGCGTTTTCTTGTCCTTGCATTCACATGCTTTTAGTTGTATTTTCTGTTGACGTGACCAGGATTGGAGGAGGAGTTCCAGCAGAATTCCCTACACATTTATTCTTCAAAGTAAGCGGAAATAATGATATCAATAATTGCCGGGCGTTCTAAGCTCCCCTAATCCTTTTTCTTCTCGTGGTCCTCCCGTGACTGTTTTCGATCGTGCGTTTACCCAAATTTGGTCAAGATCTCCAAATATAGATTGAAATGAGCGGAAATGAAGATAGAATACTCGTTCTATCGGAAGCCGGTCAACAAATGTTTTGGGAAGCGACAAGGAGCGTGGAGTGTGAATCGTGTGCCTCTCTTGTTTTGGGATAAAATATGTCTTCGGCTCGAGAAGCACGCTTGAGAGATCTACCTCATCCCAATTTAAATGACGTTCTTAAATCCAACACTTACAGCGCCATCAAACTCCTCAAAACAGGTAAACGCAAGTACAATTGTCTGCATGTGTACTACACCTAATATTCGCCTGACTTGTTGTGGATATACGTGCATTGTTCACCTTTCTTTATGACATTTTGAGCATATCCTTACACTAAAAAATCCTAAATGTAACGTTGTCATCCTCGTGTAGGGATTCCATTAAGTTATAACGACGAGATTCTGTTAATGATACCTATGTGCTAATATAGAAAATTCATGCGAGAATTCTTAATATGAAATTTTTAAACATTGACCGCATTATTTTGTTATTGTCTGAGACATTCTAAATATAGTTATTTTTCATTCATTATTCATTTATTCGTACAATACTATGCAAAAACTAAAATTATTTTAATTAGTTCACCGGTGAGTTGCTAGTTTAAACTATGGAGACTTGTAACGTTTTTAACATCATACAGTTTTTAGGTTGTTAAACCAAATGAATACCTCAATCTATATCAGATATTGTTTGAAGTGTTCAATACCACGGTGGTTGCCTTCTTAGGAAAACGCTGTTAGTATTAGATAATTAGAAAAAATGTTATAAATCCTTAACGTAACCATTTACGGAAAGATTTCCGCTAAACCCAATACTCTCTCAAACAAAATTGTTTTGCAATTCTATTATCCAGTACGCATGATCAATTGATTATGGGGTTGGGCGGAAATCTTGCCTGTTTAATTCATAACTAAAAGATTTAATGAAACAAAGTTAAATTCTATTATAATTTTAGGTTTAAGCTTATTTTTTGCACAATAATTTAATGTACACAAACTAAACGAGTTTGTGCCACTGCAATTACCTCAGCAAACTACCAAATCTTTTCATCAAAACCTATGTTTTTACAGTCATCACCCTAAAATTTAGGGAAACGTATGATTTTAGCAGAGAGAACCAAAGAAGTCTGTTAAACCTGCTGGATTTTCTTGATTTCTGAAATTGATTAATTAAAAGATGTGAACACAGCAGTGTGATCTGACTGAAGGAGGTTACCTGTGCTTCAACTAAAAAAAAAACTGACGCTGTGTCAGTTATAATCATAGATAAAAAGATTAAACTCATGTACTACGTTTTGAGACAGCTGATTGGAATCTGATAGTCACATGATGATCAAAGCATTGTATTTTCTTCAATTTGTTGACAAAAGTTTGCTAAGAAATGATAATATTTTGATAAATGAAGAAATAAACATCCTATAGTTTGTCAAACTTTAGTGTGTTCATGAAGGATAATTTGTGGAGAAATGTTAGCTCTTGAGGTTGGAGGAGATGTCATACAAAAATAATTTTATTATCAGAGAAACTCAAGGATTATTTTAAGAGACATTGACACAGCTGGCGACTGCATTTCACTTAACACAATGTCATACAGCTGGAGGTGATTTTTTTGTACAACATCCTTGTCTAATCTTCCTACACAAGTAGAATTGTACTTGCTCAGTGGCTATAAGCCTACTGACTAGCAAAATTTCAAGCCAACCTTTTTGCACATGTTGTCATCTGCTTTGATTGCATGACTCAATAAAGAATGGCTGTTTGATTAATTGCTAATTTTCCAACATTCTTTTCTCAGTTGGTGAATTTACCCACAAGGTGGCTTCTCTTAAAGAGCAGTTAGGAAACCAACTCCTTTCTCTTGTGGAATCTTTCCGCAAGAAGAACTTAGAAATGAAGAAAGACAGGTCTGTATTTCATAAGAATCCAATCAAAAAAAGAAAAAAACAACATGTGGACATTGAAAGCTCAACCCTTTACACCCTAACATCAGTATTAATATTCTCAATACTGCTCTCATACATTTCCTAAGGTGATGACAAGGAGAATTTGTTTAACAATCAAGAGCTTCCTTAGTTAGTGATTATTTCCTTTATTCTCATGACCATAATGTGTCATTCTGGGGTGATATTGTAAGGAGAAATTAGATGCTGGTCACCCCTAAGGGTTAAAGGGTTAAGCAAGATGGATTGTTTTTCCGGTTTTAATATATCTGATAAATATCTGGCAATTGGTTTGTTTTCTATTGCATATCATTGATTTTTGTAAGTTTAGAACTGCAGGATTTCCATGATTTTGGAAAAGGTTATCCTTTGCCTGTTCCAAGTACTAGTAACAATAGAATCCTTGAAACTTTCTAAATAAAGCAGAAAACATTTTTTGATGACAACAAGTTTGAGTTTAATTGCTCTGCCTGATGGTAAGGAACTAGATCTAGATTAGGGAAACTTCGTTCTAAAAAGTGCATGCATGATGCAGACACACAGTAAAGTGTACATGCATGTATACAAAAAGCACTCTTTGTTTATGTGTAGTTCATCTTTGCATGCATTTAAAAAGTATCTGCATGCATGCAATCTGAAGCTGCATGCATGCATGGGTGAATTGCATTTCCAGACAGCATGAATGGCTTGAACTTAGGGGGAACAGGATGTGGGAGTTAAAACAAGTTTCAGTTTGAGTGAGTCATCTGTTATGCATCTAAACATTGTGGTCCCATTTTGATTGCATGTGACCATGTATTACTAAATATCTTTTTTTTTAATTTTTATTATCTCTCAGATCAGCTTTAAGCAGTGCTTTCAGCTGCTGGGAAACGCTGCTTGGGGAATATGAAAAACAAGCACAGGTTATTCCAACTTTTTTGCTTTAAAATAAGTCTAGAATTTTGTTGAAAAGATTCATAACTTAAAAGAATACCAGTCATATACCAGTACACATGTGAATGAAAGGTGAAAATCATTAAATAATTGTGGTTATGACATACACATTATGCACATGGAACCCAACCTAAGAGAATGACAGGTTACCATACATGTCTTTATTTTCTCAGGATATGTTAAAGATATCATCCAATCTAGTGCGACAGGTGAATACTCCAGCATTTGAAGAGGTTATCAAGAAGAAAGCAGCCACCAAAAAGGTGTGTGATACCTACCTGTACATTACTTTACTGCATGAGCTACCTAGCTAGATCAGATACTCACGGGGAGAGCACTATCACAACTCTCTGAAGGAAGCTTTTTAAATGAAAAATTGATTAACCCTGAAACTCCCATGAATGACCATTAGACAGAAAATCTCTCAACAATATCAATATGGTATCAAGCAGACAAGCCAAAAAATGGAGATAAATATTAATTGGGGGATTGTTGATCCATTTCCAAATTCTCTGAACAAATATGCTAAGAATAGTTTGTATAAATTCTAAGGAGAATTAATATTTAAACTAAATGATGACTTGAGATTGATAATTACAAAATGTTTTATTTGGGACTAATGGTAACTGTTGATGACTTATCCTTATTGTTTTTCAGATATTTTCCTTTAGAGATAATGGTGAAAGTCAGATTGAAAAGGCAGATGAAGCATTACAAAAGGTGATGAAAGATAACTAACAAATTTTTAAAAAGTGAGTGCTTATCTAGCACCAGGTAGTCTCATTTTGTGTAGAGTGGAGCAACAGAAGGATTTGACTTCCTCTTTACATTGATATTTGACTGATCGTAGAGCAATGCATTTAAATGGTTCATAGGTATCATCGGAGTTTCAATTTGCAATCTTTAAGTTCAATAGTATATCACAGAAGATATCAAAATGTGTGAACCATGTAAATCCCAAAAGTGCAAGATTAACATACAACTTCTCCCTTTCATATCCACACATTATTATGAAAACAGGTTAAGAGAATAATCACATTTAATAAGGTGGAAGTTGTTCTCTTGATCCATCACCAAATTCTCGCAACTAATTTGCAAGGAGATGTGTAGCAGCTAATGGGGAGAATCAACAAGGGTTACAAGTTAAAAGGTTAAAGATATAGTTAGGTGAAAGACTAAAGGTGGTGGTGCACTTTTTTTTTCTTGCTTCTTGTTAGAGTGTTCTGTGATCCTGTACCACTGAACATTCACTTGAAAGCAGGGAATCTTTTGGTCAAATAAAGCAATTTACCCCATCATCAAACCCTTACTTTTTTTCTTTACTCAGCGCCACAAGGAATATTCAGAAGCTTGTGCTAAACTTGCAAAGTTGCAAAGTGCAGGTGCAGAAGCTGCCAAGGTATTGCATTTTCTTGTAGAGTTTTTCATTAAATTTGTCCTGTATCTATGGCATGAATTGATGAGGAGTTTTTGCAACCGCTTTTTTTTCTAGATTCCAGTCATATTCTTTGTCAACTTTATCCTAGGAATCTATCACAATTTGTCTGACAGGGTAATTTGGTATTATCAACTGAGCTGATAACATAAATTGGCTACTGTGAAGAGTCTTAATGCTGATGTGTTGAGTATTAGCCCTTCGTCAGAGTGAACAGTGAAGGGCTAATGCCTGAAACCAAATTACCCTGTCATACACTCCCACTGATGCAGCACCACAGTTTCTTTAGAAACTTACCCCCTTTATACAATTGTCTGACAGTTTTCTAGCTAAATAGATGTGCAATTCTGGGAAGAACCTTAGGACTAGCAGCAGTGTATGTTTACATGTGCTGCTTGACACAACAGTGGGACATATGACTTAGTTAAGACTGGTGACTCCTGTTCAAAGAGAAACTGACTTGTAATGTGTAGGAAGGACAAAGCGCAAAACTTATGCAGTAGCATTTAGTAAAATTAGTACAAGGCTTCAACCAAAATCTGTTCCAAGTTTTCAGTTGAAAGAGATGCGCAAAGGAACAGGCAACAAACAGCAATATGGTTGAGGTAACCTGGACCTCTTGATTTAGAGATCAGCATGCATAGCTTACACTAAACCCATTCATAGCCATTTTGCCCTCCTGTCCGTTCTTTTATAGAGATTAGACTAATTTTTTTATTATTATTTTTAAACTTAGAAAGTTTCTGAAAGATTTTTGTCAATTTGTAGCAAGAACATGTTCAGACATTATGCCACAATACCCACAATGCCTATGTACTTCAGCTAAATTGTGTCAACAATATGAATGGAGTGTTCTATTCTACAACACTTCCTCAAATTCTGGATGTAAGTATTGCTAAATTTTGAATGAAATTCTTTCCAAAATGTGCTGACAAGATGATAAGATAATTTGATATTATAACCTGAGTTGATGATTGAAATTGACCATCATTGGGAGTTACCTAAGCTGATTTGTGCGACAGTCTTTGCCAGAAAGGAGGGGCTGCCCGTGGTCTATCAGTGGTTTGGTCAGTCTGTCAATATTTTAAAGTCAGTTGTTCAAAGTCAATTCAAAGTCAATATTTCAAAGTCAATATTTTTAAGTCAATATTTCAAAGTCCATAGTTCAAAGTCAGTATTTTAAAATCAATATTTCAAAGGGTCTGTTGGTGCATTAAGTCAAGTTGTAAATGAAATTCCTAATTTTGTCAGTATATCATGAAGTCTCTTTTTTGTAGAGGATGTTAAGTAGTTGTTTTTTAATTAAACTCATTTTTACTCTCTCGCCCTTTGTCCTATAGGACCTACAAGATGTTCACGAAGATGTTTCAGAATCCTTGAGGGTGGCTTTGAGTGATTGTTCAAAGATTGAGAAAGAAAATGTAATTTTAACATGTTTTGTTGACATAGTCATAACCATTTCCCCCCCTTTAATTAGCATGTGATGGATGACTTCATTAATATCTCTATATATTATTACCAATAAAATAGTTTAAATTAATTTTACTAGTATAGAAAGGTTAAGTTCAAATTTTTTTTATAGCAGCAGCTCCTCGACCCTCTCCTACTCTCTTTCTGATAATGTATGAATTAATTTAAAGCTTTAACCTCCCCTTTCCTCCCCCCTCCCCCACCCAGGGCAACCTCTTGGGCATTCAACTTTTGAAGATTGGCTCACTCAAATTCCTGCCCCTCTCTGGGCCAAAATTGCATTTAAATGCTGCAGCTAATAGTGAATGATTCTTTGTATGATCATCAAATTTTGTGGAATTTAGCAAAGTCATGTTCTAGTTTTTGTTGCTATTGTTGGTTCTGTTGCTTATAGGCATCATTCTATGATGTGAAAATTGTCTTTCTAAGCCATTCACTCAGAAGTGTTAAATTGATTGTTGCATGAGTTCCTTTAGTTATGTATAGGTCCATCTGTATGCAAGAAGAAGTCATAGAAAGTTTATCACTACTCACCTTTGTTAGAGCCTCTCTTATAATTATAAGCCTCTCTACATGTGAGACACCCTCCAAAAAATTTACTCTTATCAATGTATTTTGCATGTTCCCCCCTTCCCTCCCCTCCCCTTCCAAACTCACCTTACTTGTGACAGAGTTTAAGTATCAAGAGCTAAGTGGCTCACACTGCTCTCTTCTTTCCACCCCTCGTAGTAGTTAGGAGGGACTTGTTTTCTCTTCTACTTCGAGGGGCAAAAAGAAGAGAGGCCTTGGCAACAAGACTGATACTGCTAGAGCTCATCATGCTTTTTTCAGCATAGGGTACTGGGTCTGTTGCAGCTGCTCCTATCGGTCAAGCAGCCAGTTCATTGTAGAGTACCCCCCCAGCTTCCACTCAATTTTTTCGGTGTCACAGACAGTTTACTGGTATTCATTTATACTCCTGAGTGGATGGAAAGCGGCACCGTGAGAGTAAAGCATCTTGCCTAAAAGTTATGACACATTAGGGTTCGGGCCCAGACCCTTTGCTCTAGAGTGTGCCGTACTGATAATTAGTCACTATGTCTTGATTGGTCATCATAGTAAAATTATTTTTGCAGAAAATTCAGAAGAGTCTGAAAAAGAAGAGAGCACAGCAGTGTAATCAATCGTTGTAGAAAGCAGTGATATTGAGTGGAAGTGAGATAAAAGTTTCTTTTTTAATTTATTCCTTTGCCAGATAGTTGATAGCGTGAAGAGATTGGAAAGCATACAAAGTATGTTTCAGCTCATGAATAGCAAGGCAGACATCTCAACATTTGTTCAGGCAAATGATCCTGGAGCTTACTCTTCACCAGAGAAAAATTTTCAGAAACCGGAAGATAATCAGCTATTGGTAAGTGCACACCTTAAGGAAGTTACATCAACCATAAGGTTTGAGTCTACATATATAGATAGCTGGTCTGTTCCCATTCCTGTCAACTGGCCTACGTTCTTTGTTTTGCATCTTACCCCGTTCCGTTGACTTTAATTTATTCAGCCTCAGTGGGGTGTTTTTAACATTTAAAATCCTTGACTCAAACAAGTCAGGGGGAGAACCGAAGGCCGCAAAATTTTGAAAATTACTCGAAACTTCGTCGCTGAGTTCCTCATAAAAGTATTGTATATACATCTGCCTCCTTCTCTTCTGCCGGAATAAAGTGATGTCCAGTCCAGTCAAAATTGTGGTAGCCAAGTGTATTCTCTCCTGACCCGTTTGAGTCAAGGTTTTTACTTTGTAAAAACACCTCACTTGGGCCAGTAAGTGTGAGGTTGATACAAAGGTGTCGTGTGAAAAATATATTTGAAGCGCAAAAACGGCATCGATATGAAAAATTGTTCAAATCGCCTGACCCTCTTTGATTCTCCTTACAGAATGTTACAGATAACAGACTTTTTTTGGTGGATGCAACGGAACCTGTGCTGAAGAGAAAGTATATCGCACTGCAAATAAAGGTGCAATCATTTGTTGACTTAATAAGGATGCAGTATTGACCGAGCGATAGGTCATTTAAAAGGGTAGGATATTAGGAAAGTTATTTTTTATTTCTGTGGATTTATGGACCACCACCTGTTCCTGGTCCAAGAAACGCTTGTAAAGGACATCGCCAACTTTCAGAGATCATTATGGGCCATTTTCGATATATAAAAATTCTAACGTGGCTCCGAGGCAAGGGGGAATGATACGAGAGAAATTTTGTATTCATCCCTCAACCTCGATGTGATTTCCTTTGCTTTACTCCTCCACGCTTCGGGGCCAAGTTTGAATTTTTGATATGTCCAAAATGGCTTATTAAACTGAACATTTAAGGCCAAAAGCATTTCACATTTGTGAGAGGAATGGGTACATCTGAGCGGGGGAGATAGGCTCGCTAGTTTGGATAGCCAATCAGAGCACAGTCCTCGCTTCCTTTTTGTCCGGTTGTAAGTGCCATCTATTTTGTAAGGTATATAATTGTTGACGTTTTGAGGAATTAGGGTTTGTGTTTTGGGGTACAGTCTAACCATTTCTTCAGGGGAAGGGAGCTTTTCTTGCCTTATGGATGGTCCAGACTCGTTAGGAAATTTAACATAGGATAGCGTATCATCTGAGGAAAGCGAAACTCGTTTGAAGATTGTATTCGGGGAGGACAGCTAAACTGGTTGCTGAAGTGAGGGCGATCCTTACCGAAGTTGATCATTGACTTTCCAATCGTTAGTCAGCTTGTGTTACTCTTTGAAAAAAAAAGATTCGTGTTTATACCCGTTTTAGCCAGTTAGGAGTTTACGGGTCTCCACTTTTTAGCGCTGTCCAGCTGCGCTGTATTGATGGGCTGGTCAATACATATCTAAGCGTGTGGAAAGCCATAGGCAAGGTTAAAATCTAATGCATCTAATTTTCATTTTTCATCCTTCAGTTACGAAACTACGATACAACGATAAAAAAGGATCAGGAGACCGTGAAATCTATGAAAAAATTACGTGAAAGGTAACAGGAGTTTTAGGTATACTTTAGCAAGCTTATGAAATGTCCTTCTGTGAGAATGTTGATTTTGACAACCACGCAATAACTAGTGGAAAGAATTTTGTCCCTGAGTAACATGTTGAGATGCGGTCGGAAAACTGGGTCGAGTATATCAAGTCGAGGCTCATGTACACTTTTCACATCGAATGAATTGAACAATGGCACGAAAATTCTCTTGGGTGGTTCGGCTTTTCTTTTCATTTATTAATTTTTACATCAGAAAATAATTGTAGTTGTTCAATGGGACTTTGTCAGAACAGTAGTTGGATATGATGAGTGTTACTTTTCACGATATTTCTCACGGAAGGTTTGCTAATAGCCTCCAATTCTTTCGGATTCAATTTAGACATATCGAGCTCATTTATACACTTTGCTATAACTAGACGTTGTGCTTACGTTAGCTCTATATTTTGTGGCAGGAAAAAAATTTATCCTGAGCTAGAAAACACTGGAGAAACTCACTCGCGTTCAGTGAAATTGTTTGATTGATTGATTCCCTATGGCACGATTTCATTATGCTATTGGTTGTTTTTAAATTTTATGAACAGCTACTCACAAAATCCGTCCTATGGAAATGCGGCAGAACTTGAAGAGGATCTTTTAAGGCAAAAACATGATCTCAGAGTGAAGGAATGGCTCTCCTGTGTTGCCGAGAAACAGGTAGGCCTGTCAATTTTAGGTCTGCAATAGCGTACATGTGAGAGGAGAGCGGGGACATCTTTCTTATAAGATTTTCTGGTCAGTTTATGCACAACCATGGAATCAGTCGTGAACTTGTAGACGTGTGAGTGTATTCTCAGCTCGCTTTTACCTCTTACCTTTCCCCTCCAGCATTTCTCCAGGTTTTCCTTGAATATAATTGGTTGAGAGGATCGTGCAAGTTTTTAGGCCAATCAAAGAGTGAATAAAAGCAGGAAAGCAAAACCAAAGCGATATGGGATTGCTTTCGATACTCATTTGAAAATTGATTCATTGTTTGTGAACTGACGTGCAATTGATACTGCAGCTTGGGAGCGATTCATTCCTGAACCTCGTATCCTTTCCTCACAGACCAAACTTTTCACATCAGACGTACTTAACAAACTTCAAGTTACCGAGGATGATCTCCAAGATGACGAGGAATCCATTAGCGAAGAGGAGAGTGTTTCAGGACCGGTGGACAAGCGGCAGAGTGTGATCAGCTCGAAAGGGAAAAAAATAAGGAAAGCTGGACAGCATCAGTTTGAGGATCACACTTTCAAGAAACCGAAATTCTGTTTTTACTGCAAAAGTCTCATAAAGGGTAATTAAACTTTTCCTTTGTGTTGAATGAACTGTAGAAGACTTGCCCAGGGGACCAGTCTTTATTACCACCCGTGGGGGAGGGGAAGGATATTTGGGGGGATCGCATGGTTTTCAGGGGAAATAGAGTGGGGGGGGGTAGGGTTTGAAGGATTTTGGGGGGATCACATGGTTTTCAGGGGGGACAGAAGGGGATCAGTCGTCTCTAACAACGGGTAAAAGGGTGACTATAGAAAGTTGACTGCCAATTGAGGTGGATCATTAGAATACTACCGAGCGTTATGGGGGAATCAACTAAATTTTATTGCGACACAAGCAGTTTCATGGAAAGCACGTTAGACTCAGTATTGGTAGAGGTTTGAGTTTTTGTCGTAGCTGGGTTCACTGTGCTGTGTTCTTATGTAAGATTCTCAACTCACACAGGGCCTCCCTTTACCCAGGAATATGAACGGGGAACACGAAACTGTCAGCTCAGGCGAATCTTAAAAAAAAAAACTTGCGGGGCTACCAGCTTTGGACTAGCACAAACCATGTAGCGGGAGGGTTGGTGAGGTCTATTCTGTTAAGCTATTTCTTGCTAAGGATAGGGATTGACACTTTTGTGAACCTGCTGAGGTGGACTGTGGTACAATACAAAAATGGCCTGTTCAGAGATAACGTGTTGAATCATCGTCTGTGAAGGGCTTGGTATTGAAGTTACAGTTGAGTTAACTTAGCCTTTGTCCCTTTACTATCGTAGTTCTTAATATGTAATCCTCATAGAGAGGTATTCTTTTGTTGCCAGGATTGATTAAGCAGGGTGCACGATGTAAAGTTTGTAAGATGAGTGTCCACCACAAGTGTCGCGACAATGTGCCTTACTGTCCGGGTGACAGGGTGAGTGTCATGTCTATGTTTCTTATAAAGAACATTTATCATGGGAGGTCTTAACCCTTTAACTCCCAAGATCTTATAGTTAATTCTCTTCTTTGGCAGCTACACATTTCCTTGTAAATTAGTTACGAGAATTTGGTGTCATATTATGAAAACAACATCTACCTGATAAGTTTGAGTATCCTCATTACTGCTTTGCTGGATAATGGTGGATATTAGAAAGGGAAGTTAGGTTTCAATTAATTCTGGGAGTTAAAGGGTTAAACATCACTCATCAGCCTATTAGTAGTTTTCCCAACCTGGTGAGGCTTACGCGCTTTTGTCATTAATCACAGGGGAGAAACTCGGTTTGTTACTTTCTGCGCGGACGTCGAACTGGACAAATGGTCCTGCTTTTCTTTACGCTGTGAGTTGCAAGCAATGATTTACTGTAACTTGGTTTTTTTTTTGGTATCTGTTGCAGTCTAGCAAAGGACAGTCGATGCGCATTTCACGCAATCAACAGGAAGATGATTCAGATGATCCCGTGTACAGTGATGTGGATGACGTCCCCACCCCTCCCCCACACAGGAGAGCATTGGGTCCAACTTCATCATTACCTGCTTACAGGGGAGACGACTTCTACGGTACAAAATGCATCGTTTAACTGGATTTCTGTTAACGTGTAATTGTTTTTTGACCCAGAGACGTTTTGTTTTGTATTACACGAAGGTTTTTTGTGATTTTTGTGTTTACTTATGAAGGCGGTTAAATTGGTGGAAGCATCCTACAGTACAAGCGTCTTATTAGGACGTGTTACAAGGTTGCGATCGTTTATTCGACCGGCTATGTTTGATTTAGAGTTAGAGCGGAGGTGGAGGGGGAGGGGGAAGGGAGCAGGCCCCTCGCCTCCCTTCTCCTACCTTTTAACCGTCGCTCACCCCCTTAGTACACATTTCTTTCTCTCCCCGGCCTTTCGCTGTCGTAAAAATCTAAAATGGTAGCTGCAATTTTCACCAAAAAAACTGAGCTCTCGCTTGCCAAAATTACGTCTGGTCTGCAGGCTACGATCTAAGCGATAACTCGAGGCGCAGCGACTTGATTTTAATTAAGTACACACAGCACGGTTTGTCGTTAAGACCTGGGCAGCCAGTTATCGCCTTGTGGGTCCTAAGAATTAGTCGTTACCAGACGATAACAGAACCACCAGGAGGCATCAGCTATATTTGGTATGCGCGCCTAAATGTGTGGGAGGTGGCGATCCAGGGTTGGTGTTGCTGTGCGCGTGTTTTGATCCGGGAGAGGAATGGGTTGAGCTGGTATGAAATGGAAAGGATCTTTGTCGTATTGATATAAAGTACGGAGCGAGAATTTTGGTCTCACCGAGGAAGTCTCAGTTGTTAAGGGGAAAAATTCAATAATTTTGCCCGTTGAGGTCTTTTTAAGTTTGTAGGCGGAAATAAATTCATCGTTAGCTCCTCCAAAAAATTTTTAGATACCTGATTCGGGAATTTTCTCGAATTCTTGTTTTCAGATGACGTGGAGGGGATGATTTCTCCATCGAGATCGGTGAGATTTTTTTTTTCTTCGTTTTACAACAAACTGATGTTGTTTGGTTGAAGACTGTGGGATTAAGATGTGATAATAAGTCTGTTATGACTTCGAGCATTCTCTCACCGTAAGATGAGGTAGAAGTTGTAGTTTTTTTAATGTTATTTTCAGAAGTGCTGTGTTGCTCTTTACGATTTCGACGGGGAGAATGATGGAGATCTGAAATTAAGGTGAGAATATGGGTTTCCTCATTGGGTAAGATTTCCGCACAGTCCCACACTTCATAATGCATACAAATCCTGCATAAAGGGAAATAATGGCCAAAAACAACAGATTGCTTTCGAAATGGGGCTTTGTTTTACAATAGTGTAGGGCTATGCAGCAATCTACCCACTTATTGCAAAGGCTTCAGTCTAAAAGTACCATGCATTTGCCAGCGATTTCAGCTTGAACCCTCTGAAATTTGACTCGCTCTCAGCGTGTGGCTTCGTTGCTCAGTTGTTAGAGGCGCCCAACAATTATCTGGGAGGCCTGGGTTCGAATCTCGTCCAAGCATAAATTTTTTCAGGTTTTTTTTTTTTTGCAATGGCTTAAAATTGCAGTCCACCTGTGAGGATTGTTTCTTTTCTTAAATATTGTTCTGCGATTAATCTACACCTCGTTTCCTTGTTCCAGTGCCGGTGATAAAGTTCAAGTCATAAACAGTGCTGATGAAAACTGGTGGGAAGTAAGTAACGATTGTTTACGGTTCTCGATTGCCTAACTTCTAAAATACGGAAAGTTTGGAAACACTCAAGGGACTAGACTCTTAGCTACCGTTTGAGAAGAGATATGTAGCTTGCACAGCTGGTGATCTTGTGAGATTAGATTGAAGGCGGAAACACGAAAATCAGCTGCAAACTAAGCAGCGCGTAGGGTCGTCATTTTTAAAATATTACGAAAGATGGTATGTTTTGAACTCACTTGTCGAGGAAATAAAGATGTTATTCGTTATTTCAGGAGTGTAGGCCAAGGACAAAAAAGCTGTGACCCTCAAGACGAATCGACTTTCGGTTCCGATGCGTTAGCTAGTGAACAGGCGTGATTTTTTTGGCGTTCGCCCTTTGTTCTTTCAAAGAGTTTGCCTCCACTCTCTTGAAAAACGCAGAAAAAATTACGCCTGTTCAGCCTTACGTGAAACCGAGGAGTCACTGGGCAATCTGTAAAGCATGAACAATGAACTGCTTTTTTCGATGCCTCAAAATGTTGTGTCGCTTAAAAAATTTTTTTGTTGTTACTAGGGCAAAAGTAAAGGAAAAACAGGGTTCTTCCCTGCTTCATACGTACAGGTAGAATTAATAATTATTTCATAATCGTGCATTGGATATGAGATGGCAAATAACCAACGAGGCGCGTAGCGCTAAGTTGGTTTTAAACGATCTCTTATCCAACGAGCGAATGGAAAAATTGTTTTATTAAATTTCATCAAATACTAAACGTTTGAATACTTTCAGCAAAAATTTTTCAGCTTGAGCACGTTGCAATGCATTTCTAGATAAGGTCATTCGGAGTATTTGCTGATAACCGGCGGAGTTGGCGGAACCAATCAGAACACTAGAAATGCAATATTCGGAGTTGAAAATATAGCAAAGTCATAAATACCGAGTATATACGCTCAATCCAATGCGTTAATTTGGTTATTAATTAAGTGGACATTATTGCGTTTTGTTTCAATAGCTACCGTGTTTTCTCAATCAGACGCCCCCGGCGCATTTATAAGGCTGGCGTGTAGTCTCATCTCTCATCAATCGTTGTTTTCTAGTCCTCTTCAAAGCTGTAATGTGTCCTGCTGTTGCGTAAACTTGTTTCGGAATCTCTCTATGGTAATCTTTTTTTTTAAATTCTCATCGGAGACGTCAAGTGTGTCGCCTGAAGTGAGGAAAGTACTCGTTTGGACTGTGCAATTTTCGAACCAATTTTTTTTTTATTTTTAGTGTTTTGTTTTAAACATAACGCATGTTATTGTGTTTCATTTCAATAGCTAACTTGTTTTCTCGATTAATGTCTCCAGCTTATTTATATTGCTGGCGTGTAATCTCATCTCTTATCAATCTTTGTTGCCTAGTCTTCTTTGCAGCTGTCATGTGTCCTACTGTTAACATACTTGTTTCGAAATCTCTCTTTGGTAATTTTTTTTACATTTCAAGGCCTAACGGTTTTTCTTGGCTCTGACGTCATCGTAGGTAATTTCTGCTACTGATGTCATTCTTCGATGCCTGTTTAATTTCACTGGTCAAGAAGGAGACGAGTTGACAATTCAGGCTAATCAGGTCAGCGGTGTTCTGTATATTTTAGCGTGCACTCGTCAATCGAGATGAACAAGGGCATGGAGGCCGCGGTTATTGTCAATGGTTTCTGAACAAGTGCGCATCTACCTTATCCCTAACCCAACACCAGTCAACCGAGAACAAGTTAGGGTTATTTGCAATCGCTCTGACGAAGGGCTAACGCTTTAAACGTCAGATTTATAACTCTATACGGAGGCCATTTAACGATATCAACTCAGTTGATAATACTAAATTACCTGGTTATACTCTACCAGTGACGAAGCACTACAGTTTCTTTAGATACTTAATCCCCTTTTTTTTATTCGGGTTGATATTAGGTTAGGGAAGGGGTAGGTGCACAGTTTGCTCAGATATCGACATTTATCTGAGGTCACCTACCTTTGGCCTTTGAGTACCAAATATTTCTTTTTGAAGTGCGTGTTTTAAAGTCCTTATACGCAGTTCCATGAATCTATTTTCTTTAGAAAAGTTTAGTAGTCACAGAGATGTCTTTAAGCCTCCAAACACTGGCTCCCTAGTGGTTGTTTACAATTCGGAAACAACCTTTTCGAGTCTGGTCCGTTTTGCGACCTTTACTGAAACGTTCCCTTAGCTAAAAACAAAGCTAAAAACATACGGACATCTTGTACTCAAAGAGAATACTCGGTTTAAGAAAGAAGTTGTTTTGGGACTTTCCCGAAGGTAGCAGTCGATAGGTTGTTCGTTTGTAATTTCAATTAACTAAAGTTGGACTTTTTTCTGATTGAATTATTTTTCTTATCACAGATAGTTGTTCAGATCAGAGACGAAGGCAATGGATGGATCTTTGGGAGAACTGGCTCGGTAGAAGGGGCCTTTCCAGCGACATACGTTGAAAAAGTTACTAATAATGGTCCTGATTAGTGTTTATCTGCGTTAGAACGGACCTAGCCGTGTTAGCAGAAAACTTTGTCTCAGTATCCTCTTCCTCCCTCTCTCGAGTTCAGAAGAAAGAACTCTGGGTACTTGGTTGGTTTCAAATGGTAAATATGTGGTACACGCGACAAGCAGTGGTCTTGTAATTCATTTTTGTCGCCATAGAGTGAATTGTCATGTCTCCACTTTAATTATTGGATGTGGAATGAAACTTGGTTCCTCAGAATGGTCCAAAATAATAGCTCATAAACAGAGAAATTAAGAGGTTAAATGAAAAAGAGAAGAAGAATTGCTAGTAGGGAAGGGTTAAATATTTTTCTTCCCAAGAAACCCTCCTCTCTCAGAGTCTTTTTCTTGGGGACTTACTTAAGTAAGGTATTAGTTACAATTTCCAAACTTTTAACGGAGTCCATGTTTGAAATAATATTATCAAGGTACTGAAGTGACAACTTGCCGCGCTTCTTGTACTGTCAAGTGGTATATATATATATATATGAACAATTTCCATTTTATTACATTCCTTTTGATATCTCTGGCGGTCGTTTCAATCTGATTGGCTCTCAGCAGTGTGCTTTACTCACGAATCGCAATTTTTCCCCCTAAATCGCATCTTCTTCCCAGTCAGTGAGGATGCAACAACAAAACAAAACAACCAATTAGATTTCCAGGCGTGTTAACAGTAACAAAGCAAATCGTAGGAAACTGAAAGGCAAAAAGCCAGTATATGGCAAATTTTGCAACTTTTAAAATACTTGTACTGGTTAAAATCCTGTAACTGGGCGATTGAATTTTGTGATTTCAAAATGGATGTTATACAGTAGTAATTGAACCAAGTGAGTGCTGCGCGCTCGTTCGAGTGGGAAATCACGCGTATGACTTGAGCTTGCTTAGTTCAATTATTATTTTATATTATTTTTCCTGAACTACTTGAGAATTTTAACGCAAACGCTTTGCAATGCCACGAGATGAACAGCGGTTAAGGATAATGCTTCCAACCTAAAATCTCAATAATTGAATATTGGCACAAACCAGACGTAAAATTTGAGAGGTTTGACCAATTGGGACCACAAATTTATTTTAATGGTGTACATTGTGGGAAATTCTTCTCAGTTGTAGGGTCCAATGAGATGAATTAATTGAATATATTTATATTTTCCTGTTATGAAATAAAATGTCTTCGGGAATCACTCAGGTTAAAGTTTCGTCTTTCGTCGGAGTATCAGGGTTTGTTTGGTTCCTTGATAAGGTGGGTTTAAATTGAGTTCCAATGAGAATACCCCGGTGCTCTGTAGTAAGCGAGTTGGCCTTCGTCATTATTAGTATTTCTGCACGTGTGTTTCGTCGCCCGCGGAAAAGTACCAGGCCTTGAGCAACCGAATCAGCAAGAGGTCTGCAAGAGGTCTGCAAGAGGTCTGCAAGAGGTCTAACACTTTGTACCAGACCCCCGGTAAACCTTGACTCACCTAACCCAGTGGCGGCATTGAAGATGAAAGGGAGGTTCTTAAGAAATCTTTGAAGTTCCAAAGCCCTTCACACAACTCTTAACCAAAGAATGCATTCCTTTTGGAGGAAACATTCACCGTGTAACCCTGACCAGTAAACATATTCTCCATATTTTTCTACATTTTCAGTGGTACTGAGAAGGAGAATTTGTTTAACACTTGAGTGACTCAAGTTGGAGATCATTTCCTTCGTACTTTTGTCACTAATATCTGATTCAGCTGTCACTCTAAAGGGTTAACCCTTTCACTCTCACAAGTGACCAAGACAGAATTTCTCCTTACCATATCAATACAATATCAAGCAAGTAGGTGATGAGGACAGAGAAGAATATAAATTTTGGGTTTCTTAGTTGATCCAATACCAAATTCTCTGAACTAACATATTAAGAACTGTAAGGCAGATAGTAAGGAGAACTACTAATTAGATCTTGGGAGTGAAAAGCTTAAAGGGTTTAGAGGGAGGCCCCGGGAACTTCTCACTTTAAGAATTCAACAATTGCAGAAAAGTAATTCAAAAGTAAAACAATTGATCACTAATATATGTTTTCACCTTTAATTCATCATCTTTTAAATTCATTATTTATAATCACTATCGAGCATCAAATCACTTCAGTCTTCTTGTACAACCCCTCTTGTTCATCTTTCCGTTACACGATGCTTTGGAACATGTATCTCACATTGTAAGTAAAAAAAAGTACAAAAAGCAACTAATTCCAAATTAAATCAGTGTCAGCCTAAAACAAGCACCATTCACATCTTTACACAATGTTTTCACACTTTGTAAACATCATTTACTAAAAGTCTACATTATGCACATGTCTAAAAACAAACACCATTCACATCTTTACGTAATGTTTTCACGCTTTGTAAACTTGATTTACTAAAAGTCTACACTATGCACATGTCTAACATATCAAAGGTTTCTCAAACATTTTTTTTAAGTCATAGGACATTAACTAACGAATATTACTTCATAAACTTTAACCTATTGTTACCACAAAAAGTAGTTTACTCTTGCACCAAGAGTGAAATTACAAATTTCACCTCTCCTTGGTCTGAAAAAGAAAAAAAACCAAAATAAACATTAAAAAAGTCTACATAAGGTCAAGTCCATATTTGAGCCTATTGCAAGGTTACCCCCAGTGTTTCATCAGGCTTCCCTGACAATTCACTTTTACCCATTTATAATCCTGAGTGGAGAGAAGCACTGTAAGAGTGAAGTGTTTTGCTCGCGAACACAACACATTGATCTGGCCAGGTGTTTAAATTACTTATCATACACCCACAGTTTTCCTTGCACAATTATTGGCTGACCAACCCATGGTTTGTTTGTCATTGGCCATAGGCTGATTTCAGTACAGTGATCATTGGGCTAGTTATAAATTCAAATGCCCCCCCCAACCCTAATACATCATCATCCCAAAAGATACATCATCACCAAAAGTTGCCATTTGTCCCATGGTGTGATACTCTTTTTACTTGTAACTGTTCTTCCAGATTGGTATGGTAACTTAAGTGTTGCAACTTTTTTTTAACGTCAGGCCAAAATGGTCTTAAAATTAGTTGTAAACTATAAAAAAGGGGGAAGTTTCTAAAGAAACTGTGGTGCTTCATTGGTGAGGGGAATAACAAGATAATTTAGTTTTATCAACTGAGTTGATAGTGTAAATTGGCTACCGCAAGGAGTTTCAAAGCTGATGTTTCAAGTGTCAACCCAACATCACAGTAAATGTCCAAAGGCCAACACTTGAAACATCAGCTTTTGGAACTCCATGCAGTGGCCAATTTACATTATTCACTCAATGGATAAAACCAAATTATTTGGTGTTACCTATCTTTGGAAGAGGGAGAGTGTAGTGAAAATATATGGTGATGATGCTTAAAAATGTAAATTAACGTTTCTCACAAGAAGGCAACAACCTGCCAGTGCTCTACTCCTTCCATCCCAATTCCCCTACCTTAAGAATGCAGCTGGCACATTTACAAATTATTTTACAAGTTAGCTCAATCTTACCTCTTGCTACTTTTAGTTTTGAGGTCTTACATTAAGTGCATTGCCATGGCTTCAACCACTTCAAAGTAGCTCTGTTGCAGCTCTTCAGACTCCTGCAAGGCCTTCTCTCGATTAGAGACAACCACCTCAATCTGGGCATTGTTTTTCAGGCACACTGTGATCACATAAGGAAGGCTAACAATAAGAAAATAGAGCTTTAGCCTTGGAAGAATTATTACATTTGATGGCTAATACAGCAGCTACGTATAAAATTTACTTAATTATTAACTGGGTTCCTGACACCTTAAAGACTTCCAAAAGCTTCCCTGGATAGCCCTCATCAAGTAAGCAGACACAAGTACTTTCAAGAAGTTGCATAGGAAACACCTTCACACACAATTTAACCTTTTTACTCCTGATACCTTGTTAGTAATTCTCCTTATCTCCACCATAAAATTCTTATGATATTAGTTTGGAGAATTTGGTATTGGATCAGCTAATAATCCCCTAATTAATATTTTTACTTAATCCTTCTCACATGTATGCTTTAGATTGTATTGATATTGTAGTTGACATAATTGATGTAAAAAAAAAGTACATTCCATGTTGCATGCTTCTGTACACTAAAAGACAGTAGAAAACATCCAGATGTGCTAGGAACATCAGTGACTCAATTCAGCTTCCCCTTGTGTGCCCAATTTGTTGTTCTCTCCCTGTTTTCAGTTTCATACCATCTGTGGTCTACTGTATTATATATATATATATATATATATATATATACATATATATATATATATATATATTTTTCCATTTACAGTGATCAATATGTAGGAGTAGAGCATGATTTTATATTTACAGTGACAATAGTGAGTAGAGCATGAAATGTTGTGAAAAAAAAAGAAAAAAAAAAAAGAGACCATAATTATACTTTCATCCCTACAAGCCTGTTTCGTGATTGCTCACTCATCAGGGGATTTTATGGTAAGAATATTTGCACCATTGTTTATGTACTTTATAAATTTGCTTAAAAATAATACTTCGATTGATAATACCCTTTTTCCTTGCATGCACACAGACCAATGGCTAATAAATATGAGTAATTATCACATGGCAAGGTAGTCATGAGGAAAATCCAAGAGGTTTGATTGGCCAATATTAACTGGTGCAGCCCTCCCACTTGGTTGGTTGGAAGTACTCTTGTATCTTAAGGGTGGAACATAAAAAAAAACCATCTGAAGAACAAGTTTTAATGGAGTCAAGCCTCTGTTCACCCTATATACACTGTACCTCATGAGATGGGTAGCAGCAGTGATAGACAGCTTGCCTTCCTTATCACAGTACTTGTTGTAAAAGTCTTCCTCCTGCTGGTTTTTAGGTGGGGCTCTTTTCAATATGTCTTTGTTTCTGGCAATCTGTGTAACCCAATAGTTACTCAGAGCTTGGAGAGCCTGTGATTCATCATTGCTGACTTCATCTGCCAAAAAAAAGTGTGAGCTTTTCAGCCTTCAACTCCCAAAATCTTATCTGATCAGACATTCTCCCTACTAAATTCTGTGAATTCCAGCGTAAATTAGACAGAGGAATTTGGTGTTCCATCAAACTGACACCCTCAAGCTGATAATCATGTCTTTTGTCATCACCTATTTGAAGGATACCTTGCTAAGATTCTGGGGAGAAGTTGAATGTTGATCAGTTATGAAAATTAAAAGATTAATACAAAAGCAAATGAACTTTCTCTCTCTTTAATGGTAGATTTCCATGAGTTATGGTAAATAAAAAGAGGAAAAATATGTCATTTAGAGGGTTTACAAAGGATTCACTGGGTAGACACATCAAAGGTATACATATTGTAAGGGACACCTTCTCTGTTGAAGATGGTATGTTAATGAGACTTAACTTAAAGGTTACAACATCCTTTACAAAAGCAGCTCACTAACACAATGACAAATGGATTGCACCTTTGCAGTACACACATTATCACTTATATCAATCACTCATTAGCTAATTTTGGACTAACCTCCCAAAAAGTCAAACAAATACATGTTTTTCTTGGGTTTATCTGTGTAACAAAGATATTCTGTAAGTCAATGAAGTTATTAAAAAAAGTCTCATAAGATGACATACATGTGCACTAATAATGAAGCCATATCATTCATCTCCTGACCACAGTGCTTTCAATCAGTGATAGTTATACTAGGTAATTACAATTTTAATACCACAAATGTAGATATAAAATTATTTAATACCTTTTTTTGCGTTTAAAATGTTCATCTTATTTTCAATTGATGTCACTAGTTGCTTATCTGAGGGTAAAGAAATAAATAAATTGAATAAGACTGTGTTATCAGCAACCCACAAGGTTCTGAAAATATTTTGACTTCAAAATTATCAGTAACCCTTTAACCCTAGAAATGACTAGCATCTAATTTCCAGCATGAGACTAAAGGAAATGATCACCAATTTATAAAGTGAAGAGAACAGTACATGGTGAATAAAAATACTTGTAAGTGTTAGGCTGTAAAGGGGTAAATTACCATTTTTTACACATCTTAGTAATAAAGAATAAAACACACCAGAGCAGGACTTCTCTGTCTTCAGTATATTCTCAGCTTGCTCTTCCTGTTGCTTTGAATTCAGTGATTCTGCATCACCGTCCTTAAGAGACGATGGCTGAACCTCAACCTGTGAAGAGATATCACAAGTAAAGATCACTTTTTTCCTATTGCCAATGCTGTGGCCTAAAATTTGGCATTCCCAACTCCAAGTCAAAAAATCTAAATTCACTACCTGGCAGGGTCATTGTGTTGTGTTTATGCTCAAGATACTTCATAAGAATTTGGAGTAACATGTAGATCAGTTACTTCTACCTGATAAGTATGAGTATTCTCGTGACCTGTTTACTTTATAATGTTAATCATTTCTGGTAGTTAAAGGGTGGCTGTAAATTCTAAACATACACCTCCAGCAAGGTGATGACGCTGCTTTGAACAGCTACGTGTAATTACAGAACTATTGCTGGCCAGTATGCCTTGTATCAAGTTGACACCAACTGTTATTTGGTCAAGCATGATGACAATAATATCAAATACCACTCTTACACAATTACCTTACTTGTAGCTGCTTGCACATTACCATGATCTTTTCCGAAGCTGGAGCTCTTATCAGAAGATTCACCCATAACAACCTTTTCATCAGAGTCAGATGTACAGGGACTGGTTCTTTCCCTGAACTTCTTCCCTTTTGGGGAACTCTTTGGTCTTGAAAATGCAGCCTTCAATTCCTCCTCATCATTGCTACTACTGCTGGAGCCATCTGCATCCTTCTGCTTACAAAAAAAAAAATGCAAAAACATTGATCAAAAGAATTAATATCAAAGACCATCAAGTAAACTCTAAAACTTGATTGATTATGATACTACCAATTCACCATTTTTGGCTGTATTTGCAGGAACAGTTTCCAATATCTGCCTGTGTGAGTTTTACAGCTGTTAATAGTTAACTACTATGGCTAATCCAGCAACAACTTAAGGGCTAGTTTCTTATTTACAAGTACAGGCATGACTGTTGGTCCCCAGTTTTTAGTGCTTATATTAACGTGCCTTACAATTCTTTACCATTTATAATTAAATATAACATATGAATGTTGTAGAATTTAAATTAAATATCACCTGTGGACTGCGTTTTCTTTTGACAAAATCACTCTTTCGCATGGCCATTGATATCTATGAGAAAACAAAAAGCATATTAAGCATATTATTATTTAAGTCTCAAGATCTACAGGAAAACAGATGTCTTCTGAAATTGCCCTTGGGAAGGTGCAATTGGCTGGTCTATGATGTCACATTCAAAACATTTATAAAATAATAGCAACTGACTACACTTCAATTAATTATTATTGAAGTTTAAGCTGATTTATTTCAATAAGAGGGAAAATTTCCAGCAAAATTTGTCTCATACACTATGCCTAGTTTCCTTTTTATAGGAATAATTCACACTAATAATTCATATTCAATAAAATATTCATATTACCTTAATATTATAGGAATAATTTATATTACACACTGGGAAATATTGATTTTCACCCAGGTTGTAGCAGGAATCATCATCAGAGGCACTGCCCCATGCGATTCAGTGAAAATCAAAGTGGAGAAAACAGAACCGGAGTAACCACACTGTTTATTGTCTGTATGGAGTCATAGCTATCAAATGGCCTGAGAATTGGCACTATGATTGGTTAGTTTTTTCTTCCTCCTAACAAGGCTCAGATTTGTTACAAAAAACCCTGTTTTGATTCCTCTAACCATAATCAGTTTTTAGGACAGTAAGAAGACTTTCTTACTGGATGGTTATAATTCTTTGACAGATTTCAGCCACTTCTCGGGGTATCTCGAGTCTTACCTCACCTCAACACCAACGTTTGATCAACATTTCTCGTTCTCTGATGGCTACCTACCCAATTTCGCCGGGTTCTCTGCCTTTTTATTACAACACTAATGCAATAATCAATAATGGCGGATGGAAATGCTTTTCTGAGTATGTTCGCGGGGTTTCTAGTGACAAATCCATTTTCAGTAATAGTGCGCATTGCTTCGTTTGAATTAACTACGTACACCTGAGATGGTTCGATTTCAAGATGCCGACAGTGGTGATCAATTTAAGAAAGATTACCGACCACAAATGAAGACACTAGGAAGGTCACTGGTAAACAAGAATGAGCATACAAAGATTTGAATGAGTAATATGACACGACCGCTAACTTTTAACCTCTTCGTAAAAACACCCGGGGTACTAATGACGCCATAGTAGAGTACAAGCAATCGTCTTGTGTTTGTCTCCTTATGTGCTAAGATCACGGTTTTCTCTGATACTCACGCCTAAAGGAGCATATGGGCAGTTTTTTTTAGACCACATCCATGGCTAGCGCTGAGTCTCATTCCTTCTGAATTTATTAGCTTAGAAAAGAGGAATTTTTAGGGGGATCTTTGCCGCTTTCGTTAAGTGTTGGCTCACTCGTTCTGTGAAAATAGCCACTCCGAAAGCTTGTCCAAACCACGCCGTACGGTACACTGTATTCGAACAAAGAAGCGTTGGGATCGATAGTTTCTGCAGGAACAGTCTGTGTTTCTCGCCATCGGTTGATGACGGCGAACTAAACATTTACAGCCACAAGAAAAACACAATTCAGCGATGTGCGCAACATGAGACAGCTTACCTCAACTGTGCGTGCTGGCATTCAGTGCAGGAAAGAGGGGAAGTCTCTCTAAATTGAGGACTTGCGACTCAAAACTCTTTACAAATTTTCTCCACTTATGATGAAAACAACCGTTCATACGATTTTCCGCTAAAGAAGGGGAATTCACGGTACATAGCTGGTTTTAGGCTAAATCACAAACTCCTTTCAAACCAGCTGTAGACTATCCCAGGGTCCCATTGGAGGGAGGACGAGATGAAAATGACGTCACGAGACTGACTGTCTTTGATTGGAGCGCAAAAACTTTACCTTTATCTGTTTACCGAGAAAAACATGTCTATGATCAAGCACCCAGCTGGTCAAGTTCAGACGATCTTCTGAATCAACTGAATGGGAGCCGGTAAGGATCACAAGTTGTCGCTTCATATTTGCCGCTTTATAATTGTCGCCTCAAATTCCTGGAATGATTTAAAAAAATTTTAAAATGGAAATATGACCAAAAAGAGTCTAATTGGTTCTGGAATCATACGAGTAATTGAAATGGTTATGATTAATTGGTAACGGGACTTGGTGTCGTCCAATTCTGTCTGTAATCATACTCGTGATTCGGCTTTGCGGTCGTCCAATTTTTGTTAATTACTCGTATAATTACAGACCGAATTGGACTCCATTCGGTCCTATTACCATTACTGATCTGTCCGATTACGGGTATCCGATTACAGCCAACTCTACAGAATAATTAGTAAAAAAATAAAGCAGCTAATGCACCAATCGCATTTTAGTAAATTGTAATGGTTATGAGTGCCCTTGAAAAAAATTCGTTACGCATATATTAAAGAAGGGCGAGGCTTAAATGTTCCCTTAATAATTCGTGACGCGTGAAATACTGTTTAAAGTAAACGCAAAGCGTGAATTTTCTTAGGTCGTGTGGGAAACGAAATCGAAATTGCCCATTTGTTATTCCCTGGGAATAACAGCAATAGAGGTTGGTTTTCACTTAAGTTGCAGCATGAGTCACAATTATTATCAGAAGTACAGAGCAATACATTTCAGTGAAAATCGAACCGACGCATTTAGTAGCGGAATTCCCCTGTCGCCTCTCATGCGTCACTTTTTAGCGGTGATCGTAACTCTGAGGGTCATAAAATCCCATTATGATTCCATTACTTCTAATTCTGTTGAACTAATGACTTCGATCATGAAGGACCTCAATTCTTTAATTTCACTGAAGGGGGGTGTTCTTACACCTTCGACCACGACTCAGAAAGGACTTACTCCACTTGTCCACAGGCCCAATGTGCCCCTTCCTTAAATTTTTAGGGGGAGTCTTTGTCAAAAAGGGGCCCCGGGGTAGGAGTATCCAAAAAGGTGTTTGAACTTATTTTGTAAAGTCTAATCAGCGAGGAAACGAAGAAGGAAAAGCAGTATTGAGACAGTAAGAGGCTATAACGTTTGAATAAGTTTTATATGATAGTAATCGTATGAATCTTTTTGCCCTTTATGCTTGCAAATACTTTCTTTCAAAACAAATATAGAACCTTAATTAAATAAGTACATATTCTAGAGCGCTTAAACGCACTTGGACGTAAATTTTATGTCACATTTTTTTTTTTTGACATACGGAAATCCTGCGGTAACGCCACGCTCTTCAATAAACCTTGCAAGCGTCAACTCCATCGCCATCGCTTGCACAAACCCAGCCTTTAAAAATTATGCATGACCAGATCAAGTAAATACAAGTGGATTCCCAGCTTTAGAATAGTCCTGGCCTTCAGTTTAAGTCACAATGTGGCTCGCCTTTAGCAGAGTAACCTTTCTTTGAATAAAATTCCGATCATTTCCTAAATATTTTACTTTGATGTTTAACTTCGTATAGTGAGATTGTATGATTCAAAATAGCTGCAGTGACCAGTGGTGATCGATTCAATAAAGATTACCGACCATAAAGGAAGACACAAAATAACGAGTAAACGAGAATAAGCAAAGTGAGATCTGAAAGAGTAATATTTATATGGCACGACTGATAACTTTTAACACCTTCGGAGGAACATCTGATGTGGTTTGATAATTACGCCAAAATGGAGTTGCAATCGTTTTGCATCGTCATCCTTGTTCGCAAGAGAAAAAGCTCAAGGTTTCAAGAAATACTCAGGGTCTAAAGCTAAAACTAAAAAAGCATACAGGAAGTTGTTGTTTCGACCGTATCGACGGACAGCGCTATCAGGACTTTGCCGCTTTCGCAGATATTCTATCTATTCATAAAAAAAAATACATCGCGCGGTACACTACTATCGATCAGAGAGAATCGACGATCGAGATCGATCGACAGTTTTAACATGAAGGAGGTTACTGCGAACTAATACGATGTCGGTCGCGTCAAATGATACAGCTCACCTTTGCTATTTTCACTTAGTTTCACTTTACGATGGAGAAGAAGCCTCTCTCAGTTGAGGAACAGAACAGCTCAGCGACTTAACACACTTTATAAATCTTCTCCACTTATGAAGGAAACAATCGTTTGTACCATGTCTCGCCAAAACAAAATGGGAATTAAGGGTTAATCACCATCGCTATTTAGGAAATCTCAAGTCTCTTCCCTTTTTTCGACCAGACGCGGACAAAACTTGTTCACATGGTTCAATTGGAGAGAGAAAGAAAGGAAACTGACGTCACGAGACTGACTTGTTTTGATTGGAGGTTCAAATCTTAAACTTCACCTCTTACAGAGAAAAAAATTTTGTGACAAGGTGTCTCAGCACAAATAGCCCAAGCTTGCACAATGCACCTTTGCAAAGATGGATATATGTTTATAATGCGCAATGGGCGAAGTATAAGGATTTTTATGAGAATAGACGGTCTCACTCTCAACCTGAAAATCTGAATTAGGTTTAAATATAAGTAATCTTACCTCGTTTAAGTGGTTGTTCCTTTGGATCGCGTGATTTTCTGGACTGATTTACGCCCGTTTAGCTCGGTTTAAGTTCATCTACTTTGCCCTCTACGCATAATCCTTTCCTAAAGTAGGTCACTGACTGACGCATACCAAACGAATCCATTAGAAAAAAGGCGCTGTAAATTCGCTCCGAACGCCCCGATCACTATAAAATTCCAAATATATCACGGGCGACGATGGTACTTCACGGTGGTGTTGCCCATGTGAGGCTCATGCACCATGAATTCCAAGTAAAGGCCGCCAATTTTTGTGAAAGGGTTCTCTGAGAGAGTCTTTCGGTTGAGGCGTTACTTAGTGATTGCGGTACCCAAACTGTTGGAGCTCTTAACTTATGGCTAACTGAACGGCATCAGATGAGGGTGACAGGTCGCTTCCTATTTATAGGGCCGTTCGAGTTGTCACTTCTATTCCTGAAAGGACTTATTCAAAATTTATTATACAGAGAGCCTGAGGCGAGGGAGACTTTAAGAATCTCAAGGAGGTTAGTTACCATGGTTACACCTATCAGTCTATCAAAATCCCACCCCTTCCCACCATGATGATGTATTTGTCCCGGCTGTAGTTTTCGAGTCTTTCGTTGTAATTTGTACGCTGCCATGTTGTCGTATATTTTGTTTGTTTGTTTGTTTTTTACTTTGTTGGCTTTCTCACCGCCGCTTCCAGAGAAGAGAACTAGCTTCGAAAAGTAGGAACGATTTTCTACTTTTATAATCTATTCTAAAGCACTACCTTTGTGGATCGAGTATTCTGTTCTCCGCTGTAACGTTGATGCGAATATATTTGTTTAGTTCTATTACAACTTATGATCATTTCCTGCATTTTTATTACAAGAATTCCTTCCCTTACAAGCGACAACGTATAAGTGTTAATTTGGAAGCGACATAATTGTATTTTTTTGTGGACAATAATCTCAAATAAACCACGAGATATTTGAAAAGTATGGTTTAATTTATTTCCGGCGTTTCTCGCTTGTTTGAAGACAAGCGTCCTACTAAACTTTCAGCATCAGTGTTAAGAACCCGGTCTAAGGTCAACTGATGAAACCAGAAATCTTATTTAAAATATGCTAATCTTGAAGTAGTAAAGATTTGTACGACAATTTAAGCATCCACCCAAAAACGCGAGCACTTCTTGCTAAACCAACCAAATTGAACAGAGAATCATACATGGGCGAGCGTAGATATGGAATTTCCCTTCGAATGTTCAACTTTCTTTCAAGTTGAAAAATGTTATTGAACTTTCCGAGTTAGCAATGAAGAGGTTAAAGATTGTATATATTACTGTAGACTGGGCGTCCTGGCGACTTCGACAACTTTTCCCGTCAGATAGTATGTCATCGTTTCACCGAGTCCCTATCGCAAAAATAAGACAAAGTTAAGGCGAAAAATGGTCATAATCCTTCATGAAAATCACTAAAATCGAAGAAACAACAGCAAACAAACAACACAAGAAATGGTAAACTGGTGCAAAAATGGGGCTTGGTAGGTCAACAGGTTTGCTGCTAATGTCAGCCAGCCAGTCGTTCTACTAGTAAGTCAGTTAGTCTGTCAGCCAGTCAGTTAGTCAGACAGTCAGTCAGCCGACTAGTGAGTCAGTTAGTTTGTCAGCTCGCCATTCGGTCAGTCAAACAGTAAGTCAGTTGGTCTGTTAACCAGTCAGTCAGTCAGTCAACTAGTAAGTCAGTAAGTCTGTCAGCCGGTCAGTCGGTCAGTCAGTCTGTCGGTCAGTCATTCAACTAGTAAGTCAGTTAGTCTGTCAGCCAGCAGTCATTCAACTAGTAAGTCAGTTAGCCTAACAGCCCGCCAGTCGGTCAGTCAACTGGTAGGTCAGTTGGTCTGTCAGCCAGTCAGTCAGTCAGTCAACCAGTAAGTAAATTGCTCTGTCAATCAGTAAGCAATCCGTCTGTCAATCCGTCAGTTAGTCAATCAGTAGGCAATCAGTTAGTCAGGCAGCCGGCCAGTTAGTTGTTTAGTAAGTAACTCAGAAACATATTTAAATAGAAAGCGAGTCAGTTAGTCCGTCAGCAAGTCAGCTAATCAGTCAGTCAGTCTATAAGTTATTCTATCCGTCACTTGGTCAATCAGTAAGCCATACAGGGGGTTAGTCACTTTCTAAACCAAATAATATCCTCTCCCTACTTCCTAAACAAAAACCACAACGTAAAATCTCAGGCAAAATAAACTAATTGGGTAAGTTACTTTTCAAAAAGGAAGTAGAAAGAGATTGAAAGCCAGATTTAAATTGCATAAAGCACCCAAGGTTAGCCACCTTCGACCAGAAGAAAAATTCAGTGCTCGTTACCAGTTAACAAATATTATTAACCCACCTAACTTACACCTCCTCTCTCGTCTAGAGGCCGTGAAGGGGGGAAAAGTACTGTTTTGGCCTTGAGCAAGTACAGGCCTTTGAGCAGGTTCTTTCTGGGTCTTGAGTACCCTATTTAACATGGTATGGAACTTTCTTATTTCCTCCCTCGTCTAGAAATCGTGGCGAGAAAATAAGTGCTCTTTTAGGGTTGAGTAGGTAAGAGTCTTTAAGCAGTTCTTTTTCTGGTTCTTGAGTGCTATTCTTAACATGGTACAGAATTTACCCTAATTCCTGTACCAATAATCCCCCACTTTGTATGGTCTGCTTTTATCCATTCATTTCTCTCTTTTTTTTTTGTCCAACTTTTTAATATTCTTTCTTAATATACAAGGAATGAGTGGATCTGTAAAATGTTTGATCTCTAATGAAAGCGGTATGTCAGAATAGCGGCTCCCCCCCCAACCCGAGTTATTTCTATTGCATAACAACTCAAGAACCATGGAGGCAAAAAGTTTCTTTTAGTGTTTCTAAACTTTCTTTTCTATTATTTCTTCTGTAAGCACCCAAGAAGAGTCTACAAAATACATGAACCAGAAATTTACACAGTAGATGATAGTTCAGCCACAGTCCAGAAAAGGTATACATTGATGTACAAAGTTTCTAAAGAAACCCCGTAATGATTGAAACTTTATCCGTGCTTTAAATGACAGCTATAATCAAGGTGTTTTACAAAGTAGGTTTGAAATGGATATTGTTTACAATTTAGATCTCAGTTTCGCCCTGAACCACTGCTTGGTCAGGTCTTGATTTATAACTATTTGTTGTCACAAACAGCCTGCGAACGATCATTTGAACAAAATTCGTTTTGATGATTCTAAGAAAGGATTTCATTTCAATCTAGCTCTCAGATTCTAAATGAGTTCTAATCTGAAAATCAATTATAAAACAACATAGAACAGGCCGGAGCGCAATTACGATACGTTTTTATTAACCCTGAAGCGGCCGAAGAGATTCTTGAGACCTTGACGATAATTTTGACTGAAAATGAAACAAACACACGGGTTTATACCACAATAAGAGCGAGCTAGAAAAAAAGCTACAGTTGCGAAATATCGGAAAGCACAGGTTGACATGATATTGAGACCGTCAGATGAATAAAGAATCAGCAATACATAGATACTGAGTGGCAGCCAGCATACTGCAAACGTTGTCACGATGGCAATGGATAACTTCAGAACACCTCTCTCTCTCCTCAAACGTTTTTCTCTTGCGTTCTCCAATTGCACGCCCGGAATCTTCTGGGACTTGATCTTTATGGCAATTGCAAAGTACAGTATGGCGATGAGGACCAACGGAACGTACCAGAAAACAGCGATCATTGCTGCATCGTGGTTTTGGGAAGACGAAGATTTTCCAAATGTGTCTTTCCACCGCAGTTTACAAGCCAGCCCACTGGGAGACTCTACGAGTTTATAAGCGAATAGGTCTGGGCACCAGGCTGCCACGGCGATGATCCACATACAGGGAATAAGGAACCGGCATCGCTTTGCCCTAATGGGCGGGGAACGGAGGGGAAATAGAACAGCTCCAAATCGATCTACTGCTATCAGAACCAGGCTTTGAATTGAAACGGAAGTAAAAATTTCTAATAAAAAAGGTCGCAGTTTACACAAAGTTTGCCCAAGAGGACCGCTGACCAACCAGGAGCCTGCGTATAACCGAACTAAATCCCGAGGAAACAGGAAAATAGGAAACAACAGATCGGACAAGGCCATGTTAACAATTAAAAAGTTTATGGGCCTTCTCAGGGTTTTTGTCTTGTAGACAACTATTCCAATCAAGGAATTTCCGACCAAAGAAACTAAAAATATCAGACAGTAGGCAAAGGTTTTACCAATCTTTTCTGCCGTGGGATTGAAACCGCAGCTCAGAGTCGACCATGTCAGTGATGCCTGTGTTCCATTCAAAGTTGAGTTAAGTTTTGTCGACATTATCTTAGTCGGCTAACAGCTCTCATAACTTTATTTAAGGCGAGAACCTCCTTATTTATATACTTTGAGATGCGTGATCTGATTCTACTTCCTTTAAGACACCTGTTATAAGGTAAATAATCTGAGATAATAGGCTGCATTACGCACGCATTTTGACAGTTTCTTACCTGTTTTGATGTAAAATATAAAACAAATAGATTCCATGTTGCCGTTTGTCTATATACTCAGCATAACATCACATGACACGTCAAAATGTCGTAAAAACAACAGTGACACGCCCGGCTGTGCCTCTATGCCACTTTTTTGTTCTCATCACATTTTGAAATAGCTCAGTTATTGATATAATTATACTCCTCGTGAGAGTAGACTGCTGGTACGAATAATCATGCACACCTTACTGGTGTGTCGTTGCATCAAATTACCTCGTGCGAAAGTGCAGACAAAATTTTTTCAAGAGCATGATCACTTTCACTTCCTTGGTCATTTTTGAGACATGTCACCTGCACGAGAGACTTCGCAAAGACTCTGCTTTAATTGGGTGCAATAACTTATGTCAATATGTCTACGCACGTAATACCACCCGCAGCGCTTCCACAGAATAACAATTTTCACACAAACTTTCGCCGCAGTTTGGTAATTTTCTATTTTTGCCAACTTACCATCTCACGTAATGAAAACTGACATGGTTTTAATTATACTCAGACCTAGATAAAGTATTCCTTATTAAGTTTTTAAAGGTGAATATTTGGCCGGCATATAACCACTTTTTTCGATGCCTTCTTGACGCAAATGTTTCGGGTTTCGAATCTGTATGAAGAAATTTAACGGAGAGCAACTCAATTGAGACCATAAAGATCTGACAGATCTCTACGACCTCTACTAATATTTGCTCGAAATATACTCTCACCCACCTTCCTTTGTAAAGATATCGAAACTACGAAAACAAACGTGAATTTTATTTCATGATGGTGTCGGGACCAGATGCTTCCAAAGGTAGTAGTTTCAAGTTGCTAAATCTCATTATGTATTCAATGAAACTTTAACACAATATGCCATTTCAGTAAGTGAGCATATTGCTTTTGAAGCGCAAGAGCTTTTTCATAGTAACCTGCTTTAAGAGAGTGTCTCGGCGGCCAAACTTGGAGATTGCCGAAAATTAGGTAAGTTCACGGAGTTATAAAGTTCTCGTAAAGGTCGGGCCGCAAAGTTTTTTTCTGTAGTTACCTTTTCTATGGTACCTACTTCCTAGCTATGTTAGTTGGATCAGTTAAGAACGCCTCACTTTTTCAAAAATTTACCTTGAATTTGATCGGTTTTGGCGTCTTGATTTAGGCGAACCGATAAGGTGTCATTCAAGTCTTCCTGTTTCCTTGATTGATACGTGATGTTTACGAAAGTCGCCTCGATAAATAAGATAGAGTTAATATACATGGCTGTGGTATTTGTTTTTTGCTGAGTTCCGTAGTTTTTTGTAAATTGTCCTCCAAAGTTGTATGAAATTAAAGTCTTGAAAAGTGTCACGACAAGCCTTCGCTCGAGTGAAATTTAATTTCCGTAAAACTCTTAAAAATAAAGAGATCCGATCAAACTGATTGTGGTTTTAGTATAGGAACGTGAATGTCTTACAACACACGAGAAACGAGCGAAATCCGTGTCCCAAGCAAAATCGACCGGACCGCTCTTACAGAGACACTCTCTTAATTGGCTGAAAGTGCTCTGTTAATTTTTATAAATTCTAGCCAGAATTTCTGATAGGGCAAGGAAAAAAGCGAAATTATCAGTGCGGCATTTTCCCGGCATATTATGCGGCAAGAGATGTCCTTCATACAGAAAACTACGTTATTTTTCTCTCGTCGATTATCATTGTCTATTGGATTCCCAGAGAAGGAAACAGTTTTTTGTTGTACAAGGCGTTAATCAAAGTGATCTAAAACTATGATTTATTTCCTCAAAAAATATGTTTTTTAATTATTTTATTATGCTTATCTAGCACAAACTTTCTGAGATGATCGACCAACATTTTACATGAAGACAAAACAACCAACCACCGTCCATATGAAAGCTAACTTAATTCGGGACAATTTCTTGCCTTATCTTCGCAGTTTCATTTAAAGGAGGGTGCGAACTCTCTTCAGTCTGCTGCGATGAAACAGTCGGAGTCTTTATGACGAACCTATCTATGTTTGTCCCGCGTCCAGCACAAAATTATCTTGAAAGCGACTATCGGGCGGTTTTTGAGCCGATTCTTATATCGCAAATATCAACGATAGCAGCTTCAGAGCTCATAGTAGTGATTGTGATTGGCCCATTTACAGGAGAGGATTGTTCATTCTTTGTCAATGAGCAGTGGTGTTTTATTTAAATTAGCATCAGGCTCAAAACGTGTTGAACTTAATTCTGTAGACGTTGTAGCAGCCAGGGAATGGTACATTAACAAAGCTTTTGTTGTTCAAGACTCTCATTGCCTTCCAAATTGTGGGGGTTACTCCCCATCTCGTACCCAGATCCTACCGTGTAACTGTTACTCTCCAACCACTTGGCCATGGAAAGTCTGGTTACGAGGCTAGGTTACTCCAGCTAATTCCCCCCTTCCCATTCCTCTAACGTTCCAACAAATTTACCGTCGCTTTAACTTGACATTTTAGCCAGTGAGAAGCACGGGAAAAGCCGCTGCATGCGATCCTTTCTCATTTACATATCGATTGATTTAGGACCAGAATGTTACTCATTCATTGTAGCCCTGTATACTTTTCATGCCCATCGAATGCCCGCGTCTGTCAGTCTATAAGCCAGCCAGTTTGTAAGTCAGTCAGTCAACAGTCAACCAGTTAGTCATTTCAGTCAGTCAGTCCGTCAGTCACGTTCAGAACCAGCCAGCCAGCCAGTCTGCTAGTCAATTAGTAAATAAACGGTCATTAAAACAATCAATCAGGTGAATAACTTATTGATAAAGCATGAGGCAGCTACCGTTGTCTTGAGAGCGTCTTTAAAAAGCATTCTGACACTAACCTTGATGTTAATAAGGCCTCTCTCCTCCACGCTAAAACCACCCAACTCATCCAGGACAGACTTGCACATGGAACTAACGTGAATTCTTTGAGCTGCAGAGATAGGGACATTCTTGCTCAAAATTTGTACCTTACAACGTTAAATCGAGCACCCTTACGAAAGCTTCAAAGGTTTCTTTCAACGTTTTAACGGTAAATCACACGTATTATTATGAAGGACAGAAATAATTGACATTACGATACCAGTTCCAGTTTCCTCCATCTGTCTTGTGATGTCAACTGATTCGCCAAATATGTCGAAACGAGGCTTCTTAAGACCCACAACTCCTGCAACACAAGGGCCTGGAAAGGAACACAGATAGAGAGCTGGTAAGGAATGATGAAGACTTTCCTAAGAAGGCATTCACTGCAATAATGATTATAATAATATAAATAATAATGATTACAGTAATATAAAAGATGACCATGAAAATGATGATAATGATGATTTCTCGTGAGGGGCTAAGAATTTTACTTAGTCAACCTACCGCCAGTTTCTTTCATAAATAGATTGGAAAACATTATTTATTCTTGTTTCATTATATACCTACCAGTATGAATTCCAATTCTAAATTGTAGCGTTGTGCCTTGCATATGACTGACCTTGAAGGTCTTAAGGTATGCAACAAGGCGTAATGCCATACTAGCTATTTCACCAGCATGTTTATTTCCATTCCTCTCTGGAAGCCCAGACACAACCATACACGAGTCGCTGCTTGTCTCTACCTGTGTAAATAAGCATAACTGAAAATGAGAGAGGAAACCATGCACGTAATCAGCTGGAGAACGGGAGGTTATATACACTAACAGACAGACAGACAGACGGTCAGTCAGACAGTCGATAGACACACAGACAGACAAACAGACAGACAACAGGAGCGACCGAGATGTCTAGACAGAAACGACTGAAATGGACTGAGAGAAACTTATGGAGAGAGATGCGGACAAGTTCATCAAAATTTATCAAGACATACACACATACACACTAGGTTAACGGAAGGAGGGGAAAAAAGGGAAATGAAATGGTTAGACTGAGAGGCTTTGATTCTCTTGGGCTCAGCTGTAGAGTATAGCTGGATCCAGGTCCTTATGGGCCGAGACTCAGAATTGTTTTATTTTAACTCACACATGTCGCAAAGGGGAATCCTTTTTCTTATATAAAAATGTACACAAACAGGTAGACAGACACACTGACAGAAGAAATAACAGACGTACAGAGAGACGAGAGGCGCACAAATTATTGGAGACAAACTGGTCCCTTTGAGCAACTTTATCAGATCCTTAATTCTTTAGAGCTATTCTAATCGAATTTAACGTTACCTTGTAAACATCGTATCGTGTCATCACTGTGTCATATAGAGAGTGCAGGTCGTTAAGAAGAGTTATTACCTGCAAGAAAAAGTCAGTCAAATCATCGATCTCATTTGGGCGACATGGACATGCTGTTGGCGTTCCTCCCGTCACCACTACCCCAAGGATCTTATGACGTTTTCTTAATATGACACCCTAAGCGACGATCCTCCTTCGGTCCGTATCTCGGCCGTCGGAATATTGGTGTCGTTTGCAGAAAATTTGAATTGAGGGTCTTGAGCAATCCAGCATTGCATTTATTTTATTTCGCTCTGCAAAGGCCATGCTGGAAAACTCGCATAACCCTCTCACCTAACAGCAGGTGCATAACTTGGCCGCGTGTGTTCTCTCTTTTCTGAGAAGTTTTTTAGATTTTGCTATGAGTTCTTAACGGCTTCCTCATGAAATTTCTTCTGTTCTAGTTGATGCTTGTAGTTGTTTTGGACTGCTTTCGCGAAATTCAATCGTAACGCATCAATAGTTTCCATAAATCTTGCATCATTTTCTTTATTTCGGAAAGTTTTTCATTTAGGTAGCTGGAAAACCAAGCGAATGGGCTGTGTTGAAGGCAAGTACTCCGTCCATTTTATGTTTTCATTGTTGTGTTGTTTGGGTCGTTTTGATTTCGAGTTTTATTTTAGGTTCTTTAAGCCAGTTCTATTATCGTCACTTTTTCAAATGTTTTATTTGCTCAAAACTTTTGGACCTCTTATCAGCTTAAGTTTTATTTTTTTTTTGCGTTTTCTAATATCGGAGATTCTCTCTACTTTTAAGCATTTTCTACTTCAGATTGTTTATTGTAAGGTCTTTTGTGTCACTATCTTGGATAGGGCACAGGTGGGGTCTCAACTTCCGAGGTTCGAAAACACAAACAAGTGAGAAAGTTATGTGAAAATTACGCATATCCTTGATTGCGCCTCTGGTATGCATAGCTTTATCGAATTCTCACATCTCCCTCGTGTTAAGATGGGGTTATGTAAACAAGGAAAAATTCATCTAAAGCTTAAATAAAAAGCTACACACTACAGTTTACAACTGACTACAAAATTGAGGTTTCTTCGGTCTCAAAAGTACGTCAAATTACTGAAGAAAATATCCCATGTACGGATTTGCAGAGAAAAGTTGCAAACTTGCTAAGTTACTCCAGAAAACAGAGAGCTTGCAAAAGTTGGCTAATAGATTCTGAGCCGATATATGAGATTTGATTAAAGAAAAAAGAAGATACAAAAGTAACTGATTGAATACAAACCTGTATTGGGGAGCTGTGCGACGTTATGTTCGAGAACTCGACAATATCACTGTAAAATACGGTGACGCTATCGTAGTGTTCAGCTTTCACTTCAATTCCTGCTTTGAGATGATCTGCAATGCTCCTGAGTTAGACGAAAGAGGACAGGGAATTGTACTTTGTTCAGTAAGTGAGGGTACTTTAAACTGCGTTTCACACAACAAAGTACTACCCCTTTAAAGGGAGCTTGTGGTCGGACTTGCACCATTTGAAGGGTAGTTGAGGACACAAATTGTTATCTTTGAAAGTAGTATTTCGTGGATTCTTCAGTTAAAAAATGGCGGTTTCGACTGAAAGAAAAAAGTTTACTTGACGGGTGATGGAGCTTTCTCGCCTTCCAAGAAGAGTATCTTGTTAAGGTAAGATCGCCATTTTGTCTTTCTCTCATTCAATTATACGTATAAACCTATTTATCATTATACCTCGGAAGCATCTTGTGAAGAAGCTCGTCTGTTTTGGTTTTCTCACTCTGTAGTTGTTTCGTCCGTTCATTCACAATGGCCTCCAAGTTGTTTGTGTACTTTTCCATCATGGACAACATATTGTCAACGACGCTGGTTGTCCTTGCAATTATGGAGAGCAACGGAAAAAGAGAAAATAAATAGACTTATCAACCTGACCCCGGTTGTTCGAAGATCGGATAACGCTATCCACTGGATAAATCTCTATCCGGTGGATAACGCCATTCTTTTTGCTGTTACTTATCCGCTGGATAGCGATATTCGCCCTTTATACAACTGGACCCAGGTAATGAACTAGTTCCTTGGTTAGCTAAGCCGCCTCGTGTGCCACTTTTTTTGTTTTTATTGACCACATTTTCCCGTCAACTGTGGTCTATTACTGAAAAGAAGCACGGCAAAACGGAATCTATTGCTTAAACAGACAACGCTCTCTTGGAAACGTGTCCAATGTTATAGAAAATGGAAGAATATCAATTTAAAAAACTCACTTTCCATTGTTGATTCTCTTAAGAATTTTAAGGACACCACAAAAAGTGGGTCTTCTTTCAGGCCGCTCATCCCAGCACATTTTCATAAGGTCCATGTACGAAGCTGGAGCGCTGTCTGGAGGGACTTGAGGCCGACAATGTGGCGTGATGCCCTTCCGTACGTAGTATAAAATTTCTATTTTGAAAAGCAGTGGAGAAAAAAGAAAGCACAGTGAGGATCATTTAGAGAAGACAAATTGGATTAGAAATTTTAAGGAAACAAGACATGACGATATAGGAGAAGAAGTACTTTCGTTTCCCAACATACTGACCCTTTGGGCTAAGAAGAGATGTGGAAAATGGTTTCTCTCTGAGTGCAATTTCCTGCAAAATGATGCCATAACTGTACACGTCCCCTGGTGATGTATTGCTAGTGTTTGTGCGCAGACGCTCCGGTGCAGTCCAAAAAAGAGCTGTGCAAAACAAACGATTCTTAAGAATTGCATACATACTACCCAGCGATTTTCAAGAGAGTGTCGAAATAAATCTGTATTTTCTTTTCTTTCCTCTGATTTGTTTTTGTGATTTCTTTAAGGGAGCTAGGGGCGGGGAGAAGGCAAGGTTCTGGTTTTACTACCAACCAAAAAGCGCTCCAAGTAAAAAAAAAATTGTTGAATATGTTACTCTGAAAGGAATAAATTAATTCTAGTTTTTACCTCATCAAGCTGTACAGTTACTGATCTGTGTTTGTTTTAATTGTTATTACCAGTTTGTGCTCGTAAGGTCTCCTCTGTGTGCAATCTGTTTTCTTGAAAGCTTTGTAGACCGTAGTCAGCCACCTTACAAATCCAGTAGCTGTCAACCAATACATTAGTGGACTTTAAGTTGCCATGGCAGCCTATCGACGTCTTGTGTAATTCTTCCATTCCCTGTAAATTTTTGAAAACGATAAAAATGCTAATTTATTTCGCACACAAACAATTTCTTGGGGGACAGACGCAGGCTATCACTCTATACCATTAAAAGCCTTTTGACATGATACTGACCCAACTTTTGGACTTGGGTGTACACTTGTGGTCTGGCTCTGGTTGTGAGACTAATGCATACCGCGGGTTACACATGCGACAAGACATTAACCAGGATGATTTGCATCTACTGTGAGGGATACTTCCAAAATGTGCAATATTCCTAGCCCATTCAAAACCTGACTCAAAACATCAAACCCTATTTTCATACCAAATCCGTATAGCAATGAGTGAATTTGACAAGGAGGTAGTAGCCACCGTTTCTTTTCCTCACAGCAAGGAGGAACGATTGCCATATATCACTCGCGTATGATATAACAGCCTAACTCGTCATCCGTCCCTTCATAGTGGCCCTCAAGCGAGGCTATGAACCGGTTAACGAACTTCTTCAGTGAGCAATGCAGAGTTTGCTATTTGAGTTATCCTGAGAGGGAATTGAAACTGAGTATTTCTCTAAACTAAAGTCTCTTCGAAGTGTGAATTCCTCAACATGAAACGGGATCCAACATCAGAATATTATTTTCATATTCTCAAAAACAAACAAAAAAAAAACAAACCAAAACAAACAAACTTACCCGAGCAATGTCTAGGGCAAATGACATCCTGAACGTCCAGTCCAGCTTAAAATCATCATTCCGTAAAATGTCCTTAAAAGGGATAATATACAAAGAGCTTAAATAAACTAGTTGATTTATTTATTGAGCTCGTGTTTTAGTACTTAAAGTTAACCTATTTTTGAGTTACTTCAGTATGTCATCAACTTAATTGCATAAATTCCTGCATTTTATATATCATAAATGCTACATCGCAAAAGTAGTGTTGTGTAGTTATGATTACGAAAGTTATTCTAAATTTCTTGTTGAGCCTTTATCGATTTTTTATGTTTCAGAATCGTCACTGTTTCAAGTGCTTCATTTGCTCAAAACTTTCGGCCCCTTACTCAGCATAAGGTTCATATCTGTGTGTGTTTTCTGATTACGGAGGTTCTCTCTGATGTCAAGTCTGTTTTCCTTCAGATTGTCTATCAAACAGTCATATGTGTAAATATCTTGGATAACGTCCATATTATAAACCGCCTCTTTTTCACCTGTAAGCTTCCTTTAGCACAATATTCAGATACGATATAAACATCCGGGAACTCAGCGCACAGGCCTACGTACGGATTAAGGTTGACATGTCGAATCTCACAAGCCTACGCAGAAGAGAGAGAGAGAGATAAATGTATTTAGTATAGCCACACAGACGAGTAGTGATTTTCGCATGAGCGTTCGTTCGGAACTGATTAGCATGTAATATTTACCACCGAACGGCCGGAGAGACAGAATCTCGCGTCGAGAATTTCCGACCATTTTTCGGTAAACTGGTTTCCGTGTTGTTTGTTGATTTCACACCTGTCCGTAGGAGCGGTTGTTATGCACCGTCATTTTTCACCACCCAACTTAGTAAATATTTTTTTGTTATATGTTGAGTTTCTTGAGATGCCGAATCTGTTTGTAAGTTACAGCAGTGCTGTAAAAAGAACAAACCATAACATGGCATGATTGCTTACCTGTCGTATTTGTGCTTTCATACTTTCCGTGAGATGAGATGTTCCTTCTCGAGCCACCTTTATCAACACCACCTTACCCTTTAAAATTGATAAGCTCAGTCTCAGCAAAACTAATCTCTTCAGGCTTCTGATGGGTTCAGCGGTCATTCAGAACTAAATTTGACCAAGGTTTCCCCAAAATAAATGCAACAGCTATAATCAAGTAAACTCTATAGTCTTCGTGTCTGTAGTAACAAACATTAGCTAGTGCAAATTTTCTGAAGCGTTTTCATCCTGAAAACCATTACTACCATCATCGTTTTCATCTTTGTTTTCATCTTCAGCGTTCTTGTCCGTCCTTAACGATCGTTGTCGTGTTTTTCAGTCCGTATCAGCTCTCGTCTTAGTCGTTATCCCTCGTTTTCATCGTCTGTTGTCGTCGCTCCTCATCAGTCTTCTTCGTGCACGTCATATCTTGTCTTTGCCCGCTCCTTGCTAGTCCTCATTGAAAATTGTTCATCATGGCTATCATTTTCCCTCGGTGTCTTCCCCGGTATTATGGTCGCCACTGTCGTCGTCGTCATCGTGAAAAAAAAGCGTCTCGTCCTTGTCGTTTAAGTTCAGTCAATCAAAGAGAAATGGGAACGTAATCTGACTAATTAACATCGTCTTACCCGAAAAATTCCTTTAGAAATCTTTCTTTGTTGATATAGACAACCATTCACAAGTCCCAGGGCAGAAGAAGACGCGGGGAGAATGCTTGTTGTTGATCCTTGACAGTTGAGCTGAAACGATTAATAACAAGTGTAAAAGCAGATTATATAAAGTTCTGTTCAGACATTAAATAACTCAGGCCATGTTGTACCCAAGCATTTCAAATTAACAAAGGGGGTACATTTCCCAAGAAACTGTGGTGCTGCCGCGTCGGTGAGTGGTATTGCAACATAACTTGCTTTTATCAACTGAGTTGATAAAGTAAATTGGTCACCGTAAAGAGTTTTTAAAGCTGCGTTTCGAGCGTTAGCCCTTCGTCGGAGCGAAATTTGTTTTAATTGATAACTTTACTTCATTCCAACAAGCACCGCCAATGGATCGATCCTACGATCCCAGTTTTATATTTTATGGAGAATGTAGCCTTTTACTAAATGTAAGGGGATAGAAACTTAAGCACAAGACCCATTTAAAATAAAAATGAAACTTGAGGGTAAAACATATTTTATCTGAAAAAGTAGAAAATTAAAACCTGGTCTTGAGTTTCCTCGTAAGACGCAGGAAAATAACTCACCTGATTGAAGCTGCAGTGCATCATGTAGTTATCGTCGTGATCATCCGATGGAGTTATATCCTTATAGTTTATGATCCACTTTTTGCAAACATCTTCTCGTTCATCTGTTCGCCTTTTAGCATATATCAAGACAACAAGGATTGATGTTAGCAGAAGAAATCCTCCTAATACTCCAAGGACAATGCTGAGATGGTCTGAAAGAAACAATTAAGATAGAACTCATAACTTCGAACATTACCTATGGTGAATGAAGGATCTGAATTCTTAACAAGTGGTAACCAAATGGAAACATAGGCATGCTATGCATGCAAGAGTTATTTTTTTGGTAGTGGATGGATTACTTGAAACACTGTAAGTGATGTCTACATTCTTACAAAAGGAAAGAAGATTATTAACGCGGAAAAAAGGAAAATGTCGAATTAACTCACACACAGGTATTTTGTGGTAGATTGTGTGTGTTGTGCCATATAGGTGTAGCCAAAAGTACCGTATTGGCGCTACGGATACCTGTTAGTACAAAATGCAGACTGCAAACTGCACACCGGATACAAAATGTAGACTGGGTACAAAATGTAGACTGCAGACTGCAGAGTGGGTACAAAATGCAGACTGAGAATCTAAAGAGTTTTTTCGTCTGGTATGTGATAACATGTCATCTTACAACTTACCGAGCGTCATGCAATCGCTTTTCCGCGATCAGCTTTCACGATTATTTGCACTATTGTGAAATATTCCTGGCCCATTTCTTGATCAAAATCGATCGTAATATAATTTTAAGCCTTCATATAGCCTTCTCACTTTGCGCGCGAGTTGGTTGGTGCGATGTCTGCACAGATTTTACCAACGTAACAAAAGTAGATGTAGATGGAGATGCAAATGTGATGTCGCTATTCAATATTTAACCTGTGCAACATTCGAGAAACAATTGACAGCTTTGCACGTGGTCCGTATTATCGTCTTTTTAAGCGGTGTGTTTATTTTGTTGACAAATATGCGGACCGAGACCAAAACTGTTGTTTCGACTTAATACATATTTTCGACGTTAGTAGGTCACATCATATTAACTTACCTCCGTAAATTATTCATTCCAGATAACAAAATCAAATAAACATGCTTACGATGGTATCTGAATTCGTAGTTGGTCAAACACAAACGACTTCACAAGATCACTTTCTCCAGTCATCGAAAACATACTTAAAATCGTCCATAGTTAATTTTAATAAGACATTCATCTAGAGATAGCACCGAGCAAACGAATCCAAAAGAATATAATTGGCACACTCAAGAAATCATGAATCTTCCAACACAACTTGCCGTTAAAGAACTGCTCAAATCAAAATGTTTGGTGCAATTCTTCAACACCTCAAGCAATATTTAATTCAAAATTTTCCACCCACTCTCTTCGTGAAGGAACAATAACCATGATCGCGCTACAGTGCACAGAACTCCATTTTCTCTCGAACAACTATCGATCATTTTTACAGCATGAGTAACACGTTTAGTATAGGTAATCTGATATCTTTCATCTGTCCAGTAGTATCGCATTTCTCATAAAGCGCGGTAAAATACACGTTAAAAACACAGAAAAGCCAACATTTCTCATTCTAAAAGATGATTTTACGAATTGCTCTCTCCGAATCCCCCATTGCTTCGTTAAAATTTGAACACCTCTCAAACCAAAGAACAGAAACGACGCTCTGATTGGTGCGAGATACATACCCTACTGCTGCGGTCTGATTGGTGCGAGATACATACCCTAAACGATCTGATTGGTGCGAGCAACATACCACTCTCTGTATGCTAACATAGATGTTATTTTTTTTGGTAATAAAGAAAAAAAAAACTCAAAAAGGTTAGATGCTGTTGCTTAAGCGTAATTGTTGATATGTTCTTCCGGCATTGCACGCAATGTATAAGACATAAAGAAGATCAGTTGTTTCTCACCTGCGTCCTCCTCTTCCTGATGACAATCTTTTCCGGTGAAACCGCAGACTGGATTACTAACAGGAACTGTGCTTGATCCACCTGGCCATCTTATGTCGGGCTGATGAAGAAGCCGTATTTTATGATACACTGACCCTGTGCCATTTTGCAGTAGATCAGTTTTGTCGTCGACGAACTTGTACGAGCCATTCCGAAAATTTCCAACGACAAACTCTGGTATTCGGGTTCCATTTTCCATAAAAATGTGACCAGATTCTCCTGAATTGCCAAACGTAAAGTTTGAAACATTAAAATATGAACCATAAAGCGGAGAGAAATATAGAAAAAATCAAATAAAAGGGTAAAAGGAATTGGAAAACATCTAGAGCTAGGACAGGAGAAACTAATGCTTACTTTTGGAGAAATAACAACACAAGACGACGATTAGATAGCTTTTTTGCTTAACAACGTTCCTGATGGCGTTAGTGTTATCTTTAGAATTGATTGTTAGGACTCATAATAATTTTTTTAAAGTTCCTTAGAATTTTCAAGAAATTTCATTACCGACTTCCTTAATGCTGTATTCATGAAAGTTTGCCGGCGACTCTCTTTGATTCTTGAGTATAATTTATTTATCTGTATTAGGAGTGATGTCATAGGAACGTAATGAGGAGTGATGTCATAGGAACGTAATGAGGAGTGATGTCATAGGAACTTAATGAGGAGTGATGTCATAGGAACGTAATGAGGAGTGATGTCATAGGAACGTAATGAGGAGTGATGTCATAGGAACGTAATGAGGAGTGATGTCATGGGAACGTAATGAGTGAGTGAGGTAAGAAAGGGGTTACCTTGGAAACGTCTGTTGAACATGTGCATGAGAACTTCTGAAGTGTTGGTGATTTCATACCCACGTGATATTGTGTCGTTCACAGCCAAACAGAAAAGACGGACGGAATCATGTACGAAGGATGCGTACCAAGAGGTCTGGAAACCAATATGTCCAAAAACATATTTTAGTAAGGAGAGGTGAGCCTTTGGATGCCTTTGACTGGCTGTCCATTATTCGGTCGGACAGGTATTTAATGGTCTTGTCAGCCAGTCAGTCAATCAGTCAGTCGAGTAGTCCGTCAGTCAGCCAGTCAGTCAAACAGTCAGATGGTCAGTCAGTCATTCAATCAGTTTGTCAGACAGTCAGTCAATTGGTTAGTCATTGAGCTAGCAGTTAGTCGGTCGGAAAATAAGTGGTCTCGTCGGCTAGTCAGTCAGTCAATCATTTAGCTAACAGTTTTTCTGTCAGTCTCTTAGTCATTCAGTGGGATAATAAGTGGTCCCTTCGGCTAGTTGGTCATTTGGTCAGCCGGCTAGTCGGTTGGTCAGCCAGTCGATCATATTGTTTTAGCAGTTTGTCAATTGTCACTTTCTCATCAAGAATTGTTTGCATTTCCCGAGTTGTCAAGGCGAACATGCAACAAAAGTGCAGAGAAAATAGATTACCTCGTTATATAACTTTGCTTTAATGGAAGCTTCCAGCTTATTTTCCATGTCCCTATATTTCTGTTTGAACTCCATGGATATCTCAGGTCGATAAACACTGAGATCAATAATGCCGTTCAATATATTTGGAAACTTGGAGCCCCATTCCTCGTTTCCAGTCCACTTGCCGTTTTTGTAAAATACGTCTGTATTTAGGTCTAATGTTATAAAGGCGTATTCTCCATTCGTCATACCCAAACGTTCAGCGGTTTCCATGATGGATACAACTTCGTTTATATAACATAGTATAAGGAAAACTGACGGCATGGGAGAAAACCAAACGAATAAAAAAACCAACAACAACAAAATTAGAGAAATTCATACATTCGATAATAAAGTAAACAAATTAAAAAGAGGATTGAAACTCTGAAAAGCGCGTACAAAGGCAATATTTCTGGAATGTCGTGTCGAGTAGAACAAGCCGACCAGACTTGATAAAATGAAACAATAAGCATAGGCAAAAAAGGTTTGTGATTTTGTTTATATTCTCGGTTATCCTGGGCCCAGTTGTATAAAGGGCGGATAACGCTATTCAACGGATAAATCGCTATCCAGCGGATAAGTAGTGGCAAAACATACAGCTTTATCGACCGTATGGAGATTTATCCAGAGGATAGCGTTATCTGACCCTCGAACAACCGGGGCCTGATCTCCAGTGTGATTGGTCGAGGCACAATAAACCCTCTCGAAATAGGTCAGGTGCTCAAGGTCAATTTTCTGAGTTTATTGTTGTGTTGCGAAGGCTTCTGTTTGTTGCCTTCTAGTCAATTTTGAAAGGACTCATAACTGCACAGTTAAAAAACAGTTTGAAAGATGTTGGGGTGAAAGCTCCACAATTTGGGCAGTCGCTCAACATGGGTAATGGTCTTGTCATGTTACAGAGAGCAAACACTAAATACAGCGATACTATGATTTTCTATGACCACCCTCTCAATGATAATGGAAAAGAGAGGTTGTGTTACAAAGAGGTATGGTTTGAAATAATAAAGAGATTTGGTGCCGTGTTCACGTGAAACGGCAAACGTTAGCCTGTCTTTTCACGTTTCACGCAAACTAGCGTGAACCTCATTGCTTTAGCTACGCGTGAGCTCACGTCTCTTCGAGTTTCGATGAAGACATCTCATGAGTGAATGTGAGTTCTTGCAGCTAGCTATCTGCGGACGAAAAGTGCGTCATTTGAATGATTTCAAACATGAAACTTCACCTGCCATTGTATCACTTAAAGGAACACTTTCTTCCGGGAACTAACATTTACTCTGTGAGAAAAATTATGGAGAAAAATCCTAGTCCTACAAGGCAAACGTGAAACGGCTTACTTTCACATGGAGACGGCAAAGCGCAACCGATAAACCCGAAAAAAGGCGGGAAAATCGAGGTAACGTGGTCACTCTCGCTGTTCACGTTTCACGTAAACACGGTGTTAAATCTCTTTAAAAATAAAAAAAGAAGTCTCCTCCAGGTATCTCTTACACTCCTAAGCTAATTCGTCAACTTACCTCTTGTCACATCTTTCCCTTTCGTCAAAATTGTTTCAAACCCTGGGCTCTTATTATCGTAAGTTTCGAACAACGAAACCTTTATTGAATCGCTTTCTACCACACTTCGTATCTTACCAGCCATGGTCTTCCATTCAACCTCAGACGAGCTCAAAATGGCAAGAATTGTCCATTTAAACGCCTTTAGAATCTGAAGAACAAACCCCGGTGTATATCTTTCGCTGCGTCTTGCGTAAGCCGTAATGGTGGCGAGTGTACTGTAAACGTTTTTGTCGATGAACTTATTGGAAGAAGCGGCGTATGTGATGATGGGTTTCTTCCATATCTTGGCGAGAAGAGCTGCTGGTTCGGCGACAACGGAGCACGCAGGTCCAATGAAGACATCAACTGATTGAAATCCCACAATTGCTCGCAAGCCCTGCTCAGGTTCGCACGAGCTATCTTCAATCCTGAACGAGATGTTGTATCCAGGTAAAAGGCTGGAATCGTTCATGATGGCAGATATTGCCATGGGAACGGCTGCAGCTGTGCGTGTTCCAATTGGCCATCGGCCCGTCATTGGCAACAACACGCCGAGCTGGATTTCTGTACGATAGTGCGATAGGAAATAAGAGGTGTTTTGTTTGGGTAAACAGAAGGCCTTCATATCTCTTTACTGCAATTACAATTTTTCGACATCACAGAGCCCCCTATATTGCCACCATATGAGCACATATGCAAATTAAAATTGCTTGAAAATAAACAAAATGAAAATGATTGATGTGATCGAACGAGGGGACAAATGGGAGTTTTTAAGCGGAAGACGAGCTACCGTAGAGCTTTGCAGCTTTCGCGAACCCTGCCTTAAAATGCAATGTGTTCTGCTTCAATATTTATTGGGATTGAAAATGACTGCTCGGAATTAAGAAACTCAAGAATGGACATATCATAATTTTTTATTTACGTCTCTACTTAATCTTCAACAAAGAGCGCCTCTCAATTGAGTGTTTGAGTGAAACAAAACCAAAGGAAGCACTAAAGCCAATCAGAAGGAAGCAAAATGTCACATGGAGTGAATGAAAACTTAAAGTAATTAAAAACAAGCAATCTGCCTAAAGCGCGGGAAAACGCGGGTGACCAAATGGAAATCGGTGTTAGTTTTTGCATCTGATTGGTTGAAAGGATGGTGCAAGTTTTCGACATCAGTCAAATAGCGAACAAAGATAAAACCAGTACAATCTTGACTTACTTTGGACACTCAATCGAAGATCGCTGTAACATGCAAAGCTGATTTTATTAAAGTAAGTATTACCTTTGCTTAACACCATCTGAAGAGAGGCTGTCAGACTTTGAACGAACTAAAGAAGAAACAGTTTTAATGTTGGTGAACATGTAAGAAGGAGGCTTCTTTTGAAAGACAAGTTTCATCAATATTTTAATTAATACTCCCGAGAGATATCATATACTCGCGTTTAATTTTATTTCAAATGGCATCCTTACATTATGCACTTATTTACATGATATGTGAGGTGCTTACCAAAGCGAGGTTGAGTATTTTCACCATGAGATTAACTTGAAGATTTGCTCTCTTCTTTCTTTAGGTCTACCTATCAACGGAAAAAAATATATTTTCATGCTTTATAATCTATTAGATACTAAAATCCCATCATTAAAATGGCGACTGTGGGGGGGGGGGTGGTCGATCCACCTTCAACACAGACCAGTCAATCGAGTTCAACTATACAACCATATTTGACAAACTACAGCCAAATATAGATAATTCATTTTAAAAGCTTCGAGACCTAATAAGGAATTCACTTCTTGAAAGTAGCTGTAAAATATCGTAACCTTCTTACACCTTCAGGATTACGGTGTAATTTATTCAACGCATTTTATTTTTACTCGCACTAATTGTCGCTTACTTTTTGTTTTGGGGACGAATTTATTGCCTCACTTCAAGTGATGTAAGACTTTAAATAGACTACTCTTTTTTCAAGATCTTTCATAAGGAGGGTGCTTAACATTCAAACCACAACAACCAATAATTGCTTTGACTGGCTGAAATCATTCACTTGAAAAGCTTTTCGATTAGCAATTACCTGTTTGCCTAATTGGCTTTCGCTAAGGAGTTTTCGAAACAAAAATCACCAATATCGGTTTTCACTCACGAAAAAAAAAAAGAATGGAAATGGGGAAAAACACATTATTGAGAATTTTTCGTTTAAACTTATCTATCTTCGGACGTGTAAATCAAGTGAGGTCAGGTATGCTACAATAATTTAGTTTTCCGAGCTTTCGCTGATCTACGGCATCGGGCGAGGTGTTCGGCTAAGTAATAGGGGTTTGGCAAATAATAGCCTATCACCTCGCCCGATACACTCTCCACTTCAAAGATCCATCCTCGTACATTCCCTGATGATGCCGTAGATGGGCGAAAGCCGGAAAAATAAACTATTGTAGCATACCTGGTCTCACTTGATTTATGCGTCTGATTTTATATCACTATGCTACTCAAGGACAACATCCAACGCTCTTCTGTCTTCATGTAACATTTTAGCTGGACTTAACATGTCGTTTTGCAGTTCCTTTTTGATGTTTAACTTGTCTAGTTGTCTGATCTCAACCAGTTAATCTTATCAATTCAAAACAGGCAGTCTAACCAGAAATGCACATGCATCTTCTGAACATATTACGAGTACTAGTGTTCCTGGCTTATACACGAAACTGGAGATAACAACTTCTGTCGATTATCATGCGTCTAATTTTAAATCTAACACTTTCTACGGTTCTTTCCATATCAAGGAAGGGAGCGAAAGGAACTTTTGTTGGTGTGGTTGGAAATTTGAGTTCATACCAGTTCTGCTACCAGTTGTGAGTGTACATCGAAAAACAATAAACTCGAACAGACCTCAAAATCTTCAACCGCTCCGACCAGATTCTTTGGCTTTGAGCCACTGTGTGTTTCTGTGAGGTACTTAAAATAACTATTAGCCAACGATATTGACAAGACTTTTCCTTCACTCTATACATAGGCAGCCCAACCGCCGCGGGATGACAACACGACGGAACTGAAAGTTAATTTGTTTTCACTCCTGAAACAAGGACATGAATAATACATTGCCTGGCATAAAAAGACAGCTGTCTTTTGCTTTTCATTTCATCCAGTAGTTTGCAAATAACTTATCATGAATGTGTTAAATTCTACTTCGGATAACTACTCACCAATTGGCTATTGAATTCACTGTCTGCGGGGACATGAATTTTAAAAGACGCTCATCGGGTGGCATGAATACACTACCTAGGTTTTCACGCTTAAAAATGATTCATTTTAAAGCGGTAAAGCCTAATTGATGCTTGGTTAAAAGTGATTTCACACTGAACATGAAACAACTTAACGATCTTTAAAATTATCGAAACAACATATCCAGGTGGTCTTTTGAATTAAATTAAAGAACAACATTGTTTTTTGTTCTTGTTTCAAGCTTAGATTTGTCACTCTCCCGAACAGCCCTTATTTACCACAGGAAAACAGTTAAAGTATTAGCGATAATTATTATCTCGCACTTGACATCTCAGAGTAAATATATCTCGTTTCAACTTCGTTTTTAATTAGTATTTTTTGACGCAAGTTTTGCATGATGGCAATAAAATTTCTGTTAATTATTCACAAAAGAGCACATATGATATCACTTCAATGAGAACAGTTTCTCCAATAGAAGTTCCAGATTGACTATCCGAAAGTGTCCTTTTTACCTCTCGCAATTCGATGCAATAACATTGATGCTCTTTTTCTAAATATCTTAACTCGGTGTGACGATTACAAAAAATAATGTAAATTGATTGATGTAGTGTTATCTTCGTCTAGGAAATGTAGCCATTTAGTTCTTTTCAATCTTCAAATGAACCTAAATGCAAAAACATTGTAACACTTTTTGTGCTAAAAATTATTGCCGCGGGATTGTTTTCAGCGTAATACCAACTCTCTAGGATGTAAAAAAAAGAATAAAAAAGATGAAAATACCATGACAAAAAAAAATCATTTAAAATAATATATGAACAATTTAATGAAAAAGGAGTCTGAAAACCAAGTGTTTCACGGATTCCTTGGGTCCTTAGAAGATGTCAATCAGAAAGGGTTGAATGAGAAGATTTCATTTCTTACATTTATCTTAATTTCCTACCGATCCATCATTTCTTATTTCTGTATTTTTGGTAATCTCCTTTATTTTCGACTATCCCATACTGATTAATTTTACTTTTTCCATCACGTTGACGGAGTTACTGAGCTCTGACAAAGGGATTAACGCTCGAAACGTCAGCTAAACTCTGTACATTAGCCAATTTACATTATCGACTCACCTGATAACATTAAATTATCTTTTTATACTCCCCTCCCCCCTCCCCCCCACTAAAGCAGCACTACAGTTTCGTTAGAAACTTAACCCCCCCTATATTCATTTGACTGACTTACAAGATTGGAAAACTTCACGACTTCTTGTTATAGCAGATTAGATTGTATTCATTTTCGTAGATATTTATGAGCATAGGAGATGATCTGCTCTGTTTTTCCGTAACAATTGTTGTAAATTTTAAAATAATGTCCGTTTTCACGTGTTCCAAAAATTGAAGGTTTTTAATTTCTTAAGCAAAATCTCTTAGATTTTCAAAATCATTTGCACGTGAAACACGTTGTGTCACAACATACGTCCGGTAGACTCGCGAGTGACGTAACTCTAAGGGAATTTTGCAGAAGCAAGAAAGAAATCTTTGAAGGAATATACTGCATTGACAAGACATTTATTCAATTTCTATGTGCAAACGATTGTTCTAAATAGGTTACTTCCCTGACCGGTTCGCTTCTTCTTCCTGCACCGAGGAAAAATGTCCTTAACTTAAAATAATTCACGGAAACAAACATGGGAACAGGGAGAAATAAAAAAAGGACAAAATGAACGATGGTGAAACGAGAATGACTTGTAAAGAAGTGTGATACGGATTGTAAACTACAAACGCAAAATTAAGCCTACTCCGACGATTTTAACAACGTGACAACACCTGGCGTTACCAGTATGGTTACTCAACAAGACGATTCTGTTACCAATTCTCAATAGAGAGGGAATTGATTTTGAAATTAGAGTCTTTCAAATATGTACATATATAATTCTGTATAACTATTTTCACCAACAGATGCGTCATTTTGTGGAGAGGATCGGTAGGACCGGCACGTCTGGTGATTGGCAGGTGTAATCTGTTAAGGTAGCATACTCTTGTTAGTCATTTCAAGAACTTTAGTGTAAGCACTGCTTGCATATGACACTCTAAGAGCTGAGCCAAACGTACACAAAGCACCCATTAATCTCAGTCTGTTTTGGAAAGGCAAGGTTGAAGACATGTTTGGCTTGATGGACAGCGCTGGAGCTGGAATCAGGGTTGAGAAATACAGGTCTAAGCAAAGTGCGTCGCGTTCTTTGAAATCAAGGACTAGCGACCGAAAACAAGCATTCCGTCCAGAGAAGAAAACATGGAGATACACCTCTGTTACTTTTGGCTATGGAAACTTAGCCAACGAGCTTGAGACGT